ATAAAATATAATTAAATAGTTTAAAAGTTAAGTATATATAAAAAATCATATTAATTTTTTTGAGGGTTTTGGTATTTTACGTTCAAAATATAAGTAAATAAATTTAATAATATTCACGTTTACGTATTTGTTATGATAAATATGTGAAGAAAACGTATAAATATTTACGTCTGAATAGAAGTAGTGAAATACTTTTACGTATTCACATGTATATGTATGAAATAATCCAATTTACTACAGAAAAATACCGTCAACTTTAAGATTATATCAAAAAACCAAGGCAGCAATTCCACAATAGGCAACATTTAATTAAGTTTGATAGAAAAAATTTATGAGGGACGTAAGAAGAAGTAGAAAGAAAGAAAGTTGTAGAAGAATAAGTAGAAGTATAAAAAATAAGACTGACTTAAAAGAATTAGTCACTATCACAATTTATATTATTTTTATCCATAATTGTTGATAAATATATGAAAGAATTCTTAGTAATTTTTAATTTTCTATTTTTCTTCTCAGACCAGGAAGAAAAAAATATTCCAAAGGATTTATGGTAGTTACAAAGATACTACTAATATGCATTGCTTCCTTGAAAGATCTTTAATGATTTGTACTAACAGAGATTCCTATTGTGTTTAGCATAATAAGTTTCTTTAAGTAAATGCTAGTTTAAATAAGTCACAAACCACATACATAAATGTATCATACGTCACATATTTGTTATTTTCCTTTTAAGAAACAGTTTTTCTTGTCGACTCGTATTTAAATACCGGCTTCACTTAATCCTTGTTAGAAAACTTACGATAAAAAACACGAAATCAACTTAAGAGTTTTAGTATGATAAATGATATAAAAGCATTTATCTGTCATGGTCTAACATATTAAATAAAAATTCGTCCTAATATTTGTCTGTTTATAATATATCAATCTTCGTATATATGTATAACGATTTATTTTAATAGATTTTCCTGTTTATTTACGCTGATAGTCAAATGACATCCATATTGTTTTATTGACTGTGTTACACTTAAAATGTTTTATGTATTGACGCTCCCGAACACATAAATCAATATACCATAGTAACACATTGAAAACTATTGATTTAATGTTCACAACTGTTATGCAAATGAAAAACAATTTGCCTGTTACAATATTGTATGGAGATTAAAGAGTACGAATGTTTTTACTGCCGTATATTGAAATGGTGAGGTAAAGAGAATTTCAAGATATTGGCCTCACAAGTCTAAACCATATTCTATTAAGAGATCGTTTAAATAAGTATTTCTTTAGTTTTATAAACATCAAAACTGTACCGACGACAAGTTTTCGTATTTAGTATGAAAACCAAAAGTTTGATATTTCGACTTCAACCAAAAGTAATTCCAAGTATTTCATTTGTCTCCTTAATGAATATTTCAATAAAATAACGTGTCGTTTTGTCTGCGACTGTAACGTATTATTAAGAGCTTCGTGCCTTAATTAATAGCCATCACAATTTTAAATCATTTTAAACTCGTGTCATCATAAATAAGAATACAATTTATTCTGCTATTCTGTTTATCTCCTGCCGCAGCTGTAGTATCTGTACGTAAAAAATATCAAACACCCGAACATAATATAAATATAGCTAGTTCATAGTAAATTTTATTCATATGAAATTTTGGAGTACGTATATCATACATTTAAAACAATTGTCCTCGACAGTCATCTGTTCTAATTAAAGAACTGGCACCAGAAGTCTAATAAACGTACATATACGCACCATCGTCTTCAAATAATTGTAATGTAATCTTATAAACTAGGATATATGACATATATTAATTCTCTAATAGTAAATAAAATATTGAGTACAACTAAGTGATGAGTTTAGGCGACCTAAAATCACTAAGGACATTTTATATGTAGATCGTAAGCTCGTTAAGTTCAAATTAACGTCAAACATAAAAGATTTAGTGTGAATTGTGCTATAGACTATTGGAGTAGATTTGGACAACCCTGTCATGGCAGGGATTAGGGTGGCCTGGGGTGTGTCGGTACCATCAAATGGCGCGCCATTTTGCCGCACGATGACGTCACGAGCCACTCCTGGCATTTGGACTAAACTCTAAAGCGAAAAAGCCCTACCTACGCGCTCCACTGATAACAGAAAAACCTTAATAACTTGATGCTCTTTGCTTTATATGCCTACCGTTCCGCTTTCGCGCATTCATTCCGCCTTGACATTTATAAATGTGTTAGATAGTTTATGGCTCGAAATGGAAGCATTGTTCCTTATAACTGTTATATTTTGAGGACTTGTCGTGTTAATAGATGAAGTCAATTTAAATTATGAGATCACCATAAGATGTGGTCAAGGAGATAGGACTATGGGTCGCGGCTGTGGGTGTTGAGTAAATAAATTTTTAAATTATCAATGGTCAAGGTAAATCAACATCTAATAAAGCAAAAATCTCATCTCGAAACACAAAATGCTATTTATATGCAATAATAAAAGAAAAAATTTAAGATATCCCAGTTGAAGCCGTGTCATTGACGCCGATACAGCAATTTTTAAAACTAAGTAAGTCTTTCACATATAATTCTTTTGTTCGTTCAAATATTTTGCGAGAAATAAGTTCAAGGTTTCCACACATTGATTCTTAGGTAGATGAATAATTAAATAAACAAATTGATCGACAACGCCGTGAAACATAGCAGCTGTCACGGACGCCTTGATACTGAGTCAAAATTACGTATATGAAAACTACAAACATAATAAAAAAATTAATCAATAAAAAGGGCATAATGTAAACACAAAGCAAGCAGCGGGAGAACCTTCCTAACGGTTGGAAGGCACGCCAACGTTTACGCGATAGCATTGTGAATGAAATGAAAAATCGGCGACAAATGACATTAGAAAATGTATGTATCAATAATATAGAGCAATTTTCTTTAAAACCAACGCCTATGACGCTTTTCTTATTTATTATTCCGTTTGCATTTTATTAGAGTGAATTTAAAAGTAGTCAATGGCAAATAATGATGGCTAAGTCAAGGCTACTTCGAGGATTTAATCAATGTCCCATTTAATAATACATAGTGTGTGAAATGTCGACTATATATTTTTGTTATTAGCATAACAACTTCTTTAAGTTATAATGTCCAAATAAGGTAATCATTTAATATATATTGAAATTGACACCATCTCCTTATTAATTATTTAGTCACAAACATTTTACCACAGTTTTAAATTAGTTTAGAATATTATGTATTGAAAAATTTATTATATAAAAAAAATTACGAAGAGTTGGTAAGGCCTGTGTGAACTATTTATAACTTATAATAAGAGTAATTGGGTGCTTTTACCAAGGCTTAAATGGCAAAAATAAATATTACAGAAACTATACATACTTTTTATTAGTCCATTTTATCCTATAAGACAAAAAAGAGGGTATCTTTAAAAGTGTGTATCCTAAAATTCATGACAACCCCTGTTATAGATATCATTGAAATGTCTTGTACTACAATTGGTGACATATTTTTGAAGCAGATTGTTAGAGTAAAATAATATGATTAGGCTTAATTTTATTAGAATTAACTATTAAGAAGCTGAAACTACTGATTTTGTTTTTCTCACTCTTTTATTTTGTTAATTATGGGCTTCAACCCCGGCCATACTTTGTATTAATTTAACTTATATTTACATTATATTCAGATAGGGCTTTAATTTTTAATGGAATTTACTCTCATAATATATTTACAAAACTTCTGTCTATTGCCCAAACCCATGTTTTAAATATTAATATTATATTTTGGCCTACAAAAATTAACTAATATTTTTTTGTACAAAAGACATCATTTTTACAGCATTAATTATGTATGACAGATATCATAACATAAGGTTGATATTAAAAATATGCTGAAAATATTTTGGTAACAATATTTTATCAAAATTAAATCTGCTTTTGATCATTTTTATATGCTATATTGTAATAAGCATGAAAACATATTTTAATACATATAGGAAAGGTAATAGGACTACTTTACTAATCAGACGTATTTTTTAAAAATTGTCATAATAATGTATTGTTTACTGAAGGTATGCAAATACTTAAGAAAATGAATGGGGAAACACTAGTATTCCCCCTATTTGTACTGAAAAAATGATATCATTTTACAAGTTATAATAAATAGATATAGATAATGAGATAAATTTGTATGTAATTTTGTTTACGACGTCCAAGATTCTACGGAATACCCGGTTACAACAGGTTGGTCTCTTTACTTTAGCAAACTAAAAATAGACAGACCGTCATAATGTATCGAATATAAACATTTAGTTGAATTATTTTCCGTTTACAACATCATCTTACTTTGATTACGTACGCGACTTTTATATATGATTTGATCATTTAAAAAAGTGAAAGTACATTCAAAAGTTGACAACTGTGCCAAATAAAAACAAATTAGAATTGAATAAAATATCGATAAATATTCTATTACACGTACCATATCAAATATAAATCTGATCACAAGATAACACAGATATTAACCCACACAACTTCTTATAAAAATCCTTTAAGAATTGTTCTATTACAAAACCATACAACCACAATTTGCACAAACTGACAAGAACTAAAAAGCGGGTTGATTGCAATTAGCACAGACGTACACAACTGACATTCCATATTTTGACATACTCTGTGGTCCCATAATTAATATAACAAAAAGAAGGCGAGGTCTATTATTCCGAAATTAATTATTTACATACACGTTATCAAATATTTCTTTGATTTAAGTGTCATTATATTTACTATGTTTAGATTGAAATAAACATTGAATATTAATGTAAAAAAATTTAAACATTAGGGGGTAAATTATATATTATGTGAACATAAACAATTTAATGCGTTTGTATTTTGTCTATAATTTATAATTTGAACTGTAAACCAAACATCTTACAAAGATACGTGTCATTTATCAAAAATAAAATTAAACAGAGTATTAATTGGTACGACATAACTGATATGAATATTTCAATAGAAAAGAAAAAATCTGATTGTGATGCTTTGCCGAAAGGTTGGCAAAGAGAAGAAGTTGTGAGAAAAACCGGGCTCTCGGCTGGAAAAGTTGATGTTTATTACTATAGGTACATCTTACAAAATTTTAACTTAAATATTTTTATTACAATCATGTTTTCACAAAAAAGAGGTTACTAACTACTTCCTATAGTTTTCAAAACAATTTTTTTTAACTTTACATTAGCGAACCAACAACTTCATATTTGAACAGGATGTTACTTATAAAATAATCTTTCATCCTAAGAAAATTGGGTCATTGGAGGATAGAGATGTCTACCGAATAATGATCAGTGGTAAAATAACTGAAAGGTACTCCTAAAGTCGTTATAATTACTTCCATGTTAAATCTAGATCCAATATATAATGTGCCTATAAAATGATCTATATAGCTGCCATTCAGTTATTTACATGAACACCAGTTTATCCATTGCTAATAATATTTAACCCGACTAACTTCAACAGCTGTCGGTAGCTGGCCTGTCTTTGGTGACAATGACTTTTCTATAGTCCAACAGGTAAAAAGTGTCGCAGTAAATCCGAGCTAGTACGTTATCTTGGTGATAGTGTGAACTTGTCATATTTTGACTATCAGCAAGGTCAACTAAACACAATGCTCCTATGCAAGGTCAAGAAGCAAGCTCGGGCGCAGTATGAATACAACAGGTTTACATTAGAGTCATAACTTCTATCACTTGTGTTGTGTTCATTAGTGCAGTTCCGCTTTGTGTTACATGTACATGCTCTATATCCCACAGCTTTAGCAAGATTATGAGAAATTATAAAAAAATCACCAATATACATCTCAAGATACCTGAGAGTTAAATAGATTCAACTTTTTAATGTGCCTTCTATTATTATTGCCTTTAATTCTAATAAAGCTACACATCTGCTTATAACACTAAAAAGTTGGATATAATTCAAAATTTATAATATTGTTAGGTGTTTTTTTTGTGTGTAATGTTGTTGTATTAACCATATTTCATAGTATTAAGCATAGTATATATCTATGATTCGAAAGATCGCTGTTTATTACTTCACACTTATCACAAAATATTCTACCGCAATGTTTTGTATATAACTGCATAGTTATCATAATGCATGACTAATGTTGCATGTAACCTATTTAATTCTTAATTTATTGTAGTTTTATGTGTTGTTTGAGTATCATTTTTGTTTGTAGAAGTTTTTGTTTTCTATGGTGATTATTTTTGTTTTAAACAATGTATTTTGAATTACTCTCTTTTCAGTTTATTTATTATTGAATTAAAGAATCAAAATTGACCTGCAATTTCCGCCTGAAAACAAGTGCTTTATAGCCTGAGACATATAAAAAATGTTTGGTAATAAAAATACAAATGTACAAATTTAATTTTTAGGGGTTTTCGTTCTGATGCCTCACTTGTGCCTCCTATAAGACAAACTGCGTCTATATTTAAGCAACCAGTAACTGTCTACAAAACACAGGAAAGCAAAGTCAAGACAGATCTGAAACAAGGGACACAAGAAAAACCTAAGCAATTATTCTGGGAAAAACGTCTCGAAGTAAGTTAGACTACTTTATTATTCAAAATGTAAGAATTTAGTTTTCTGTTATGCTGTTAGTAGTTTGACCAAATTGCTATTTTAATGTCTTAAAATTTTCTCAGGGTTTAACTGCATGTGATGCCAATGGTGTAATAGGAACCACCTCACTGCCAAAGTACATAAAACCCTTAGGTCCATACACATCAGATGCAACAACTATACAATCACTCGCTACGGCTTTACATGTGTCATCTCAACCAATTACAGGTACAACTCATTAAAAAAAATACGAAATTATTCTTAAATCAGAAACAAATAAAACTATACTACAATCTGACTATCAAGCTAAGAAACTTTCATTAAAATCATTGTTATAACCCTTTAACGGTCATAAGGAGTGAACAGTGGAAAAACAAAATTGTTTATGGTTAAGGGTATATAATAAAAGTAAAAACATATGTACATATAAATATATATTTGTTAAATGTTTCATTGTCAAACTGTCTATTGACAATCATAAAAGTTACCTGAATAAAAAAAAACGACCGGTGGACGAAATTTCGGTTTAAAAAAAAATAATCATGGTGGTGAAAATATCGCCTCTAACTTATAAAGGGATAAAATATATGTGTAATTCTATAATACTTAATAATGTATTTTTCTCATTTGCAGGTCAGACGGGATCCAAACAAACAATCATGGAGAATCCAGGGGTTTTTTTAAATCCGGAGCAGCCGTTGATAGCTGCTGTGACTATAACGAAGGATGATCTGCGTCGCCAGGAGGAGAGAGTTGAGAGGGCTCGGCTGAGACTGCAAGAAGCCTTGGCAACTGCATAGGAAAACGTCGGCGACGGAGATCAAGTCTTCGCCGCCGACCAAACAGATGCAGAGCACATGATGCCCGACTCAACTGCAGATTCACCGAGACCTTCCATATCTGAATGTGTCATCGATAGCACCAACTAAACTCTTATTAAACTGAATATTACAATAAGTTATATAATAGATTGTAATGATTAGAATTATAATATAATTAACTTATTTGTAATTTTAAACCCATTATGCAATGGTGAATATGTATTATCATGTATTTGTTATTAAGATAATATAAGATAAATAAAGTAATGTAATTTTTAGCTATAAATTTTAAATCAGGTTAGTGTTGAAAGTGATCATAATGAATATGGTATTTAGTACTATTTTAAATAAAATCTAACTAATCAGTGTTAGGGTAGAGTAAATCTGTTTTACCATCACCAACCATCAGAATCTCCCCATAATGTTTTTGCTATAAAAATATTAGTAATAAGAACAAATTATCATTTCGTATTTAATGAAGAATTAATTCGTATTTTCGATAACTTTTGTTTCCATTAAGAAATATATTTTATATGCGTCAATGTAAATTTCAAAATGTATTAGGTAGATCCTTTTACACTGAAGTAGGAGATAAGGTAAATGAAAATAAAAATATAATATTAAAAACTTTATTGCAGAAATTCATTGGAAGCTATTATTTAAAAAGCTATAAATTGTGATTGTGAGTTTATTTAACAAGAAGTATTCACAACCATACAAATAGAAAATATGTTGATAAATACATCATTTAAATGTTTCATTAATAGATTAATAAACAAGCATATTGAGACTAAAAATTATAACTTTATAGATGAAAAATTTAAGAAGCTCTCTTAATACCAAGCCACACACTTCTTAGATTTATATTTCGTAAATTCTAATAATAAGATTTTTTCTATGTAAACAAACTAAACTGTATTGACTTAGTTTCATCAGAAAAATCCAATTCTTCACTCTCACCACCATATTACTAGGTTTACACTACACTATATGGTTCGCTTCTTAAAATAAATTTTAATGCAATTACATTTCTAATATAAATATGACTAGAAAAATTTTTGTTACTATAATCAAATTTAACTTCAAATAGTAAAGCTTATTTTGTCACTACCTACAAATTCTATCTAGCAATTTTATCTAACTTTTAAAATATATAATGGACTAGTTCCCAAAAGGCCCCATGCGATAATTATTTATACAAGGCTTTGTTTATCTATAACGCTAAATTTAAGAACACATTGGCCCTGAATTTAGTTTAAAAAGTATAATGTGGAATGATATGTCAATGGTAGTGTTAGATTTGGTATGATATAATTAAGTGATATGTATTATGTATCCTGAAACGTTTAAAAAAATTTAATAAGAACTATATGAAACATTTTATCAGGTCCAAGGATAAAAATTGGAAAACAATACAGTTCCAATAACAAGATAACCAAGAAAATAACATTGAATGAACCGTGATTGGAAATCTGGCATCTTTCTAGATACAATGAAAGTTTTCCACTTACTATACATATTGTCAACACCCTCCAAATTCGCTATCGATAAATGGTGCGACGGTATCCTTTTACCGATGCCTATACGACGGAAATGTTCGTTTATAGTATTTTGATCTGATGTTGGTGTAGGTCCAACATTAATCTTGCTTGAACAAATCCAATACAAAACTGGACTAGCAGAAGCCAGAAGCCTAGTTGTCACCTGAATGTGGACAAATACCAAACAAAAGATCGATAAAAATAGCACATGTACTATATAAACAAAGAAAACAGGATCATTGGCCCCAAATGTTTTGGAATATTGCTTTTGTCTATTGCTCATTTTACTGGTATATATAAAATTAAATATATTTTCTTTCAAACCTAGTCTTAAAAATAACCTGATGTTGTTTTTTAAATATGATAAGCAGTTATAAAGAATTAAGACCAGAATTGGAAAAGCAAGCATAAAGTTTGGAATTTGTTTTAGCTTATAGTATTCAAAAGGACCTACTTCCCAATAATGTTTTTGTATGTATGAGTATGAGAGCGGCAATGAATTATTACACCAAGGACTTTCTGCAGTCCCAGGAAGTAAATATTCTGTATTAGATAAAAATTCAGGTAGATTGTGATCATTGTGAACACAAAACTTAAAATAATTGTAAGTTTGTACTAATACAAATGGGAAAATTGCTACTATCACAGTCAAGAAAAGTGCCACACTAGATGTAAAAATTGGTAGCAATAAAACTGGAATTATTATCCTATGTTTCAAAGTTCTATATTTGTACGCAATTTCTGGTAATGTCCTTTCTATCACATTCTTAAAACTAGCATAGAAAATAAATCCTAAATTAACAACACCATTAGATCGAGTTATCATAGAGAACCCAGCTGGTAGAGCACTCAATATATCTATATTAGCAAAACGTAACGTCTCATTTTCAGTGCATTTAAACATAGTATAAAAGGACATTAATGCAAACAATGATTCTGAATATGGTGCTGAGAAAAATATACTTGCTGGATTTACACAATACAGTATTACAGATTTATATGCCCTACTTTCACTTCTAAGTACTCTAATACTCAATTTGTGTAAGATATCAGCAGATTTCATAAATATTAATATATTTATTATAGTGGCAGATATTAATAGAGTACTGTGAAAGTTTATTACAGATCCTAAAACACTACTTAGTATGTAACCAACATACCTTACAATTAAAGGAAACATGGGAAAGAATGCCAAACAATTTTCATAAGTGTAACCATACTGGGCAATATGTATGAAGTACTGTGCATCCCATCTTTTCATACCTCCTACAAATAGTTGAACAATATTATCAGCTCTACTCGAACGTAAGGTCGGATCTTCAGGACTGATGAAAACCTTTGCATCGTGGTCAGGAATAAGAATATTTGATACCATTTGAATAAACAAAATAAACACTCTTGAACTGAATGCAAACCACATAATTTTTTGTCGCGGAGAATACATGATTCACTGAAAAAAGTAAAATAGGTATCTTTCAGAAGGGCTGAATAACGAATGCCTTAATATAATAACTGGTATACTTACCAAATTATAGTTTATCAATAATTTAAATATGTACTTGATTCAAAAACAACTTGTGACATCTGTGATAGACCGTTAAAAAATAAAATAACTAGTATTAATAATAATACATTCTTAGAGCATTTCTTCACATTTTATTTAATAAATATTTGATTTTAAAGAATTAAATCAGATAAATAACCCTAGTGTCATATTGTCAGATGTCATTATGTTGACCGAAAGACTTGCGTCTTGTACGCAGTACGATAGACTATATTGTATACCTATTTTATTGACTAAATCTTCATAGAATAGATTTGTCACAAAAAACATTTTGTTTAATTATTAGAGAGATTATTAATTAACCACCCAATCGGTTTGGTAAAATAACTAGCTAAAAATAAAATTACACGTAAAATTCAGTACATACTTGTATGCCTATAGATCTTACTTACATCATACCTATGCATGAGAATAAGGCACCTGAGTCCTGACTTGTTAGTGCTTTGACAGATTCTAGATATTTGGCGACAAATAAATATTCGAATATAGGTATATATCGTCATGTTTTACTCAGGTCTTTCCCCCTTTCTGCCGCATCTCCTTTCCTTTTTGCGACGTACAATTTTTATCTCTTTGTCCAATTGTTATAAAAACAAATTATTTTTTGAAATTGAAATTCTTAGTCGACGCCCGTATTAAGTATTTGACGGTACTATTAAGTTTTTCGGTGTACAAACCCAACCCACAGTCATAGCCCGTAGGACTAACCATGCCTAAACAGAACGTTTGATTAATATTATACTTTTATAAAATTGGAATTTTAAACTTGATTCTGTCATTACGGCTTTTTGTAAAAAAAATCTATGTGTGATGATAACAGCCTGTACACAAATATGGAACGAAAAATAAAACAACTCCGTAAGCGTTTTCAAACTTTAATGATACATAATTAGTATTTTTGTATTAATATTATTCTATATAATTCTTGGAAATTTAACGTATTCCTTAACAAAACTGAGCAACAGTGTCTGTTTTGTTTTTTTTACAACTTAAAAAGTAATTTGCTACACATTAGATAAAATAAAAAAGCACAGAGCTTTAAATATGGGTTCTACCACCACAAGGAAATTTAGAAATAAACTGTACAGTCATCAAACACCAATCAATCTCCCTTCAAACAACTTTATTATTTACCCCACATTTTAATGCAACCAAAGACCAAAGTAACACGAATCAAAATACATAACTTATAAGACATTTGAAACAAACAGCAATTTAAATTCAGGCAATCCTTTTTAATTAGTATGATATTTAAAGAAAATTTCAAATAAATAAATCTGTAGTCTCTCACTGAAAGACTTGTTATTTCAATCTTGCTCTGTAATCTTTTATACATTTGTATTACAAACTACCATAGCTTTTAGGCATATTAAATAATAACAATCAAAAATAAGAAGTGACTGTACACAAAATAGCACATTTATAGCTTTAAATTTATTGCCTGGTGTGTCTTTACTAGTTTTTAAAGCAAAACTATTTACATAAACCTACATCAATTACCTTAGTTTACGGGAATTAAAACATGTAAATATTAATAGCATTGTGAGAAAGTATAACAGTTATCGAATAAAATATATTTATTAAATATAAAAACTAAGACAGTGTTTACAAAATACCTTAGTCAAATATTCAGGTTTGGTTTATTTATATGTGAAAAAAAAAAACAATTTATTACCTAAAATAATAAGGAATGAATAAATTTAAGAAACCATCCAATAATGTCAGATATTTTGATAGTTCAATTTCAATAATACCTTATATGATGATGTTTCTGTCAATTTAAATAATGCTTGTATAATTCTAGATCTACTTGCACCACACCATAAAACAGAAAAACGGATCAAGTATAAATAGTAATTGAGAATATATAGTATACTTTTAGTAAAATAATAAACATATATTTTATAATAACTTAATAGTAACAGTGTCCTGTTCAGAATGTGGTACAAGTGAGTCTGGCTCTACGGCGAGTGTGTTAGCTCATGGACAGTTGACCCAGAGCCAGTAGCCTTTCAACTGCCGCGTTCACGTCACCAAATGTTGCGATCAGGGCTGTAAATTAAATATTTTTATAAATATCTCTGGATAATATGAATTTTATGGTAAACTAGGATAAATAATGCTGTTCTTCTGTAACATGTAAACATTGACCATTCAACAGTATCAAATTGATGTCTAATAGTTATGATTCAAAAAATTTTTTTTATTGTTAATGATATGTCATGTACCTACTCTTATTCTGGTGTATGAAATTTTTTTTCATATAAAGAAAGTATCCAAATGACAATATATACAGGGTGACTGGTGAATTACTATCAATATTTAAGGAGAATACTCGGTACATGATTCTCATTCGAATTATGTAAAAAAATAGGTACTTAATTTTTGACCAAATTTCCGTATAAATAAATAAAGTGTGGACACGTTCCAAGTGTGGACGCGTGCGGCGGCGTGCTGATACAACACCACGCCGCCGCACGCGTGTGTGCTAATCTGTAGGGTGTTCACACGATGCGTAATTAATTACATAACTTTTGGTCAACTTTACTTAGAAGTTTATTAATATTTATGTTATACTAGTTTTTGCCCGCGACTTCGTCCGCGTTAGTTTGGTCAAGAGTAATATATGTAGGTATAGCTGACCAGGTGAACTCTATTCCGTCTTAGAGGCCATAAATAATCAGGTTTTTCCTGTTGCAATCAAACAGAACGATTGACATATTAGTGAGTTGTCAAATCTAATGTAAAAAAAAAACGTTTGTATGGGAAATGGGAAAGGGCTGTTTTTAGGGTTTTCCCGGCAATTATTCAAATTTTTCTCACCTTTTAAACCTTCCCTGGACTTTCAGGAGTATTTCAAGACTAAAATTAGCCAAATCGGTTCAGCCGTTCTCGAGTTTTAGCGAGACTAAGGAACAGCAATCCATTTTTATATATATAGAAGATTAATTTTTATTTTGTCATATATGATCGTCAAATATCACGTCCTCAAGTATCGATAGTAATTCACCAGTCACCCTGTATATTTTAAGTTACACTAGTGAACACGCATTAAAGATGGGTACCTTGTAAATTAGCCTCCCTGTTGAGGAATCCCATGGCTGTTAGTTGCTCTAGCTGCTGTGAGTAGCGTTGTTCTGGTGGCTGTTGAGTGTTCGTTTGGTTGTTTGCCATCGCCGATACCATTCTTTGCATGAACTGAAAATATCAGTATTAAATTATAACGACGCGTTTATATGGTATTTAAAAATGTTGGAAATAACCAACCAAACGCGAGTTTGATTGGGCTATGCACGGTTCCATGCCATTTTTTTTATTAAAATATATAGCGGCTGTATCGGAACAATATTTTTGATTAATTCGTAGCAAAAATATAAAATCTACGAAAATGTCAACGGAATATCAAAGTTCATGTGATACCATCTACTGTAAGATAGTCAGTGAACTCTTAATAATAAAATCACATTTATGATTTACGATTTCGGTTTAGAACAATAAAAATCATGCAGTGCAGTATACTACAACCATATAGGTATGAACATTAGTTTACATAGAAGACAGAACCAATTATAGAAATTAGAACAAATAGTATAGTACAATCCCTTTGGATGTATCATGTACTGCTTTAAGAACATACTGAACTTATTTTCCCATTACACCTTGTCTCATCGTTAGGAAGGCGAGTCGGTAATTTATATTCTTCTACAGCTGCGTGCAAAAGTATTAGGCACCCCTATTGTTAGTCACTATCTCATTATATTGCGGTCAAGTGTGTGTTTTATGGTTTAGCTATTGTATTAGCGGCAATTTTTAACCAAATTAAGATAAAAGAAAATATTTATGACATCCAGGTGTGCTCCTAAGCGGTGTTTCTTCGAATTTGCTTTTTTTGCGTTTCGGGTTATAGTGTGTTATCAGTGCTTGCAGTGAACATACACGTCTTCTACGCAACTATTTCTATCACAATTCTAAAGACTAACATTTAACGTGTTAATCATGCCGAAAAAATCTGAACTTAGTGCTGAACAGCGTCTAAGAATTAAGATTTTACATGAACAAGGCATGTCTCAGGTTAAAATATCCCGAGAAGTGAAGTGCTCGCGATGTGCAGTTCAATATGCTATAAATCGCTTCAAAGAGACTGGCACCCATGAAAATAGACCAAGAACAGGCAGAAGAAAAGTTACTACTGAACGGGAAGATCGATTGTTGATTAGGCAGTCTCTACAAAACAGGAAAAAAACTGCTTTAGAGCTCGCTGCAGCATTATCTGAGGCAAAAGGCAGGTCTGTGAGTGTTTATACTGTGAGAAGAAGACTTCTTAAAGCTGGATTAAAAGGATGTAAAGCAAGGAAGAAGCCGTGGCTGTCAGAACACAATAAGAAAAATCGGTTGGAGTGGGCACTCAAACATAGAGATTGGTCAGTGGAAGATTGGTCCAACATACTGTGGTCAGACGAATCTAACTTTGAGGTATTGTTATTTATTCTATGTACAATATTAAAACACATAAATGTTTTTAAAATAACTTACTGCAAGAAAAATAATAACTTTGAAAATAAATGGGTTTTTTTCGTTTGGCATAGGTGTTTGGAACACCCGGTGTGACTTATGTTAGGCGAAGGGTTGGCGAAGAATACAACCCAGAATGTGTGGTTCCCACTGTTAAGCATGGTGGAGGCTCAATAATGATCTGGGGCTGCATGGCTGCCGACGGAGTGGGCGAAATGGTGTTGTGTGAGGGACGAATGAATAGTGTTAAATACACTGAAGTTCTGGAAACAGCACTAGCAACGTCGATAACGCAAATTTTCGGTGATACAAACACCGATGGCCTGAAATTTCAGCAAGACAACGCCACTTGCCACAAGTCCGCGCATACCATGAAGTGGTTTGCTAAAAATCATATTGATCTTTTGGACTGGCCGCCACAATCACCAGACCTCAACCCGATTGAGCATATTTGGTCCATTTTAAAGAAAAATATCCGCAGGCACTCGATTAGCAATAAACAAGCTCTATTGGCCGCGTTACAGCAGGAATGGAAAAATATATCGAGAGAAGAATGTTTCAGGCTGGTAGAGTCAATGCCAAAAAGAGTGGCTGCGGTTATTAAGTCAAAAGGTGGACCTACAAAATATTAATTATTTTCTTAAAATAAACCATTGTAATCATAAATGCAGTTTTATTTACACTCGCTATGCTAAAACACCCTAAAACTTGTCTTACTATAGGGTGCCTAATACTTTTGCCCGTGGCTGTAGTTATATTAACATTGTATATGTTTAAATATTTTTAAGATTAATGTTACCTGTGTGAACAGTTCAGAGTTCTGTTGTTGTCTCGCTTGTGCCGGCGGTGTGTTAGTAGTGGGAGGTGGTGGTGGGGCCGCAGTTGCAGCGGCTGCTCCGAAGCCCATGTTATTGACCAAGCTTGGAGCCGCCGCTCGTAATTGTTCCATACCCTGTTGGATCTGGAGTAGGGCATTCAGCGCCTGAAAATGAAAAATTTATTAATATTTATAAGGAAGCCTTACAATATTTCGTATTTATTGCAAATTATAATACATAATTTTATGTTTTATTCAGGCTACAAATTTTTAGATTATTTAACAGATAATAGTTATATGAAAAAATACACAAAATGTTAGTGTGAGAGAAGTTTACAGTTCTTATTTTCACAATAATCTTTCCATTTATCTTTTACATTTGGAAAAGATACAAACACCTAAGAAGTTGTATTAGTGTAGAATCAGGTTTTTTAAGTATGATTCGAAAGAAAATTTTGTGTCTTCCGTTACATTTTAATGCAAATAATATACCTGTGGATTAGACATCATCTGTTGCATTTCTGGATTCTGTAGCTGGGCTAGCATTTGTGGCATCATAGTACGAATCTGTTCTTGAAGTTGTGGGTTATTGGCAAACATTGGGTTCTAAAATCAAAGAGAGTCACTTTAATCTAACACTTTCCTGATTACCACAGAAAATTATTGATATATTTTATCATATAAAGTATATGTATAGTTGATTTTGTATGACGAAATACCTGGTTAATAAGTTGAGATGCCATCTCTGGGTCAGCAGCGAGAGCTTGTAGCATACTATTAGTGTATGGGGCTGATAGCATTGATTGTACGAGACGAGGATTTTCCGACATCTGTTGTAACAATGACTGCATGCCAGGTGTATTGATGAGGCCTGGGCCTGTGTTTGGTGTACTAGTTGCATTAGAACCTCCACGCTGCCAAGGGTTCGGAAGGGGCTGGCGGTTCTCTGCCCCTTGTTGGGGATTGGTGCCATCTGTAGAATAAAGTTTGTAAGTATAGATATAACCATATACATATATGTATTATATCGGAAAATTCTTAACTTATTTCTCTTTATGTTATGAATAAGATTCAACAATATTTTTTCATACTAGATGCAACTATAGTGCCCATAAACATTTGAGATGAATTCCTCATAAAAATAATATATTATGATAAAACTAATATTTTTATATGACTATATATTTTAACCATAGAAATAGATGCTAAATAATATTGGGTAATTTGATATTATCAAGAAAATGAGGACTTTAAATTTGTAAATAACTTATTAAACATATGAAATATTAGAATGTTTGATTTATGACTTATAGATTTAAGCCTCAATGGCCTTTGGAATATAATAAATATTGAGTAAATATGAATTTATTTTTTATTTTTGAATATTTATATTTAACTTTTCAAAAGCAAAATCAGTCTGTAATTTAATGATAAAATATGTTTTTTGAATCACATGAAACTGCTAGTATTGTAACACTCACACCAAATTGGAAATTTATATGTATATAATATGATATGTAACAGAAGTTATCTTTCAAAAATGATTCTTTTTTTTTACATCAATGCTTATGAAATGTTAACAAATAAACTCTATAGTATAATTAAATAAATGAAGACTTTGTTAATGTGAACTTAATGTATACCTGAATTGTCAACTAGTCCAGAGAATGGGTTTCCAGCCATGCTACTGGCTACATTCAACATTGGTTCTTGGATGTCTCGATACATTCGCTGCAAAGCATTGTAACCACCTAAAAATAAATAATCATATAATTAATATCTAATATGTTGGCTCTAGACTGAAATATGTTTCGAGTCAGGCAACTAAAGATGATATTATTTTAGTATATTATAGAGAAATATTTACCAGGTATACTCTCCAAGTTGGACAAGGCTCGGTCATGGGACCTCATCAATTCTTGCAGCATGGCAGGATTGCGTGCCAATTCCATTGTTTGTCTTAACAGTTCAGGATTGTTCAGCATGTGACTAATTTCAGGGTTCCTCTGTTTATAGAGATAAGACCATTTAAAAAGACAAAGAAATAGATTTTTATAATTAAATGGTTCTAATAATTTCCAAAATGGTATAAAATTTGTTAAGTCTTGCTGAGTCTCTAATTATTAAAGAAATAATCACTATTTTGAGTACTAAAACTAGAATTTATAACACAGTGTTTAAAATGTCACATATGTAATTAATTTAAAAAAAAACAATGCATGTATATCATTTTACAATAACACTGGCATTTTTGAAGAAATTAAATAATGTTAAGGTAAAAATTCCTTGTATAATTTAGTAAGAGTTAATATTTTTACATTTCCAGATATATTATAACCAAACATAGAAGACTACCACAAGAGAACTTGCTTTTAAATGAAATAAAAAAAAACTAGAAATTTTCTTATCTGTGTGGTAGATATGATGTCAAAGACAAATACACACACAGAGACATCAAAATTAATCTTATAACAACAATCTTTTACTGAGGGGAGTTTAAAAACAATTTAAAAATAATAGAACATATGAATGTACTCATTAATAATTACATTCAAAAGGAACTTAAACATCATTTTTAATATGTTATAAAAAATACAATAACTTAGTTCCTACTATAAATAACAACATAGTATGTTTTGTATATATATGAATTCATCATTTACTAGTGGCATAGCTTAAATAGCTTAACTATCTTTATATAAGATTTAAGGGTAATCCATATAAAAACTTACAGCCATCAAATCTTGCATCTGTGGGTTTGATGTAATAAGGGTACGCATATTCTCAGGATCGTTCATCATTTGCTGAACAAGTGGGTTATCGAGCACTTGTCTTAACATATCGGGGTTCGACAAAAGCTCTTGTTGCATACGAGCCTACAAAAGAAATTGACACAGTTCATGAACATAATATTCTTCTTCTTCCTGGTAATTTCCCAGCTTTAGCCAGGGTCTGCCTTAACATAATATTATTGATCACAATAGAAATAAAACACTCACAAAGATTACATGGTAATGTTAAACACTATTGATTATTTCTTCATTTCAAAAAGAACTTGCTTTTATAAATTATAAATGTGGTAATAATTTATTCACATTTAAATTTTCTTAATTATGTATTGAGGTTGTATTCAATAAAATGAGTGCTATGTATTTTATGAAATTTACAAAACATTTTTGATTATTAAATGTTATAGAAGTAGATCACAATGTAGACTTACATCTTAAACATTTAATTTATGAAAATATTATTCTTTTCAGAAATATATTAACAGAAAAATTTTATGTTTGATTATATTTCATAAAAAAATAATCTTATAAGTAATTTAAAGGAATGTGAAAACACATTTGTTTAAATCAATATGTAATAATAACAAACTGGTACCATTAAATTATCATTTTATCAAAGTATATGACAACAATTATATATATGTTCAACAGTATAGAGCAACCAATTAAATATAAGATGTTGCATTTATACACATATATTTAAATATATGAGAATTAAATATTCTTACTTGCAAGTCCATAAAAGTGCTTTGGCCTAGACCAAGGCTTTCTAAGCCTGCTAGACCCCCAAGAGAATTTAGTCCAAAAGGTGTAGCACCAATATCAGCTACAAACAAACACACATTTCATCAACTAAACACATTTATAAAAAAACAATCAAATTGTTTCACTCATCACAATTATCCCGATATTAATCTAATCAACAATTTCGACACAAATCAACTGTCAATAAATGTATTAACTAATTAAAAATGTCTACCCTAATAACACGTAATTTATTAACCTGGAGGGCGCCGTGTTCCACCTTCCGGTTCAGGTCTCGGAGGAGTCTTGATAACAAGATGAACTGTCAACCCATCCTTGATGTTATGTTGCTTCATAGTATCTGAATCGTTCATAATTTTTCCGGCAAAAATTAAACATAGTTGCTCGGGCTCCGCGTTAAATTTAGGGGACAACACTTCTTTGAGCTGAAAGCGTACAAATAAATTTAATTTGTTGCCGAATGATTACAGGAATGTCATCACTGATTGCGTATGCAATATCTATGTTATTACGCCATGAAAAAGAAACCTAGCGACGCTGTACTCACTTTTTTGATATCTGCATCTTCTTCGATTTCAACTTGCTGCTTTTCTTTTGGTGTTTTTACAGTAATTGTAATCTTTTTAGGTTCCTCCTGGCCTTCTGCCATTTTATCAATTCTAGATGACTCTGTACTTTGGCGGAATAGCAATTTTGTGCAGCACTAGAATTTGACGACTAGGGCATTTACAACAGATAATATAATAAATTGTTAATAGCGTTTCGTTGATTGTAATTGTTTAACATTTTTTCTTTTGATATATCTTTAAATTATATTATGTACTTTTAAAACAAAAAAGAGCATTAATATTCCTATAAAATATTAAAGATTCGTTTATTCATATTTAAATATTGAAAATATTTTTGTTGAATATTAAAATATATGTAATAAATTCAAAAAAATTGTTTAAGGCAAAATTTATAAACTTTCAATCACATATTTTAAAATATTTGTAATTACTCTTGATATAACTCAAGCAATTAAAAATATATACGTACTACTTAAAGGATTTTATTACCTTGACACTGACAGTCAGCTGACAGAATCAAAAACAAAAAACAGTGTCCCAGAAAATGTTTTAACAGCAAAATTTTTATGAAAATCGTCCAAACGAAGTTTCGTATGTTTATTTTCCATATATTTAATTTATGATTTGTATTTCTAAAATAGCTTCATTTAATTTATGCATTTCCAGCACAACTTTGGATTGTTTATTAGGCTTCCGTTATTCTTTTTTGAAACATAAACTTGTAATTTGATGAGAATGCCGAGCGCAACAGTAATTAATTTTTGAATTAATGATAGGTTTATTTTATAGAAATAATTATAACACATGGCGGTAAGCTTATAAATTTTTATAATAATCCCGTTTAAAAAATTTGATGTGTTATAATTTTTAATTTTATAAAATAATTTTTAGCAGTTAGATTTGCATGACACTTTCTTAAACGATGAGGACCATCAATCGCTGCATATTACAAAACAAACAGGAACATTATCCAAAAGGAAAACTGATAAAGGTATTAATCGTAAGCTATTTAATATTCAGTTATCTTATTATTAATTTGAAATATATTTTCATTATAGAAGAGAAAATATCATCAGAACACTTAGTTAAGGAAGATATGGCAGATAAAATTGCATCAATTCTTATGCATAACTATGATGGCAAATTGTATGGAGAAGATGATACATCTCAGCCAACTTCGTGTACTGCACCAATTATACCTATTGAAGCTACTCGTAAAAAAAAGAAAAGGAAGAGGTAACTTGATCTCTTTAATATATATCTTATTATCATATTTGATGTATATATGTAAATGTTTGGAATAGTAGGGCTTATACAAGTCTTGGTATGAAAGATCTCATATTCAATTACTATCAAGACTATGTTTCTTAATAATATTCATATTTTTTTTAAGTCAGTTTTGAAAAATTATATAGGTTTGGAACCAATTTTCAAAGTAGATTGTTTTAAAGTTTTTAATATAATTTTTTATGTTAAAAATTGTCTGTTTATGTTGTCTAACATACCACTTATATAAAAGAGGAATTTTATAAATTTGAATGTGTTGTTGATGTGTATGTGTGTGTCTGTGTCATGATCGCTATAAAATAGATTGATCAATCTGAATGCTGTTTTTGTCAGAAAGCCACTTTCTTTGCAGTGATTCTTAGTTATTTTTTATAAGATTATCAGTTTTTTTTACAAAATTACTGATAGCAGTTTTGGCTTATGATAACTTCACTAAGTGCCTCATGTGTGCCAGCATAATCTTTAGATGGAAATTTAGATGTTTTTATGTTTCTATACTATTATATCCACATTTATATTGTTGTGGATATTATATTGATCTTTTATCTTATTTATAATTAAATTAAAACAGAGAATTGTGAAAACTTTTCACAACTATTATTTTAAAATCACACTTTGATGAATTAAATAATCAAATATTTATATTTGACTCTGTATTCATAAATAAAATTATAATCAATCCACTTATACTACCAATCAATCAATCCACTTTCCTGCCAACTACTATATAAATTAAAATGAATTACTGTATTTGCTTGATGTTTTGGTCAAGTTTAACCAATCATAGTCACAAGCTGAAAAACAAAATTGATTAATATGTTTATTATTCAGATCTCAGATATCAATATGCCTAACAAACTGTCGGTATGAGTCAATCCGTAAGGTGGCTAGTGCATTTGGTATGAGGGAGGTCTCTGAAGAAGAGGCTTGGAACTTCTACTGGACTGATATGAGTGTGTCCGTGGAACGAGCCAAGGAGATGAAGAGGTTCCAAAGGATAAATCACTTCCCCGGCATGCTTGAGATATGCAGGTGACTGTTATAACTTTTATGAAATGTTATTTTTAATAATATGAATCTTTATATACAGGGTGACTGGTGAATTACTGTCAATATTTAAGGAGAATACTCGGTACATGATTCTCATTCGAATTATGTAAAAAAAATAGGTACTTAGTTTTTGACCAAATTTCCGTATAAATAAATAAAGTGTGGACACGTTCCAAGTGTTCCAAGTGTGGACGCGTGCGGCGGCGTGCTGATACAACAACACGCCGCCGCGCGCGAGTGTGTGTGTGTGTATACCTAATCTGTAGGGTGTTACACGATGCGTAATTAATTACATAACTTTTGGTTAACTTTACTTAGAAGTTTATTAATATTTATGTTATATTAATTTTTATTTTGTCATATATGATCGTCAAATATCACGTCCTCAAGTATCGATAGTAATTCACCAGTCACCCTGTATATAGATTTTGACATGACACATTTTGTGCAGTAATCTTCTTTATTCTGCTGTATAAGAGAACACACTTTACTTAATCACTTTATTATAATTATTTTAATGCAAAAAATTAAAGATCAGTCTTCAATTGTCAGAGTTCTGGTAATACGTGTTCTAAGAGACCTCTACAATAAGATTATTGTAGAGGTCTCTTAGAACATCATAATCATTTGTAACTCTTATAAATAAAGGTTGAAATGATTTATCCTGTATGGTACAACTATAAGTGTTTAAGAATTACTTTGTAGCATAGGTTCCTAAACATTTGTTAGTGTAACAGATTGAAATTATTGATCTTCATCATCAAAAAAACAATAATTCATTTAATTTAATAGATTATATCTAGTTTTAACTTTTACTGTAAATCTAAATTGAGAAAATATTTTTATTTTCAGAAAGGATTTGTTGGCAAGAAACTTAAACAGAATGCAAAAAATATATCCTAAAGAGTATAACTTCTTTCCGAAGACCTGGTGCTTGCCTGCCGAGTGAGTAATTTGCTTTGTTTGACAAATTTAATATTAAAAATCAAAATAATAATAATTATTGTCTGGCATATAAAAGTTTAACCTTACGTTGTAGATATCTCTCTTATATTATAAATGTGAAAGTTTCTTGAGGAACTATGGATTTTGGTTTGTATGCTTAAATATCAGAATAGGAAATAGGCCATAATTGATCCCAGGATTCCGTCTAGATTTCTTAGGAACACTGTTTTTTAAGAACAATCAACTATTAAAATTTTTGCCAAAATTAAATTCGCAAGTCCTCACGAAGTCTTCTGCAAAATCTCAGAGAAAATATTTTTTTGTGTATACAGTTTTGGCGAGGCTCTAAACTATAGTAAATCTAGAAAGAACAAAACGTTCATAATAAAGCCGGAGTGCGGCAGTCAGGGACGAGGCATCTACCTTACGAAGTCACTCAAGGACATTAAACCAACGGATAAATTAATTTGTCAGGTTTGTCATTTGTTTAAGATTTAGATTAAAACTATTTGAAAAACAAATTTAACAGTCTTTAATATTTTAATTTTCTGAGCAAATGTTTTTTATATTTTAATTTCGTAAATTGAATACTACATGTTACAAAGCGTAGGTAGAAATTCTACTTAATTTGAATATTTGATAGAGCGGATGTATTGTTATATGAATTCCTAACCGAACACTATCAAATTTTACCTTTTAATAGAAAAGTGGTTTATGATATAAGTTTCCATAGATGACAGACCATAGAAGCCATATTACGTGATTTTGTTACATTAACTAAAGGAAACACAAAAATTTACCTTTTTTATATATTAATTATCACAGAAGATAATATCAAATAAGTATATGAATGGTAAACTAAAAACTGTCTGTTTTTAGTTTCATGATGCAAACTCGTAGTAAGATTCGTATACGATTGAACGGACCTGCAAATTAATTACAAACATATTTCAATTAAAATCCTCATTTTATATATGTATATTCTGTCTAATTTAATATATTTATCTATATTCAACAGGTGTACCTATCAAAGCCGTACTTAGTGGACGGTTATAAGTTTGACATCAGAGTGTACACTCTCATAACGTCATGTGATCCTCTACGGATATTCGTCTACAACGAGGGTCTTGTAAGGTATGTTTCCATTGTACAGACGCTACAAATTATGAAAACATTTTAATAAATAGATTCGTCTACTTATCTGTTATAATCTCAATTCTCAATATTATTTTCATGTAATAGGTACATTCGAGTAAAACTGTGTGCAGAAGCTAGTGTTATTGTAATTGCAGATTCGCTACCAGTCGCTACGCGGATCCCAACGTGAACAATACTACGAATGTGTTCATGCATCTGACGAACTACGCTCTCAACAAACACAGCCGGACATATGTATATGACTCGGAGGCCGGCAGCAAACGGTTTATATACATATATCATATACCTACATAAGCACATATATACATACCTACACGCATATATTAATATATACGTTTAAAATCAGCTGCATACCATAAATTTCCCCCTTTGTTGTCTATGGAATAAAATCCCAAACGCAGTGCAATAGATAGCTATCATTAATAGACCCTTCCAAAAAAAAGTTGCAATAATTTCCTTCAACAAAAATAGTTTGTTCAATTGGTAATATTTCCCCAAAAAATACCAGCAAGATATCAACTTTGAACAAGATCCTGCTGTCACAAGGAGTGGACCTGGACCGTCTGTGGCACTCCATAGATCAAGTCATAGTGAAGACTATAATATCAGCGTGGCCCATACTAAAACACAGCTACCACGCTTGCTTCCCCTCGCACGATATGGTTATAATGATATTTTGTTTGGCAATGTACTGTATAGTGTAGTGTAGGCCAAAATAGTTGCCATTATATGTATATAATTGAAATGTAGAATATATTTTAGATATTTTTTAACTTTTGCTTATCTTATTTTCTTATAATAATTTTATTTACAGGTACATGCTTGCTTCGAAATATTGGGCTTCGATATTTTACTGGATCATAAACTTCATCCTTTTATTCTTGAAGTAAGGATTCTTTTTAAATTTTGTTTTAAAAATAACAATTACACGTCTGCACGAGATTTGTAATATCATAAAAAAAATTGCAAAAAAAGAAAAATCAAGTTAATACGCACACACTAATAAAACAGCTAGTATTAAACTTAATATTGTTCCAAAACAATATTCCTAAATACCGAGCTTTTGCTCGGTATTTAGGAATTATTATTAATATTTATTTTGTGTTTTTTATTTTTTCATTTCGTTTAGGCATTTTTAAGTGAACACTTTAAAAAGACAAAACAATATAAATCAACAATTAATTTCTTAGTCTAACCTCAAAACAAACACTCATTGACTTCCTGTTATTTAACAATGCCATCTGCTGTTGTGTCGTTCAAACAATTTAATAAAATCAATTAGCAAAAAGTAGCATTACTATTCGCTAAGACGTCAGGAAGAGTCATATTGTAAACGCCTCTTTATGTTATTTTTTTTTCATAAAATGACGTTTTCTAAAAATGATTCCTAGCTAGATCGATTTATTGCCCCCGAAAACCCCTATATATTAAATTTCATGAAAATAGTTCGAGTCGATTCCGAGATTCCAATAATATATATACACATTGCTCATTTTTATATATAAAATAATAAAGTAATGTGTTATATAGATGTGATATATTGCATCGCATAATAATCCTTTTATGATTGCAGGTGAATCATTCGCCAAGCTTCCACACAGACACTCAGCTGGATCGTGAAGTTAAAGAGGGACTGTTGACGGACACACTCACCATGCTCAATATATGGCAGTGTGATAAGAAGAGGGTACTAGAAGAAGACCGGAAGAGGATACGAGACAGACTGCTGCAGACGAACAAGTTGGAACTACTTTTATATAGATTCACACACACACTCACACACGAATACGCACACACACGCACACACACAAACTCGTAGCAATGTTGAGCCAATGTTGAAATGGAAGTTAGAATAAAGAAAGTTGAATAAAAAATTCATTTTAAAACCTGTATAGTAATGTCAGGTTTCAGTTGCTTTGCAAGTTTGCTTTATATTATATATTTTCTATTTAAATACATTTTATGTTTATATTTAATCGTTTCAATTAAATTGCAGTCATATATTAATCGAATCTTTATTTTTCAATGTTTGCAGTATATTTAAGTATCGTGTTTCATGATAAATGATAATATATGGTTGTTCTGTAATAGGTTTGCGGAATACGCTCCGACAGAAGAAAAGGAGCCGGAAAAAAGTCCCTGGCAGACTCAGATACAGTGGGAAGAAACACACCTCGGGAACTTTAGGTAAATACTTGTAACTTATATGACATTATATGTAAATATAAAGTAGGCTGATACTAGAAACTTTAAGTGTTAATAAAAAGGCAAATTGATGAGAAGTGTAAGTAACATAACATATGCTATTTAATAAATAGTCAAAACAAAACGGTTATACCAAAAAAGATAAATAGTGAATAAACTATTATGAGAATATTGTGTATGATGATAATAAAATATTAATATTTCTCTATAATTCTAATGAATGACATGACAGACTTCTGCGAGTACGATCTTAAAATTGCATAGTAATATAAAGAATAATAAAATTTCGATTTGGATCCTAAACACTTAGTTTTATGTAAATTCTAATGAACCATGTAACCAGCACCCTTACTTACCACTAGTTTGCGTTACACTTCATACGAAGCGAATAAAAACTCAAAGTTTTTCATTCATGCAAACCATTACACACTTTAGTATCGATAATAGTCCTCTTCTACCTGGCAATTTCCCAGCTTTTAGCCAGGGTCTGCCTTACAAGTTATAAATAGTTTTGGCTAATTGTTTTTACGACGGGCCGCCTGCCTGACATCAACCCTCTTTGGGAATGGTATTGATAATAGTCCATGGATGAAAACCTATATTAGTGTTTAAATTGTCAATTTAAACGTGTGCTAAGGATCTATATGGCTCGTAATATATTCATTATATCGTTTAGGCGCGTGTATCCTGTGGGCGAGCAGTACGCCAGTCTGTTCCAACAGCCCTCGGGCTCATTATACACGGGCACGGCCTCCTCGCGGGCCAGGGGAGACTGCGCAAGGTTACAGCGAGAGGAGTTCCAGGTGAGGAATAGTGGGTATATTACAGGGTTAGCGAAGGAAATGGAAGATTATATGTTATAGATAGTAAATAAATACTGAAAAGCCAATAATAACTTCGACATACTATAAAAAAATTACGAAACAATGAAATTATGTAGTTATTTTGTCGCATGTTTTGGTTTCACTTGCTTCGCAATCAAGTTCTTAATGTCTTCATCATTTTTTTTATATAATCCTTTACTTTTATGTGCTCTCGAAATGTACAGATGCTTTATTTTTCATTTACATCATAGCTCTTAACACCCATCATTTTAGTTCTGTATATTATATCCATGAATACTCTAATGTACCAAAATAGTTTACTCGTTATGCAGTTACAGTGCGAAAAAAGATAAATTTTTCTTACTTCAAATAAATTCGTTAAAAAATCTCAATATATTCGATAACACAGATAATTTTAAGATCGTAAGTGATACATAATCTTGACTCCAGCAAACAAAAGCAAAAGCAGAAGCTCTAAAGAAACCATCGCAACCGAAGGCTAAAGAAGAAGAACAGAAACCTAAAGAGAAGAAAGAGAAAGAAAAAGAGGGAGAAGGAGGTAGTATGAACACCAGCGTTACAACTGATAAGGGAAAAATAAAAGCAAAGGAACAGAAGAAGAAGGAAGATAAGCCGAAACTTGCTTCCAAACCGTCTTTAATGCAACAAACGGTGAGTTAACTAATTCACATTCCACACAAGACTAATTGTAGTGTATGTATCTATACAATAGATATAATACATTGTCTCACGTACCACACTGGAGGCGGTGGCATGCGCTCGGCAGTCTAATGACTAGCGCGGAGTGGAACTGTGGCGTGCGCCTGCGCTCTAGGCGGGGTAGTAGTGAGCCAGTGACTAGTTATACTTACATGTAGGACCAGGGATCCTACACTAATGTATAACAGATTTATAAATAAAATTTCCACCAGGTTCCACCGATAGATGAAAAAGAAAAGGAGCCGAAACCGGCTTACGTGATGTGCTCGTATGAACCAGACGCTATCGTTGAGAGAGAAGAAAGGGAGAGACTCAATCTATTGGCTCAAAGGGATTTCCTCATACGCAGCTATGGGATGTTGGAACAGGTATCAGACTCTCATACCGCCTCTCATGCACGAGGGCTCGGGTTCGATCCTAGCCCTGGCAAGTACCAATGTGATTTATCCGAGTCATACATATGTCCTTTTTAAGAGTATTTAGACATCACTGATTTTAATACATTCCCAAAAGAGGGTTGATGTCAGGCAGGATGCTGGTCGTAAAAACAATAAGCCAAAACTATTCACAACATGTAAGGCAGACCCTGGCTAAAGCTGGGAAATTGCCAGGTAGAAGAAGACTAACGCTGACTTTGCTCATGGCATTCGTAACAACTAAATATGTGATACTTAATATACTCCACCTCTATGATTACAGATAGAAATAAATATTTAGTTAACTGTGAAGAATACTACAAGATTTTAGTGAAATAAGCACTCAAATCTGCTTAGGCCTTTTTAAGATTAGCTCAAACGCAAACTTTTAAGTAAACCCCTAAAACCAGTAATATATTTTTATATTTATAACGTACATTATGATTGAATGCATATTTCAGAATGTGTCTCTTGGTCTGAAATCTTAGTTTAATTTTAATATTTATTTTTTATAGATATATTTGGTAATGAAAAAAATGGGTACTCTACGACCGGAAGATGAAAGAAAATATGGAGTTTATGGACGTCTATCAGTCGTGTCTAATTCACCTAAGGTAAATATTACATTGAATAATCTGTTTTTACCCACTATTTATTGTCTATAATATAAAAAAAAAAACTAATAAGTAAAATCACTTTGCCTTTTAACTTTCTTTGGCTAACACAATGTGCGTAATAAAAATTATTTGTTGTTGAATATAAATAAAGATTTAATTAGCATCCTTAAAATTCAGATTTTTAAACAATATATGTGTTGTGTTTGCCTGCAGAAAGTGTGAATGTATTAGATTCTGCAAATATCAAAAAGGAAAATTCATAAGAATATATAACACAAAGAAGCGTAGATAAAATTTTATGTACAGATCAAATTAAAGAAGCATCAGGACAAAGTACACAAGGCAAGCAACAATAAGAGTGATGTAAAAGACGGTTAGTGAGTTTATTTGAATATTATTATTAAATTAAAAAAAGAATATAAAAGGAATAAAATATCAATCTACCCCCTATTGACTCCCTTAAAGACTTTGATAATACATTTTAAATGTGAGTAGTTTTATATATCTGAAATTTCTCACAAGAGAATTTTAGAGAGACCAACGTTTAAATAAAAGTAATGTTTTTTAATTTACTACGGTATACTACTTAATATTATAAATCGCATTGTATATCCTACAAACAATAGTGCTGTTTCTGTAAAGCATTTAAGAAATGTTTTTTTTTGGCCAAACAAACGAAAAAAATATGCCGAGTAATCATGTAATTATTTCCCAAGTTTTATCATTCACTTATTCTACAAAGCTTAATATTTAATCTCTCCTAGATTTCCTTGTGGATTGTCGCGACGCGGTGTGGAGCGAAAGACCACAGTGACGTCACACTTCTATACATTTATACGTAAAACCTTATATGTGCTATATGTTTTATAATAACTTCCATATAACTACATAATGTTTAACTATCATATTTTAATGCTCGTTATCTTGAAATGTTATCTTACAATTATAAATTTTTCCTTTTAATCTATATTTTTTTTATTTTGCAGATAAATAACCATCGTCGCTTTAAGATTATCGGGACATTGTGTTTTAGTGCCGTTGTTGTGTGCATGAAAAAAAAATTAACTTGTAGCTAAATCATTGAGATCCTGTTTTCTTTTATAAATATATTTAACAGATTTAATCAACTTTACAAAATTTTTGGTGGAAAAGATAACTCTATAAGAATATACTTATACTAATAATTTTATTGATCTTTCAATTTTATATAGAGTTAATTATTTTCGATTTAGTTCCTTTATATTATTTTTTCATTACTTATTTTTTTTTACATCCCAAATGATGGTTGAAATAAAACGATTTAGGTAATTATCAAATATATATTTCATGCTTGTCTTAAAATCAAATTGTCAGTAGGATGCGTCAAGACCAGCTTCATAATATCATAGTTTTAAAATAGTAATTTGACATCCTCCTAATAACCATTTATTATAATCATTGCACTTAACAATGTCATTTAATTATTTGAGTACTTAACACACCCTGTATAATACAATGTTAATTGTCAATAGTTTAGTTTGATTGCTCAGTAAAATGTTTGGACTTATCATACAAATCAGGAAGTGTTAAACTATTGGCTCAAATTTTATATTCTGGCAGGGTTCTCAGTAAATGTGTTATGGTCAATTCATTTGCTATTAGCCATTACATTAAAACTGAAGTCTCTTAGCGAGGGATCCCCCGTCTATGTTGTCTAGTAACTTCCTTTTAAGAGATGGTTTCTCAACTTCAATTTTAGTAACATTTGAAGGCATCGGCAACTTAGGGCCAAGTGATGGAGCTGGTTTGTTACTGTAAAATATAGAATATAATTAATGGTACCCACTGGTTTACTTGTTTCTCTGAAGCTTACTTATAATATCGGATATAACTTTTTCTATAGCCAAGTTGGTATTAGACAAGCTTATTTATTATAATGTTATCTACAATAAAAAGAAGGGATGACTTCATAGCCTGAAAATGTATTATAATGCTATAGTAATATTACTAAGAGAAATTTAACAGCCAAGGGGTGGGTGCAACTTTAGACCATATCTTGCATTAAAGTAATTGGGCTTTATCATTACTCAGAACAGAATCTTGTTGAATTTTGTAAAACAAAGACAAACAAAAGGTTGATATATTAAGTACTTAGTAGATGTTTATACCTAAAGTAGGGCATCATTAGCGCCTGAGTGCAGTCACAGCGTCGCGGTGGATACAACGCTAGCAGACTCTCCAAAAGCTGTATCAAATCGTCAGCGGCCGCGCTGAATATATGTCGCAGCTGTTGAGCCGGGAACTGCTTGTATTGCACGTAGTCCGTTAAAGTTTTCATGCCCTTCAATAAAATTGTAAGAAAGTTATTCAATTCAGAATATAAATCTGAATAAATTAATAATAATTATGGTAATCGGTAAAAAAATTATAAATGAAAATGATAGAAAACATTTGCAAAACATACGTCATAAGTCCGATCTGTGTATTAAGTATAGTCCGTTAGACTTAAGCTGAGCTTTGCATTTGTGTGAGTGAAAGTAAAAGTAGAGTTAGACAAAAAACTTTTAAAATTCAATTTTATTATATTTTAATAGGTACATAACATAAGTGCTATATCTATTGCAGATTAAAAATAAAATAAGCAAAACTTGTAATAGGCCAGATTGAAATATGATGGAAAAAAATATTAAGTAACAAAAATTTTGAGAAGTCAATACAAAATCTTCTTCACTTAACATAGAGTTTTCAACATTTGACGTTGCTATCAGTACAAAGGGTGAAGTGAGGAAGGTGCGGGGAAGAGTAAAAGCAGAATAAGCCGGTTGAAAACTAGAAAAGAAGGTGGTATTCAAAAATTTTACATCACACCTACGCTATCCGTGTGTACTCACACAAAAGCAAAGCTCAGCTTAAATCAAATTCTCTATAAGTGTCTGTGTACTTAATTACAATAAAAAAATATGTACATCATTCAGATACTATAATTGTATCATCAATATAAAATAAGTTGGATATTATAACTTGTCTATGCACATTTTAATATCCCGACTCATTATTTAAAACAGTAAAATACTGAGTGAGTATTATACATGAAACAATGCCAGGGGCTTATTGAATTAAGTATTGGCCTAGGTTGTTTTGATCATTAAATAATATTTTAATTGCTTAAGACAGATGTACCAAAAAAACTTGAGATGTAGTTATTAATGCTTACTTTATTAAGTTTTTTAAAAAGTTTTTAATTAAATTTGGAGGCAACACAATTCCAAGAAATTGAAAGTCCTAACCCAACACTTTAGTATGATATCACGTCACTAAACAACTTGTCATTAGATACAAAATATGAACTCAAATGAATAGAAAATCCTTTATGATAAATAAAGAATGTTAAAACTAATATTAAAATTTAAGAACTTATTTATAAGAATGCATATTACCGGCCAAATTTCCTCAGTAGGAGTCCCAAAAACTTGAAATATGCGTGATAATTGATCTAAGTCTGACTCTCCGGGAAGGAAGGGAACTCTGAGTAGTAATTCAGCTAAAATACATCCCACCGCCCACATATCAACACCAGTACCATACTGCCTCGCACCAAATAGAAGTTCCGGAGATCTGGAATAGTTAATGGAAATTATAAAATATTTAAGATTATAAATTGTTTACTTTTAAATTTTATATAAAACTGTTGATTTTATCATGCATACTAATAAATAAATTTGGTAGTGTTCATAATCAAAGTAACATCTTTTCACGAAATGCATATTGATATATATTATATTATTGTTATATGAAAAACATACTATTCTGGCTGTTCCTTGGACAGATGGACAGATTTGTAAAGGAATTTTACATGCAATGGATATAAGGAGTAATTTAGAATACTTTTAAACCTACTTCCAAAAGAAGGAAATTCAAATTTGACTGTATATTTGTTATACTATTACTCCTTCATTAGTCTGATTTTCAAAATTATTTTTATACTGATTAGGAATTTGACATTTAAGTCAGGATTTGAGAAATCAAATTAATCTTAAAAGGATGAGGCATGTCAAATTAGGTTTATCATGCAGGCCAATTCATATGCAACAGATAGTAAATGATATTACCTGTACCATCTTGTGACCACTTGGTGTGTATTTATTCTGCTAGGTGAACCAAATGCTTTAGCTAAACCAAAATCACCTATTTTTAATATACCTTCTCTATTAATTAGCAAATTATTTGGTTTGAGATCTCTGTGCAGTATCCAATTCTGATGTAAATATTCCAAACCTGCCAAAACATTTAAAAATGTGTTTTAATATGATAATAAAATTATAAAAATTCAATAAAGTCAAACTGTATTTTCTTTATATCTAAAAATATATATATATAAAAAAAAACTCAAATGACTTACTATTATAATAGGAAAACCAAAGTATTTATGATAATTAAGGTACTTTATTATAATATATTATTGCATCAGTATAAAAGTCCAACTGCACAAAATATTAAAAAAAAAATTAAGTACTAAGATGCTTTTACTGACATTGGCAGAATATACTATCTTTGCATGAAAGAAGGCCATTTTTAAAAAAACTGACCAAAATGATTTGCGCAATTTTTGAATATGTGTTAGTATGTTATTAAAATTATATCAAAAAGTAGTTTTATAAATAAAAACCAACCTTTTAAAGTCATTATCATATAAGATTTGACATTTGCAGGTGTAAGTACAATACTACTATCCTTAATAACTATTTCCAAATCAGTATCCATAAAGTCAAATACCAACGAAACATTAGATTTCTGTCCAAATACGTCTGAAATGTAAAAAAATATAAATTACACTGACTACTGAGTTATATAAACAAAATTTAATGCTTAAATAAATTACCAAGAAGTCCTATGAGATTAATATGCTGTAGTTCTTGTAAAAGTTTGATTTCTCTGAGAGCAGTACGGTTAATTCCATCCTGAGCTTCTAAACGAGAGCCGATCTTAATTTTCTTCACAGCTACGATTTTATCAGTTTTAACATCGCGAGCTTTATACACAGTAGCAAACTGGAATAAAAGTAAAGTATTATAATATTGTAAACCATTCCACAGGTTGTCCTGTCAACTATTGAGGTTAAAAAATATTAAAAGTATAATATAACATACTCGGAATAAAACTATGGTAAAAAATAAGAAGCAGCAGAAAATACCTGTCCTTCACCCAAGAAGTCTATTTTTTCATAACGTGATATTGGTTCCTCCATGGTACTTTACTAGTATTAAAAATGTCTGGTTATTTATTTTAATATTAAAGAAACATGTCACAATAACACGACTTATCCACTTATTATGTGATTTCATTTAGCATTGTACCACTATCTTTTAAAATTTATCATTACACCAGAAGTGAAGTACTGTAGTAACAACTAGCTGCTAGCATTACAAATTTTAAAATTTGACGTTTATACTGAACTGTTAATGAAAAGTCAACGTTGACTTTCAAAAAATTCATCGAGTAACGTTAGAAAAAACGATTACAGTTTTTCAAATAAAAAATCTAAAATAAATTTATATATGTAACTGATTTAAACTAAAGTAAGAGTTATTATTTTTAAATTTCAATAATAAAACTTAGTATATTCAATTGGAGTCGTTTTGTTTTATGTATTTATAGTTTTGTGTCATCCGTCATAAACGTCAGAAAACTTGACTTGTTTTGGCACTGATGATTTGTCCTGTTATTTAATTGTTTATTTAGAATTAAATGTTGTTTATATCAAATACAATATGTAAGATATAGTAATCAAACTGACTTTATATTATGTAGTTCTTTAAGTTTTACAGTAATTATAAATCACGAAGATCTAAGATGAATTCCAGTAATAGCAACAACGAAAATGTCTATTACGAAGACATCCCACCTGGAACTCTTAATGAAGAAGATTTCTTTTGTACAGAAAAGATTGTACCCAGGAAAATTAAACCACAAAATATTGTTATGAGATTAATGGACAGAGAAATTTATGGATCTCGCAAACCGGGTTCCCATTTTCATGTCGTCAGAGAATTTTATCAAAATGTTTTTCCTAACTTGACTATTGTCAATGTGGAGAAACCACCATGTTTTTTGAGAAAATTTAGTCCAGATGGAAAGCATTTTATTGCTTTCTCTGCTGATCAGACATCCTTGGAGGTAAATATCACCATCTGCTATGTCTCGTTGCAAACATTAACATCAAAATCAATATTAATATTTCTCTTTACATAGTTCAGTATAATATTGACCTACGATATTGGCGAAATCTAGAAAACACCACTAAGAGAGAGAAATCATTTCTCTTCTCATTGTCATGAATACTTTATTTCAGATATATGAATACAGAGGTGCCTCTGCGGCAGGAGACCTTGTGGCTGGATATCCTTCAGATTTACTTAATGCTGATGCTGACGCACACCATAGAATAAGAACACATATATTTTACAGATTTTTTAAGGTATAAACCAAGAAGTTTTTCAAAACTAACCCAGTAACATTTTGGATAAAAGAGGATTAGATAGTTTATGGGTCTAAATTAGTGATTTACAAGAGCATTCAAAATTTATGTCATTAAATATGACTTTTTTAATATAGGCTGTATTGATCTGAAACATCTTTAAAGGAAAGCTAATGCTTTCATTTTTATGCAGAATTTATTGTTTGCACTAAGAATGCATAAGAAAATTGCCTGTTAACTGCCATCAAGGTATTATTACACCTGTTTTCTTGTGGATCTATTTTTTGCCTCATTTATCTTATGATATGGATACTGGTATATAATTTAACAAGTAGTATAGCTCTGATATTGAACAATATTATTAAGATTATTTCTTATATGAATTGCGTCTATAAGTGTATACTATTTATAATATTATTTAGAAAAACAAAACCTCTTTATATTTGCTTATTTTATTAATCTTATAATTTGCTGGAAGAGAATGATTTTGCACTACCCTAGTCTTCTGTAAATTTTAGTGATGTTTTTATTAAAAAAGCCAGATATGCACATTATTGTCAATTTTAAAATATACATAAATGTGTATTAAACTTATTTCTAACAAATTTTCAGCCTAAATTTACTGTAAATGTTTGCCAACAAAGATTACCATCCAGATCTGAACGCAACTCCGGCCAGCATCCTTTTATGGATCAGCAACTAAACAGGGAATGCAGTCTTTTTACTGAGGATGGGAGATATGTTATAGTTGGTTCAGCGGCACACATCCCTGATGATCTAAGACCTCATTTCTATCACATACACAGTAACAATGAAGCAGTGACACCAACAATTAGGTAAATAGTTTGAAAACCTTCAAAAATACTTTTAATAATTAGTATACATGGTATTATATCTCGATACCTCTGACGTAAGTTGTTGTATGCTACAAAAATGCTATTTTGCTTTTTTTATAAAAAGTATCCTATTATGGATCATTACATCCATTCGAATTAAAAAAAAAACAACAAAAACACAATTTTTAAAGGATTTGTCAAACGCATAATGTTGTAATTTTCAAACGCGAACGGATTAAACTGTTGTATATGCCTATGCAACTGTATACGCGGGGCGCGAGGTGGGTAAAATCACGCGCTCGCGCCGCGTATGAGTTACATACAACAGAGTAAGATTTATGTTTTTCAACGTATACAGATGTAACTATCATATACCACAAGTGATGCTACCTGGGCGCCGCGGTATAATGTTGTAAATATCAGATACAACACCTTTTTTTAGCTTCTACTTCGGAGTAAAATGTCAAACAATGAAACAACAATATTTTCTCAAATAGGCGTATTAATTAAAATATCTTTTAACGTAGTTAAGAAGACTATTATGTTAAATTTAAATACGAAATTTTAAAAAGATGCATCAATAAATGCAGATTTTGGTTTAATTTGAATTTTTGAAACGCTCTACTGTAAAATTACACTTTTGGAGATACAACAACTTACGTGGGAGGTATCGATCTGTATTTGCAATTTTATTTGTAAAGAGTTGCAGAGACAATAGTGTTAGGATAAGTACAATTATGCAAGGTGTAAGTAAATTTACATTTTGTATATTATTGTAGTAGCAACCGAGTTGTGCTTAGATATTGTCCTTCTCTAATAGAGAGGTTAGTTGGAACTAAAGAAGTTTTACTTCATTTGTGGACTTTGTTCTAAAGCAACCTTGTTTTTAAGAATATTTATTGATTTTATTCTATTTTCAATAAAATTCTTAAATGCTTTTCAGATCCGCCCTAGAAGACTACTCTCTGCATTTGGTAGATTTACATCATGGGAAACTCTGTGATACAAAACACTTCAGGACTGACAAAATATACCTGTCCCATAATCAAGGCATTTATTTATATAAAGAAGTATTAGCTGTACTCTCTGTGCAGCATCAAACAATACACTTGTTCCAAATTGTTGAGGGTATGTTGATAGAAATACGAAAAATTGGTAGATTCTGCTACGATGATGATCCATTCATTGTCAGTTCCGTGTTTGCACCAATAACAAATGAAAGGCCATTCCATGAAGAGACAATTAACAGTTTGAAGCATAGACTACTTGTGTTCCTATTTAAAAGAGCTAAATCTATAAGTGACAATACAAAGGATCCATTGGAATTGAGGAAATTTTATAAATATTTTGACATGTTTAAAAGTTTGAGGATGTGGAAGATGCAGTTGTTGGATGAAGATCACCTGTTCATTAAGTACGCAAGCGAAGAGGTTGTTACATTACGAGTGGCTGAACCGAACAGTCAGTCATCGTTCTTTGTGATATATAACATAAGTGAAAGTAAAATATTAGAAGTATACGAAAATACATCTGAAGGTCTGCTGAAGTTGTTCGAAAATTATTGCGATTGCTTCAGAAACGCGAGATTGTGTGCCGATTCACAATTTACATGCTCGCCATCGAATAATCTGTATGCGAGGTTGACTCAGCAACGTTTCAAACAAACCATTGTGAGAGCTATCTATGGCGGTAGAACTGAAGCTACTAAAAGGATATTAGCTCAGTTACCGATCAGTGCACAGTCTTATAGTGGGTCGCCATATTTAGATCTTGGACTTTTTAGTTATGATGACAAATGGGTATCAGTCATGGAACGACCAAAAGCCTACGGCGAATATCCCATACGGTAAATAATATGTTTTTCTATTTCAAAAATCAAAATACATTATCTTTAAAAGTATATCTTAAAATTCTACCGTTTGATTAAAATAATATTTTAATGTATGGCAATACCAATGGCATAAGTACACTTTATTTATCAAATAAATAATTTCGTTATGGTAATAATATATTAGTACCATAGATGTTGTAAAAAAAACCTATTTATTTGTTTTGCACATATAAAATGTATATATAATTGGTGATTTTATTCCAGTTTCTACGCCCGTGACTCAGGTTTACTCAAGTTTAAGATATATGCTGGTGTGTTAGGTCAGTCGGTGCCGGCCAGTGCTCGCCGCCTCGTCGCATTCACCTTCCACCCAACAGATCCCTTCGCTATAAGTGTTCAGAGAACTAATTCCGAGTACATTGTCAATTTTCATATCAGAAACGCGGTATTCAGCTGATGAATGTGCTTTACTGTTTTATATGTATGTATCATGTGGATGCTTTTTATGTATAGGGTTTTTAATAGATATGAAATAAATAATTTTATAACGTTTGTTTATTTTATTTTCCAGATATAATAATAATTTAAATATAAATAATTGTTAGTAATTTGAATGGTAACCTTTTTTAAACGGTTTTCAAAAAAAGGTCTCTTAGACTTGATATTTTATGTACTAGCGGTCTAATTGGACTTAAAATATATTTCACTAGCTTTTGTGCGCGACTTCGTCCGCGTGGAATATTGACAACCGGCAGATTTTTGGTTTTTCCCACATAGTTCCCGTTCTTGCGGGATTTTCGGAATGGTCGAGTTCCCGCAGAATTTTCAGGATAAAACCTATTTTTTTTTTCGAGTTCCAAACTATATATGTACAATTTTTAAAGTAAATTTAATTATTTTAAAGAACTTCTGCATATACTACATTTTTTGTTTTATTATCTTGTGGCAGAAGAACATATTGTTTTTCGCCACAACCCGATCTTGAGAACGATCAGCACTCGATTCCCGTTGCCGGTTCGCCAAAGTTCTGAATTTTTGTGAGGCTAAACACTGCGAACGTTCAACGCTTGATTCCCTTGCACGGTTTTGTTCAGTCATTGCTCGTTGTGTAGCCAACCTGTGCATATTTTCAACCTCAGTTTCATTGCTGCGCAAAACCCGCAGCCGCTTTGCAGTAGCAGTCTGCCGAGAAAGCGGAGTTCTTTTTTTCGGCATTATAGTGATGAAGAAAAAACGTAGAAAATTAAAACTTAACTAAAGCGTATCTCGTAATAAAAAAAAGAAACGTTAGATTAAGAAGATTAATAATTAGGAACCTAATTACTTTTATTTTTAACGATTATGTCAAAAGAACAACCGGAAAATGAAAATAAGGTAAACTAACTTTATGATTAAACTTTACCCTAATCTAATGAGAATAAATAGGTAGACCACACCTATTTACAGGTTTTATCTAAAGCAAAAAAAAAATAGAAACTAAAAACAATTAACTAAACCCTAATCTAATAAGAATAATTAAGTAGGCGACACCTATTTAGGTACCTACAGGTATTATGTAGCACAAAAAAATATATATTAGAAACTAAATACTATTTTTAAGACAAACAATACTATAGATACTTATAGAAAACACATACTTATAAATTAATAATCGATATGAAAACAAAAAAGTGTTATTATTGTGGAACTAAATACTATCCTAAAACAAATAAAGTACTTACCTACTATATAGAAAACAACTACAAAATGAAACTATGTTTAAAAAGTAATATTACTCTCTCCCGCCGCGCCGGCCAGCGTAGAGAGCGAGTTGGTTTTGTTTCGGAGTTATTTATCATTGTAATCTTTAAAGTTTTTTGTTGAAATTAAGTTATGTCAAAGACAATATTATTCACAATGAAGTACTCTTAACCAACAACATATTTATTTGTTTATTTGAATAAAGATTAATATTATTATGTTGATACAACTTAAACAAATTATTTCGACCAAATTAGGTACCATAAAAACGGTTTTTGTGAGTTAATCTTATAAGATAGACATATACTGTCGCGGACTGTTTTTTAGATCATTAAAAGAGCTATTATTCTTTCATACATATTTTTTGTGTATCTTGAATCGTTTTCACGGCGCACGCAACGGAAGGCTTCAAAGATGAAATAATTTCTCCCGTTTTTTACACATTTACCACTATATCTTTGCTCCTATTGGTCGTAGCGTGATGATATATAGCCTACAGCCTTCCTCGATAACTGGACTATCCAACACAAAAAGAATTATTAATACTCGAATTAAAATTCGAACCAGTAGTTTCGGAGATTAGCGCTTTCAAACAAACAAATAAACTCTTCAGCTTTATAATATTAGTATAGATATGAATTTAAACAAGATACAGTAAATAAAAACATTAGCCTGATATTATTTTTTTCTATTTTTTACTATATGGACTTACCTTATGGTATATTCTTTGAAAACGCATTTTTTTTAAATATTGAAGTCGATATTTTTTAATGGACCTTTTTGATATTCCTTGTTATGACATAATTAAACTTCAGTTGTATGAATGACATAAATACATCATTACTGAAATGATGGACCCAAGAATTAACTCTAGGTAATAAATATTTTGATAATGAAGCCATAGTATAAAAGAAAGTAACATATTTTGATGTAAATATGACGGAAAACTTTAAACCAGATCAGTAATTATGCAAGTGTAAATAATATATATTTATATAATGCAGTGTAATTACTCAAATCCTTTGTATCAAAATGCAGGTTGCAATATCGATCCCTTCACTTTCGGCAAACGTAAGTAAACTCAGTTTAATGATGTGTTAATAATATATAACGGGAGCCTGAGCTATAGTAAAATTAAGCATTATTTGAAAGCATTTTACTGGTTCTCAGTAAAAAATATGGAGTTGCTTTCTTTAGAAAAAGTATTTGGGTTTCATAATAATCTTTTTAGCTATACTACACACGTATTTCTGAATTAATGAATCATGTTGTTCCAGCCCCACCGTGTCCTCATATAATAGGTGAAGGTGACGTAGCCTCGGTCATCTTTCCTGATGGTACCGTACAGTTATACTTTATTCCCGCTAATCGCCAAACCACAGCATCGCCGCGATGCCCATTCAATTGTAACTTTGCACATCTAAATAACCTTAATTTTAATACGAATCCAGACGTTTGGATTGTAAGGAGCATATCTCATCCGTAAGTATTTGAGAAGAATATTTACTATATGTACCCAAGGGCGTATGCGTATACGTACCAAGTGGATTCATTATTACCGTTTTCAGATTTACAACAAGTTGTTGGAATAGAACGATACCCAACGTCTATGGTGATCAGTTACAACCCATACAAATTAATTCAAATTTCTGTTCAAATTCACCTCCTTATAACTATTATCAAAAGGTAATATTACAAAACTTTTTGGATAATAATTATCAATTAATTTCAAAAACATCGCACTAATCAAATAGTTCAAGTAGTTAATATTCAAGCATTTGCACCGAAAGGTGTTTTAGATTGACTAACTAAACCTCAAAATGCTTTTCGATTTATTGAATTTTTAATTAAAATTCCAATTTTTCTTTCAATAATAGTTCCATAACGACAATTGCACATCTACGACAGATATTAAATACTTTTATCCAAAATTAAGATGCGACGTAAAGTTGAAGTACTCTGCCGAGGTTCAGACGGAACCTTTCAGGATATGTGACGTCATTGATACAAACGAGAGGGAATCTCGAGGGCATTGCTGTTGTAAAACTCAGGATATTAAGAATTCAAAGGAAGAAAAAAAGACATGTTATTGTTCAGACTCCAGTACGAGTTATATGTCCATAGATTCCTCGAGTAAATCAAAACATAAGTTGCGTAAAAAGAAAAAGAGGAAAACAAAAAAATCCAAAACTAAAACGGACTGTGAGTGTGATGAGAAAACTAAGTCCGATAAATCTGTAACGACGTACGCTGATTGCGCGTGTGGTAGTGCTGTGAAGGACGGAACGCACACACAGACAAATAAAAAGAATAAATCTACACGAAAAGACACAAAAACTGACTCATGGATTCCACTCGATACTTGTAAATGTGGTTCATCACTAAGAATATGTGAATCAGATTATAGTTACTATGATAAATGCTCCTGTGACAGCACAACAGATGTCGACGGTAAATAAAACAAGGGCTATTGTTTTTATATATATCTTATTATACATTTATCCCTTAATGTTACACGTATTTACATTTCCAAAATAGTACAATAATAAAACAAAAAAAAAACAAAACGAGATTTTCATTTTAAGCTTTACCTTTATTACATATGGAATCTTACCAGAGCAACCATCTTCAGTCTGAGGGTCAAAATCACACTACATTATTACAAACATGTTTCATATAATACAAAAAAAAATAAGAGGAAGACCGACGAAAATAAGTTTACTTCAGATGAATGAAATGACTTTGGTAAAAAAAAATTACTCTAAATAAGAGTCGGTTGGATCTATTAGCGAGTCCGAATAATTTTTTAGCTAATGTTTAATATATATTTGATACAAGTAACACACAGTCTCATATTCATAAGTTTATTTCGGTGGCTCGGAAGTGGTTATATTTTTACATAATTCGCTACATACCAAAAAACAGGTCACACTAACAACCTCCTACATGGACAAACTATATAAGATTTATGACGTTTGAATTAGAAAATAATGTATATATATAAATATTAGAACAATTTATTTACATTTCGTATTCACTTAAATGAAAGGCGACTTTTAGGAATTTATGTTAGCGACTTGCTAATAGATCGCGTTCGGCTCGGATTGATAACCAATTATTAATTGTCAAGAAATTATAAATAAATCGTACAAAAAAAAAAACAAATGTAACACTTAAGACTAGTATTGCATAAGGAGAAGGAAAGATTACCCTCTAGTAGCCGTGAACCAGTTTATATAAAAGTATACAATTCAATGGCTGTGATAAGGAAAAGTTGTTAACGTTTTATTCACCTAAATATATAATACAAGCCGTTAGAATCATAAAAAAACCTTTTTAAATTTAATTTCATCGACAATCATGTGAGATTCATTATATTTATCAAATCATTGCAATCACTTAGAAAATACAACCACATAATTAAACCACATCTTTAATATTATCAAATATATTATCAGTGGTAATAACTAACTTTAGTACACAACCTCAAAGTTGGTTAAACAACTTTACCTTACAGTGACTAAGAAACGAAAACTTCTAGAACATTTGAATGATTCCGCTCTTAACACGTTTAATACGAATACCATTTAATTAAATTCAGGATCCGTTACAACAGACACGAATACTGATTGATTGACGCTATAGTGAAAGATAAAAGAGATGTAAAAAATATTTCCACAGTAGAATATATAATCGAATGAATAGTATTTATAAAACTAATAGTATTATAAATTATTAATATAAGTCTATGTGCATTATACATGTCCACGTATGCGTGTATCAGTCACCATCATGATTTAAATAAATGGGAAAAAAATAATAATATACAAAACGAAACTAAAAGTGTTATTTGACTAGACAGTACCATAGTACCGACATACGGTCACAGTCGCGATGTGGGAATTATATATTAGGCCATAAAAACTATAAGGGCTTTTAGTGAGAAATACTAAGAAAATCGGTTAAAAAATATATCATTGTAGTGTCATTGTAAAACTACCAAATATATTTCATCTTAATTACAAGAAACCTATCAAATCTTTTTATACCTTTTTCTATTTGGAAAAATAATTATCGTGTTAGGATCATTAGCGGCTAATTTATCACAATAATTTCTATCAACACATATTTATGCATAAAATGTACTATTTAATAGTATTAAATATAATGTTATACTAAAAATTTTATCGTAAAATAGCCAAAAATTGTGCATATTCAAAGATTTGTGCTAATTTTTTTTTGTCACTGAATTATGAAGCTTGAAAAGAATATACAAATAGTAAATAATTCAATCAATAAAATCTGCCACTAAAAGCCCCCCGAGTACACAACACGTGATAAATTTCTCCTCTATACACCAATTTTTCTATACTATATAACCGTTACTTCTTAAGTGAGGAAGTGTCTTTAAAGATTATCAAAATAATTTAGTACTTACACGAGACAATAAAATCAATATATAATAAAATACAGCTCACATGTTCACAGCGCCTGCCACTTTATATAGTTGCTTTAACATCCGACTAATATGTGGACTGATGTTCACTGGAAACGAAATATTATGTTTATAAAAAAATGCTTACAGTTTTAATTTATTTAAATATAACGTGCATGTTACCTATATGGAGTTATTCTCTCTCTAATATATGATTGAACTTTTATATAATAGGATATTTTTTTTATGATACGAAAAACCAACCTCTAGCTTCGAACTATGAAAATGCTTTGGTATATTTTCAATTATTATACATTAACTTCAATCATGCTTTTTTAGTAGCTTCGTTTATATGAAAATTTTAACAACATCTTCCAATTTAATAATGAATTTTGATTTATTATAATTAAGATTGATTTGTTATAGACCTCAGCAAGATTTGTTAAACACTGTTTTTGATGGAGCAACAAATATTCCTATTTATATACTACAAATAATGTAACATAATCATGATTCAATCAAATTTACTGAAATATTCAGTATAAGACATGTTTTGGCTGAAGAATATACAGGGTGACTACTGACTGGTGAATTACTATCAATATTTAAGGAGCATACTCGGTACATGATTCTCATTCGAATTATGTAAAAAAATAGGTACTTAATTTTTGACCCAATTTCCGTATAAATAAATAAAGTGTGGACACGTACCCAGCCTTGCCGGCGCCAGTGTGTCGCTACTCCCCACCGACCCCCCGTGGCTAATTAGTCGGGCGAGCGCCGCCGTAAGGTCCGTACGTTCGTCTTCCCACGCGCGCGCCTAGCGATCGATCTTACGCGTATACCTAATAATAATCTGTCGTGTGTGCGTGTGACCCGTTATTACTTATTAGTAATTAAGTATGGCTTTTCAATACACAAATGCAGAATACTTGGACATGGTTCGTGCGTATGCGCGTGCAAATGATAGCTTGCCGGGCGCAATCAATTTGTACCGGGAGATGTTCCCCAATCGTCGAGTAGCTACGGCCAGCGTCATCTTAAACGCTAATCAAAGATTACGAGACTTCGGACAGTTCCGTGTTCCAACACATGCCCAAGGAAACGTCTTGTGTATGCTACAGAGTATGTAAACAGAGAGGAGTTGAAATTAAAAATCAATAGTGATTTCAAAACTATTAAAAGTGACCCATTCGTATTAAATCGTGTGAAAGACAATATGTGTAAACGTGCCGAACTGTGTATCACACGAGAAGGAGCTCGCTTTGAACATTTGTTAAGGTTAGTGTAGTTATGTAGGTAAATAGGTAGTTTAATGATTGACAATTGTTGTAAATAAGTATGATTCCATTTTTAAATACGCCGGAAATACCAAGATAGGTGTTTACCTCTAAAAAATAATATGAACTGTTTAGTTCATATTATTTTTTGTGTCAAGTTCACATCATTTACCTAGTCAATAAATTGGTTGCTTAAACGAATGAAATATCTTAGTATTTTTGCTTGTCCTAAGCCAGGATTAAAGTATGAAGGGAATTGGATCATTTTTGTTTATCTAAGGTCTAACACGTGGCGGCGCGCGGCGTTTGGATGTAGGTAAACTACCGCGCGATAACTACATATACCTACGTACATAACTGTTTTGTGTCGATAACGCAGCTAGGGTATCCACGCGATCCGTAATTAATTACACAACTTTTGGTTAACTTTACTTAGAAGTTTATTAATATTTATGTTATATTAATTTTTATTTTGTCATATATGATCGTCAAATATCACGTCCTCAAATATCGATAGTAATTCACCAGTCACCCTGTATATATGTATATCCTACTCATATTATAATTGCGAAAGTTTGTGAGTGTGTGGCAGAACCCATTTTGATAAAATTTAGTATTCAAGAAGCTGACGTCCAGTAATAACACATAGGCTACTTTACATCCCGAAAAATGTTCGACTTTTCCTCATATAAGCGAAAAACCATATTTACTTACTCTAGAACTCAACTCCTAGCCAAAACGACATTATCGCTATGTACCTTTTACCGGTCTATGTAGGCACAATTCCTTTAATTTAAAAAATTCCGAAATTAACGCGGACGAAGTCGCGGGCAAAACCTAGTAGTATGTAAGTACCTGATGCGCATGCGCCACGTCCCTGATGGCGGCGAGTCTGAGCCTCGTGCTGGCGAAGGTCGGTCTCTGCGCGGGGTCGGCGTGCCAGGCCGCCCGCATCACCTCGTACGGCCCGCCCGGACAACCCTCGGGCGCCTCCATGCGGTACCCGCGCTCCACGTGACGGACCACCTCGGCTAATGGCTGGAAAAATAATAATAATGTAATAAACAAAACAAGTATGTAAAAGTTATTTTGCACTAGCTCTCTGCCCGCGTGGAATTCGGTTATATCGCGTTTCCAAGAGAACCTTTCAAAAGTCTGGGATAAAAACTATCCTATTCTTTCTCAAGGTCCACTCTATCTCTGTACCAAATTTCATTAAAATCAGTTCAGTGGTTTAGGCGTGAAAGCATAACAAACAGATAGACAGAGTTACTTTCGCATTTATAATATTAGTAGGGATAATATATATTTAGATAGAAAATGAATACATGATCCTTGAGTATGAATAAGATTATAATATGTTCGACTTACGATTCTAGGGTAGGGCACTCGCCCGAAAGAGTAGATCTCCCAGAGAAGAATACCAAAACTCCACATGTCGGATTTATTAGAAAATTTCTGAAAAGCATCGAAAACTATAATTAGTAATAATTAACATCATTTGTTACAAGTGACGCTCTCCGAGCCATACTCATTATGATAATATAATCCTTAGGATAATTTTTGACTGATTATAATTAATTAAAATACGGAAAAAATTTTATTTCGTACTGACAACATGTAAGTGTCAACATGACAACATGTAAGTGTCAAAAAACTGATGTGAATTTTTGTAAGACATTACTGGGAGTAACGCCGAACATTGAAAAACAAATCTGAAACATCATATAGGTTTTTTAGTTACCAATATTGATACATTGCTATTTGACTAAGTTAAACAGACTAAGATAAACATTGTATTTTCCAAGCACATAGGTATAAACAGATGAGGCAGTATAAATTGAAATACTTATTTTCATTTCGACTTCTATTTCAAGCATTATATTATAAATCTCAGTCTCTGTTTATAGACGTTGCGAGCTTACTTTATAGTAAAGTACGTTTGATTTAAGCTGAGCTTCGCATTTGTGTGAGTGCACACGGATAGTGTAAGTGTGATGTCAAATTTTTGAATGCCATGTTCTTTTCTAGTTTTTCCTGCTTTTACTCCGCCCCACACCTTCCTCACTTCACTCTTTGTACTGGTCAAATGTTGAAAACGCAATGTAAAGTGAAAAAGAATTTGTATAGTTTTTTCAAAATTTTTATTAATTAATAATTTTTTTTCCATAATGTTCATCATATTTCCATCTGGCCTTTTACAAGTTTTATTTATTTTATTTTTAATCTAGAATAGCTCTAGCACTTATGTATCTATTTCAAATATAATAAAATTGAATTCTAAAAGTTTTTTTGTCTAACTCTACTTTTACTTTCACTTACACGAAGACAAAACTCAGCTTAAATCTAACGGACCATAACAGTTTGTATACTCACGTTGTACTTGAGTGCCTCAGGCGCCGTCCACTTGATGGGCAGCTTGGCCTGCACCCGCAGGGCGTCAGCGGGGTCGTCGGGCGTGGAGTCCGTTCTCGCTAGACCGAAGTCCGCGACTTTGGCCGTGCCTTCTGCCGATATGAGCACATTACGAGCCGCCAGGTCACGGTGCACGACGCGCTGACGCTCTAGATACTCCATACCGCAACACGCGTCGCTGGAAGTAATAATATATTGCTATTAACATCACGATTATATATAGGTAATTAGTTATTTACAGTAATAAAAGAGTTTGCAGTGTCTGTAATGTCATAAAATAATCGCTTTTTGCTAAATGCATATAGGTATATACAATACAAGTAGTGAAATTAAATTTTTTTAGTTAATTAATTTTTATGCATCTCTTCGTACTACTTGATGAAAAATTTTTAATAATTTCATTTAATGTTAATACTACAAAGATGACTATTCCAAACGGACATTAAATATAGTACTAGTGGGTATTTTCTGCTAATTAGACATTTATTATGTATGTTATATATTACTAACTATGCGAAGTTGATCTGATTGAGCTGCGTGACGTAGTGTCGTCCTCGACTACGCAGGTAGTCCAGTAGTGAGCCCTGCGCGCAGTGCTCGGTCACGATACACGTGCTGCCGTTGGAACTGAACACTACACACCCCAGCAGACGAACGAGGTTTTCATGTTTAAGGGATCTGCAAGTATGTAAAATATATCTATATAGAAATTACCACGATCAAAACTTGCCGTTAGTAATAAAATTCTGTTGTTCTTAAATATAAATATAAAAATATTTCTCACATAGAAATGTAATACATTAGTTTCTCGTGGTATTTGTGATTTTAATTTAATAATTAATATTTTAAAAATATGAATTTTATTACGTGATTTATTTATATTAAACTTACGCCATAACGCTGGCCTCAGCGCGGAACTTGCTGGCCGCCTCTCTATCCTTTAATATTTTCACAGCTACCTTCTGCGATCCATTCAGTATGCCCAGCATGACGTCACCAAACTCTCCCTTACCGATGTTTTCTCGAATTTCCAAATCCCTCTCTGCTATAATCCATCCTGCAATAATAATTATAAATCATAATAACATTAACTTAAATATTTTGTGACTATCCAAACTGAACATAATTATGTTGACTTTTAATAAAACTATCATATTGTTAATTTTTACATAATAATCATTCTTCCAAAGTTTTTATACAGAATCTAAATGGAATTTTTTATATCGTTTAAAATAAAACATATTTAATGAACTAAATGAATTTAGCATAATACATTCTTTACAGGACAACAAAAAGCCATTTTCTTTTTATATGAACTACTTAAGAATATATTATATGTGTATGTTATACTGACTGGCATCGACAAACTTCTGTGGCCCGTCAGTGGCGTCCCCGGGCAGATGACCGAATCCGTGTTGGAATGGAACCGAGCTCAAAGAACTGGACACGCTCGGTGTAGGAGGATACGGGGGCGGCTGCTAGTGTTACAAAATAATAATAAATATTCTGTATATGTATGTCTGTCCGTACGACTAATATTATGAGACCTCCTTTTTGCTCGCCGTAGTAGCATAGTGTAGTGGCCTCTTTGAAAACTCTTGGCAAGAAAAGCTTCAGTATGACGATAAACTTAGATAGAAATTAGAATAAAGCATTTCAGTGAATTTTATTCTTTAATACTGCATGACACCTGGCATAAGCTCATATGTGCTGAATAAAAATTATTGCAGTTTAAAACTTATGTACAACGTAACTTGGTAACTGTGATCGGATTCCAGTACATGATAAGACTGGTCTATAGAAAGCATAATATCGTTTTAACATTCTAGTGGTCTCAAACCAATAATTTATCTTTGAGTTGTATAAGTAGAGATATATAAGTTGTTACATAGAGTGAGTCTTTTTACTTGTGGCAGTGGTGTAAACGTCGCCTGGTGCAAGTTGTTGTTGTTAGCACCATTCGGTGACGCCTTGGGAAGCCATCGCTCCAATTTTGTACATAAACCATCCGCGTCTTTCAAGTAGTGCTGAAAAATATATTTGATATTTATTTATTTATGTACCAAATGTAGTCCTTACTTTATTATAAATAATGAATATAAGAAATATGCTGCACAAAGGATAACTTATCTCTTAAAAGAGATCTCTACCAGAAACCTTTTTGATAGAGGAAACGAGATTTTTTTTTATAATATTGAGAAAATATGTACTAAAATGTATAATTCGTTTTAACATACCTGTATTAGATTCGTCATATTGTCGAAGAATTCTTCATCGTCAATAGTCAGACGTTGGTTTTGACTGTCCGGGGCCGTAGCCCATTTTACTCTGGAACCATTAAATAATTTATTAAACAAACAAAAACAAAGGAAAAATAAATAAACATAAAATTTACATATTTTAATACGATTTTTTTAAACATGGAACATCGTCATAGAAACATTACTTTCCGATAATAATTTGCCTGAAGTTTGATTTATTTGGTGAACTATTTTATATGTATGTTATATACCTATAATGTTCAACACGACCTCTGAATCGAACACAGAGCGTGTGGTCGCCGGGGAAGTTGGTGCTCTCACGAACAAGGAACACGCCGTCTGGAGACCCTGACAACAACGCCTCCGCGCGCTCACGAGAGATGGCGCCATGGTGCCAACTATAGACAGAAGATATAGATTTAAAACATTATGAAAAAAATATTCGTTATTCAAATTAAGAATAGAATACTTATTTATTTTTTATTATATTTTTATACATAAACTATGTGTTAAGAATATTTGACGTATGAAACTAGCCTATGAGATTAATATATTTATACTTAATAAGATTAATTTATAAACAAAACATTTTTTTTATTAAATTAATTATTAGATATTGGTATAATTTAAGGAGTATTTCGCTGTCGATAACAGTGATGTTAAGCAATTTGTATTAATTTTATAATGCTTTAATACACATACAACTTTCAATGCAATTATTGATTGAATTAGGATGTGCAATAAGAATTATAGCAAGAACAATTACTACATCACTTAACATGCCTCACAATATCATGGCGCCGATGGCAATTAGTATTAATAATAAATACTGTAATTATACGTATATTTTTTATGATTGTAAAAAAAATATCATAGCATATGAAATTATGCGACAATTATACACTGCTATTAGGAATATTCGAGTCGGATATATATTTGTAAACATGGCAACACATAATAAGCCTTATATTTATAAACAAAAGCTATAAACATAACTTTATTTACAACATATTATGTATACATTATACACTTCCCACAGACATCACTTGTGAACACAGATAACATATATTTCTAGATCTTTCCACAAAAATATTGTATCAAAATAATAATAAGGGATATTTACTCAAACATATGGCAATCTATAAAATCGTCATTTGTATTTTCTGTATTGCACTCACTGACTGGCTGACTGACCGACTCCATAACTCTTAAAAAACTCACAAAACAAAGTGAAAACTTAAATGATATCTTATCATACATAACATATTTTTTGTTAATATTTGAAGATATTGTTATCATAATTTGATTATTATCAATATCATCACACTGTCCTTTATTTGATTTCTTTTTTTATTTATCTATGTCGCATGTGACAATCCAACGGTCAAGTAGATAAAAATACTAAAAAGGTTTTAATTCAGTCCCTGTGACGTCATAGAATGTATCATATAGACTTTATATTCATAACATTATCCTAGAACAAAGACGTTATTTAAACTGATTTTAAAATCTTACTTATGTAGCATTTTGAGCTATTTGAGCACATTGATGAGAATTTTTCAAAGGAATATAGGTTATCTGCTTATATACATTCTTTGTTATCGCCGTAATTACCAATTATAAAAACTGACTCTACATACTTTTCCCTTGTATAATAAATATATATTGCAACAGGTTAACCAAACATACACATAATTGTGATTCATGCAATATTCAATAGAATGATCTTTTAATACTCCCCTCCCCATAGTAATACAGATGTTAACAATGTTACTATACATATTAAAACAATAGTATATAAATCACAGCAAAACACTATCTGCACCTTGACCTTGACAAAATCTTGAGAAATACGATGAATACAAACAATTTTAATGCATTCGGTATACTTAACGTAATTATTTATGAGCGTGAATCAAGTTTTTTTTGGTTTGAGATACGAAGGTTAGGTTTTTCTTCGAATCTTGCGTTGTTTACAATGTATTCTATTTTTGAATTTGGCAACTCATCTTTGAATTTGTAATATGCAGCGGGGAAACATTTTTTATAAAACATTGTTGCAACTTTTTCTATACTTACTTATTAGACATATAAATATTTTCAATGGCTATTTTTAATCGATGTCGCCTGATCGCTTATATGTGTTTGTTTATAATTTTTTTGTAGGTCATTCTTCGAATAATTCAATCAAGATTTTATAAATGAAGCATTTCAATTTCGAAAAATCTATTAAAGTATTGGAATATTCTTCGTTTTTTGAATTTTAAACATTGAATAATATAAAAAAAGTTATGACTAGTGCGATTATTAGCTTTTTATTTTCTCACGATTCTAACAAACAAGTTTTGAATATCTTAAAATAGTCAACTGTACAAAGGGTAGAAAATAAGTATCCTATCATGAGACAATATTTTTAATGTTTGGACATTTAATCCGTTTAAACTATGAAGAACTATTAGCACATTGGCTGAATAAATAAAACCTTGTCTTTTATAACTCATAGGATATAACATATTTATAAATATAACGTTTAATACTCACGGCCAGTGCGTCATGTTGATGAGTCTGTTGGCGGCGGGGGGTGGGTTTGATGGCGTTGAGTTCACTAATACGTCACTGGCACCTTTCGGGACAACTGGAAAATATATACATACATGAAAATATATAAAAAAATAGTATTAGAATATTTAAAAAAAGTATTATGTATTCGTATGTATGTGTGAGACTTGTTGCGTGTGTGTGTGTGTGTGTGTTTTTAGAGCATTTAAATGGGTGTACGTATTTGGAAATTTAGCCAATATATAGCTAAAAAAAGCATTTCGTGTTACAATGCTTAATTAATAAAAAAACATATTTTTCAATACAAAGTCCGAGAGTATTATGTTAATAGTATAACTAGTTATTGTATCATTAAAATGAAAATACAAAAACATCGCTTCATTTTACGTAGATAATATAATTATATACGATTCAATGTATTGTGAGGAAAAACAAAGGTTATTACAAGGGTCATGAAAACCAACTCATCTGTATGTAAAACATCAATACAACATTCACTCGATACACAAACAATGCACGAAAATAATTAGTTTAAAAAACAAAAAGGACTCACGAATCGACCAATTAAAAACCATATCCAACCACTGTAAGAGCAATGACAAACAAATGCACTTATATGAAACATTGACCCAAAAAAAATTCACCAACAGATTGTAAGTAGCGAGTTGAAAAACATTTTTGTTCTCAATACAATATCGCGTTGTTAATGATTTGTTACTGAGATGTTAGTCACTTGTTAGCTCAAGTTATTCCTCTTACGTAATCAAGTCACTGTGACACATGATAATATAATGTCACACAAAACATATGCTCTGCATAATACATAGACGTATATATATTGTTTGCTAATGTTCATATGTCTGTTAGCTTACAAATGCATTGGTACAATGATGTATGTAAGATCGGAAGAAAACAGAAATATTTTGTTGAGATAATCGTAGACAGAACCGCGGGGAACAACCAGTTCAATTCATATGTATTCTGACATCGACATAGACTTAATTAAGGTAATATGAAAACCAAAGTTAATATTGAATTATAATAACAGTTGATTTTTTTATTATTATTATGGTTTATTCTAGCCTAAGAGTCCTCCAGTTTCATTTGCCATGGATACAATGAGTAAAATTCTTTGAGAAAAAATTTATTCATCTATGAATTACAACTAAGCCCTGATGAATTATGATGTCAAACATTCTTTATTTAAAATCTGTTTTATGAGCGAAGGGGGGGAGGGGTCTCAATGGAGGGGATATGAGAGAGTGGAGGGGGAAAGTATAAAAGTTGTATATTAGTTTAAAATATCAATTTAAAATATCAATACTCACCAGTAGACGTTTGAGAGATGTGCATGGCGGGCGCGGCCGCTCGTACTGATGACGACATTACATTCTGCAATTAATATATAAAATTGTTAAATGATGAAAACTTATTTAATATTCTTTATAAAAAACAAATATTCATAATTATTATTATATTATGGTGCTGTGAGGTTTATGGTACATTATTTAATTAATATCAAATTATTACATTATTATTCAATATTTAATTCGTCTTATATTTTAATAGCAAAACTACTTTTTATTGGTGCTAAGTAAAAAAATACTCTGAAGTTGTTTCCGCTTGAGAAAATGTATTACATAAGTGGATGACAGATAATATGAATAATTATTAGCAGAACAAATAAAAGCCTAATCATTTGAAACAGACGGCTGTTATTATATCAATTTGTTGTTATACTCACGTTATGTGGTGGCGTATTCTGTAGAGCAGTAGGCGAGAGTGGCGCCTGAGGAACATTGTTCCCGCTCACAGCACCGACCGCCTTATATGAAATACAACATTATACTATTAAAACTACTGATACGTCATAGAAGGTAGTTGTAGTCGTAGAAAAAACGTATTTAATATATTATTGTAATTTTATCTTGAATAAAAAATAAAATATTCTGTATTAAATTAAAAAAATATCTTATATCTTTTATTTATTTTTATCTTTCTTTAACTCATTACATTAAAAAGATAGTCGTAATATTGGTGATAATACATTTCGCTTATCTCCAATGTAGGAGTTAAACATATGGAAATATCTTCCTTACTTCTACATGGACGTTAGACATTATATAGCAAATCTTAACGGCTTTTGGATTTAGTGAAAAAAAATATAAATAAATATTTGGTAACGTAACTCAGTCAACAACCGAATCACTTCTTTCTTTCCAACCTGTACTAAACACTAGACATAATATAACATACAAAACAAAACGACTTTTTCTTTACATTTAGCATGATTAAATATAGCGGGTATATATTTCTGGTATGAATTTCGAGTTTGTTACCGGCAGCTGGTGAGGCGGAGCTCGTTTGAGTCTGACGGGCGCTGTGGGCGCCGGGGCCGCGGAGGCCGAGTACCAGCCGCAGGGACCCACGCTCTGAGCGGCGCCGTGTACACCGTGCTAACATATAATAAGAAAATATAAAGATATAACTAGAAAAATAAATGCTCTAGTAATGATGGTGATGTACGGTGTGTTTGTTGTACGTATGTGTGTGTGGTTATGCGTATGTGTGTGTGTTGTTCACGGTATGCTTATTCAAAGTATGATCCGTCACACTACATATGAAACGTTATCCGCTTCTTCATTCAATGATTTACGTAAATATAAATGTATGAACATTTAGGAATGAAAAGCTCTTGACGTTCTATACGTAGTCAGATGACGGTAACTGAGTAAGCATACTGTTTACCATTATTATTAGCGACACGTTAAAAATATACTGAAAAGAAGATTTATTTTTCTTAATTATTTCAATATATCATAAGAAGTTTCATAGCCTTTGTGTATATTGCCATAAGGTTGTCCTGTAATCATTAAAATAATCACAGATGGCGTTTTTCTAACACAATACCGGGAATGGCAAGAAATTAGAACAGGTATTCAAGCAAACAATAAATTATTTCCACTTGTATCTATACTGATAAATAAAATTTAAGTGTCTATTTATAATTTCAAATCAATTTTGCTTCTAATAAGGAGGAAGTTCTCGATTCGACGTAATCTTTTGTAACTAGCATTCCTTGTACTTAGTGCCTATTTACAAAATTATGAATTAAAAGTATTATTAATCAATAAGTTACCTAGTCAGAATCTGATTAAATTGAACTAACATTTTTCATATATACTATGCGATTTTATTTTTGTAAAAACATACATACGACATACTCCCGCCGTTTCGGCTACTTTTCAGCAACCGTGATCACAGGCAGACTAGATTTCGGTAAGACGAGATAGTTTTGTATAAAAATAAATAATAAAGTGACATAGTGGTGGCCTAGTGGTTAAAGGGCCCGCCTCTCGTTGCCGAGGGCGCGGGTTCGATCCTGGCCCGGGCAAGTACCAATGTGATTTTTCCGAGTCATATGTACTTTCTAAGACTATTTAGACATCACTGATTAATGTTGATTCCCAAAAGAGGGTTGATGTCAGGCAGGCGGCCGGTCGTAAAAACAATTAGCCAAAACTATTCACAACATGTAAGGCAGACCCTGGCTATAGCTGGGAAATTGCCAGGTAGAAGAAGATGTATATCCGAAAAATATTAGTTTCATTTAAATGAATAAATCTCGCGAAAATCTTAGATCTCTTTAGTCAGAATCTTATTAAGTGTTCTTCTAGAAATAGGATAAAACCTCATTATGACGATGAGAAGCTTACCTTAAATAGGGTTTTATGTTTGACGAAACCGAAGGATACGCCTAGTATAGTATTATCTCTAATATAGTGTCAATATTCTCAATCAACGAAGAGATTAATTAAATTCCTATCCTATCCTTAAATGTTCTTCATCTCATTAATGATTTAAATTGTATTCATCTCACATATCTAGTAAAATATTTTCACATTACACAAACCTTAATTCTTTTGTTACAGCTTTAATTTCAATTTGCTGTGTAATTCATTTAGAATCTCCATATATTTAAGTGGAATCCATTATAGAAATTATTAAAAATCCGCCATACGTTTAATTTACTTCTAAACACTCGCTGTTGTAAATGAATACAGATTTTTTATATAAAAATATCATGTAAAAGCTTTCACTGAATTACCATGTTATACTGAGAGTATTACAAAACATTACGTAGTATGTATAATATTTTTAATATATATTTTTTCCGTGAGTTGGCCTTGATGTATAATATTATGTTTTATTGTTTTCAATGAATACTTATATCACATGTGAATTATGATTTTCCTTTATGAAAAATATAATACTAAGGAAAAGTTTTCAGTATTCATTTCGTTATAAATAATATATACATACATATAAAACTTATATTGAACACCAAGCGTAACCTTAAGAAGAATAAGTAGAATTTTCTTAACAATACTAATCCCTACTAATATAATAAATGTGAAAGTAACTTTGTCTGTCTGTTTGTAACGCTTTCACGCCTAAACCACTGAACTGATTTTAATGAAATTTGGTACAGAGATAGAGTTGACCTTGAGAAAGAACATAGGATAGTTTTTATCCCATACTTTTAAGGGGTTCTCTTGGAAACGCGATATAACCGAACTCCACGCGGGCGAAGCTGCGGGCGGAAAACTAGTATTTAAATAAACCATGGGGCTTATAATAAATATTAAATATAAATACTAAAGGAATATATCGCGTCATTAAATACCGCGCTTATAAGTATGGTCACGTTTGTCAAGATATAATACGCAGTTGTTTTATTGAGAAGTAATTACGAACAAGTTGAAAAACAACACTTATATTATATACAAATGATGATTTATAATATATTATACACATATACAGTCGCGATGATTGTGTGACATATTTACTTCTAAATTGAAATGAGAGAAATGTGTTTAATACAAGTTTTTATCGTCACTACATACGAAACGTTTTTCATTCAATATCCTAGATAAAGATCATTATGTACGAAGCTTATATTAATGAAAACTTTGTAACTATCCGTATGTAGTATGATGATGACAACTTGAATTAAGGGTACTGAACAGATTTCGAATATGACCACTTTGTGACTTAAGTAATCTTTTATACATATAATAGTTTTAAGAGAATGGAAATTAATTTACTATCTGATTGTTCACAGACGTATATTTCACGTTTAATTAAAATTTTATGTTAATTCGCTATGCAAAAAAAAACTGATATTATACGATTGAAACCGTAAAAGTATAATCGATTCAACTCGAAATTGTATGAAAAGGAAAATATTAGGAATAAAATTATATAACTAAGACACAAATGTATATTAAATATCGATTATAATAATATATGAGATATAAGAACGTACTCTATACAAGACAGAAAACATGCGGTAGTCATGGTAATTACAAGTGGCGCCACCAGCTTCCTGTGGGCTATAAGGGCTTATCACACTGGCGACGTTCGGCGTTATCACGTCTGTATAAACGTCGGTCGTTAGTGTGTAGCAGCCTTTACAAGTTATGTCGTACCTGAGAGAGCGGCGGATGCGCCTGATGACGATGGACGTCAGAGTTCATACCGACACAGCCCTCAAGTGCACCGCATTATCTGTTGAAAGGAAACATGTGTTAATGAATAATTGATGGAACGATTTAGTTGAAGATAATACAGCTCCAATACACTGGTGTTTTACGAGTTCTGATATTGAAAACTGTGATTTAATTAAACGCGTTAAGATTTAGAGATAATAAGCTAAAGAGAAAATTGTGATTTATTACTAGAGGAATAAAATTTAAAAGATACATTTTAGAGTTGCTTAATGAAAATAGTGAAGGGTCGTAGCTGTAAAACATATTTTTATAATTTATAAAGTGAAACCTCTTTAGATTAACATAACCGTACTAAAATTAAGCAGAGGTTTAAATGCAAATTATTGTTAAATAATTTAAAAAAGCACTTTCGCATTTAAAACAAAACAAACGAATTCATACGTTTCAAAACAAAGCGGAACACGGAATGAATATAACACTATGTCTCAACTTGCAAATGAACCTGCGGTTGAAACGGAAACCTTATCCAACCTAACGGATAGGTATAAATCTCTACAGTCTAGCAGACACGCGGCCGACTAGTATCCTGTTACATATAATACAAAATAAATCTACTACTAGTTTTAATTTACAAATGTCTCAATATTACCGCTACCACGATATTCGCATTGTCAAATTAACAGATGACTTACAGTTGCGTATTAATAAATCATAGTACATGACGGCGTGAAAAGAGGAGCATAAAAAACTGGAAATTGCCGGTTAAACTTAACGATGCTATCTGTCGTTTAGGGTATATTGTTATTGTTGAAACACGCAAACATTTCATAGGGGGTTCCGTACTGTGACTCATATTTATGAATAACAAACTAAAAGGGTGCCAAATATTATGGACATGTTTAATGTATAAGTGTCTGCAAGCACAATTTTATTACAAGAACGTTGGTGAAAATTCATTCTATTTTCTGAATTCCACCATTTATTTTATATGCAACCATTAGTTTCTGAGATATCGATGAACAAAGAGAAAATGAGCCACTTTCATTCAAAACAGATAGGTCCATGATAAATGGTCGTATCGAGACCAAATGAAAGAAACTAAATTGAAACCTCCAAGAAAAACCTCGATAAGACTTTGAAGTTGAAATAATCTATCAAGTTCGTAAACTAGAAAACTGAAAAAGTACCACATTTTTTCATGCTATTACGATTTTAGAACTCATGTGTCATTTTTTTTGTTAAAACATTCAAAAATTAAAAAAAACTTAAGCTATAAATCCCTTTCCTTAATCTCCGTTACGACCATTTTTATGAAAGACAGCTATTAGAAAATACCCTATTTTATCCCATTTAATGTTTATAATAAAGTTGGTATGATTTTCTTCCATAAAAACATAAGCGAATAACGTTATATGGAAAAAATTCCAGAAAAAAATCTCCTGTAAAACAATAAAATTCAAATCATTTCTTCATATACAACGACTATTAATAAAATTAATGAAAAGGAAATTCTTTCATATAAATCTGTCTAAATAAATAGCTTGCATCGTCAAGCCCTTAATAAGCCCACAATAACATTCATTTGTCATGACCGCTGACTCAAGACATATATAGGTAAATATACCTGTTATAAACTAAACAAATGAACGAATTTGAATAAGGGTCTTAGTGTGTAAGTAGTGTGGGAGTGCCCCTACAGACCTCTGATTCACTCACGTACCACTTTTAGCATGGAACACGCGAATGTATGCCCACTGGAGCGAGTCGTCAATCGTGACCATACAAACAACGATTCTATTAAATAATTGATACAAATTGTTTACAATAACAGAAAAGTATTACCGTTTGTTATGAAAACACTGATTTGTGGAGTATTCGAACCACTTTTAAATGAAAAAAGCGATTTAAGCGTTGAAGTTTAACGCTAAAGAATATAAATTACCCCCGTCGTATCTAGACGGGAAGAGACTATTAGTTTTCATCCGACAGTCGCCTACCGCAATGCGCAAAACAATAACAAAATTTATATACCAGACAATTCTTATCCTATACAAAAGAAAGCATGAGATGCTTTATTCATATAAACAGATATAAAAAGTAATGTATTCCAAGCTATTGTTTTAAATAATAATATGCGACTACATGAGACATGTATGTCCTAGTTTCTTTAAATCTATATAGAAATTTTAAACGTTTCAAATCGATTTTGGTTATATGTATATATGTGTTAATAGTTGCGTAATCCGTCCGTCTGTAATTAGCTACAGTTCTTTCCGCACGCGCGGCCGTCGGCGACGTTGCACGCTACCACAGCTATTTCCACATACCAAAACGATAACTCGTTTTATCACGCCATTACATAGACATTTCATGGTTAGTGATAAACTATCCATTGATATAGATGTTTTCGTATTTAAAAACATTTGTAACAAAACGATTGAGACATCCAAAACGGACCCTCATTGTTTGTAATGAAACAAAACACATTAAGATAAGTCACGCACTAAAAAGATTACATTAATGAAAAAACAGTTTTGCACACTTTAAAATAATCTTATAGATTTAATGCTTACAGAATTATTAACAGGATAATTTCAATGTTCCTACACAAACACTAGTCTTACTATTACGAATTGCCTGTTCCCGGCAAAGTTGTTAAAGCCACAGGGCTAACAGAAATATAAATTACGAAAAAAAAACTGCAATACATATGTATAATGCATAAATATGTACTTCCCTTATTATAACTTCTAACAAGTAAAACATTCTCATTAACGACTTATTATTATACTAAATTTTGTTTAGAACATTGATCACTTAAATATTTCTTTCTTTCGCAAAGGCCGCAAAAAAATTCCCGATATACATTATATAAAACGAAATGAGAAAACCACTTACAGGAACGCTATAATAAATTATCCGAGGAGATTTTCTTTTCTCCATCTAAAATATAAAATACAATACAATAATTTCGTAATAAATATTGGACGCCCCAGAATCAATACATTATCTTTGAAAGCGGTATACGACAAGAGAGAAATTAACTGTGTACATTCGATTAAAATGTCATCAATCATTATAAATATATGATTACTTTGTCTTAATGTATTAGAAAGACAAAATAAATCAAATTTATTCATTTGTAAAATAAACTTGCTATCTTATTGAATTAAGATAATCTAATAATTTTATTATCAAATATAGAAGTTATATTTAATAAACTGTACAATGTACATAGAAAAAATAAAAAAATATAAAGTAATATTTAAAATAAATATACGTAGTAAAACTTCGTAAAATGTCATAAGGAAAACAATAATAATAGAAACTTGGCAATAATTTCAATGTTGTAAATCTGTTGGGCGAGAGGATGCAGGCGCGTGCCGAGTTGAACGACCACACCACGCGCGAGTTTCACTTTCATTTCATCCTATACGTAGTCAACTGACGTCTACATTAATACTTCCAAAACAAAATACTATTAAATGCTAACACCGAGTATGACGTCATCAAAGCTTTTGATCTATGAAGTATCCATTATGAATAAAAAAAAACAAAATCTAATACCAACGGAACACATAATGTACCTAGAGCATTCTGAATCACATGTAAGCGAATTGTGATTTGCTAATACATTCCGTAATAATGACCGCTGTGTACCAGGCGACGAGTGGCTGTTCGCTCTACTATTAAACCGGTCCCGCAATGTAAACAAAGGTGTCACAGATACAATTTTACAACTACCCACTATGTAAAACAAGAAACAATGCGCTAGTTATATACAAAACATCTTATGTACCACAATATCCTTTAATATATAATTATAGGCAATTTTTAATAACATTTTACTTTCAATTTATAATAAGCTGTTTGCTTAGTTCTTGTTGGTATATTTATGCTACTGAGCGGTAGTAGTTTTTCATTCATAAATCTTCGCAGACTATAGTATTTACTTAGAATAATAAACGAGAAACTCTTGGTATGTAGTATGACGATTCAAACTTGGACTAAGAATAATGTTCTCGTGGATCTTGTTTATATTATTCTTGTTTACAGTCCAATTTTTATTTCCTTGAACATAACGCGGAAACGGATTCGTATTAATCTTTGTTCACCAAAAATAAACGTAGGAAGTAACAACTTTCAGGATACATTAAAATATACAAAAAAAAAACTTAAAACTAAGCTAATATATATATTTTTTCATAAGCTATCTTATTTTAATATAACCTTGATATACTTTATATGTTTATAATGTCAATGATGATGCGATTTCTATTCAAAACAGCTTCTGTTCGTAGATTTGCTTACTTGGATTTCATATACACGGAACATAGAATTTTTTTAATAAACTTTTGGATTATTAAAATCATATTGTACGTAGATATTGTGGTACAGTAAACGTGGTGGATGTTTACACAATATAATATAATCTATGGTTATGGAATATATAAGAGAAATGTATATATCTATATATGGGTAAATAAATATTAAACTTGTTGTTTAGTAGTGATAATATATGATATTAATTCAAACACTTATAATTAATATACAGTATAGAAACGCGTTTTCTACCTACGACACAAGTGAGACGTGGTAATAAGATCTAATTAATAGTTCAATTGTTTCCTTAACTTTCATATTATAAGTGAATCGTTATTGAATGTTAAAACGATCATTAAACAAGTAGAAATATAAATTTAATTAAACCGACCTTAAAATAACAGCTTCCTTCCCACCACGGTCGTTATATTAAAGGAAAATACAACTCTTTGGACTTCCTATATAAAATTGTTTATATTTCTATATAAATAATTTGCCATATTAGGGATTATGGAAATTATAATTCATTTTATTTTTGTTATTGATATAATAAAGTGACATGATACAGAAAAAAAAAACAATGAAGAAAGTGAGAAGAGAATTAAATCGTTTAAAAAAATCCATTTTCATCAATGGACATAGCTTTTTAATTGTCATACATTTTATTAAATATAATTTTTAATATACATAGTATTTAAAACTTTAAATAATCTTTTACCGTCAGAGGACCATCGAGTGGTAACATAATTTATTATACAAATTTATCAAAAACACGTGTACCATTGAACGCAATTGAATAAAGTGCATTGATATCTCCGTTTTATCTAATTACAGATGGTAATGGGATGACTCATAATGCCCACGTACCTTGCAAACAAGGCAGTCATGTTTCGACTAAGTACTAACAAATGTTCAGTCATGACAACCATCTAGAAACTATTAGGTGTATCAACTGTTATTTGTGCCTCCACGTATTTATCTAACATTATAATAGCTAACAAGACTTTCTTCTCGTTAGGCTAATCTTACTTAGTCTCTAACAAAATCATTACTACAAGTCTTTGTGTAAAAGATATGTCAAATACTTCGCAATTATAATTATTTTCGGTTAAAATATTAGTTCTTTGTTTTAATCCAGTATTAAAGAAAATACATTAAATAAACAATATACCCTTTTCAAGCACCGCTAAACGAGACAGCCATATGGTTTATTTTAACATCGGTCCGTACGTTTTACCTTTAAACGTATCGATTCCATCTAAGAATAGTTTTTCGCATACATTAAATATAGAAACTAAGGTTACATGAATCTCAATACAATTTTACGTACCGAAAGCATTTAGTTGCGAGTTCTGGTATACTTATAATTTTAATTTTAAGATACACAATCACAAATGTTCTAATGAAATTACTCTTTATATATTCACTTATTGACACAAGTAACACACGGTATGTGACTAAATTAGTTTCAAGTACACAGATGTATAATCTGCTTTGTTTACATACTTAACAAAGCTATGATATGAGTCAATCGCGAGAGAGGCACTTCTGTTTATTTACATCTTCAAAGTAATGAAATATGCTAGGAACTCTGTTACACGTAATTATTACGACGTCCGTGAAAACAATATTTATTCGCTGTAACTGTGGTCCCGTAATACAAACGTGCGGTTGTATAGATCGTCAATCACGAACTGTCTGCTACCAATGTACGCCGGCTAGCGCGCGTGCGATCAGCTTGGACGTTCAAAGGCTGGCGCACATTTGGGCGGGTCGCTTCACGACGCATTAAACGCAAAATCCTCTTCATTATCTTACATGAACCATAAACTAACAAATACAAAACAATTATAACAAAACTAATTCGAAAAACACTTTTTTTACTTAAATATTTTTTTATAGGAAATACGCGATAAATACTATATAGACTATATTTTTAATGATATATAAATATATCAATCAATAAGAGGTCTCTCATTACTTACAACTTCTAATCAGTATAAATAATATAAAACAAATATAACGACTATATAAATATTACGCTGTTTAAACAGCTAAGAGCTATGTTATATTGTTTGTTTATAAGTTGTTCCCGTAACGAATAATTTGCATGCTTAATCGATTGCATTGGCAGCCGAATCATCTTGCAATCTCATTTGGCATGTTTTGCAACGGTATACGTGCCGGCAAGGAAGTGAACAAATTCTAATGTTCCAAATAAGCTAAAATTACTAATAGCATTACATCCTACGTACAGTTTAATAGAAACGCAAGCACAACCCTTTTCTGGCCTGTTTTAACCCCAACATTTATATAAAACGAATAATAAAAGCTGTAAAACATGACAACAGGACGTGACCGTAATTATGCAGTATCAAATACAGTACATTAGACACCCTAATAAATGTATACATGAAAAGGGCATGTACTGACTGAGCTAATTCATCACCACAAGCGTGAGTACTGAGATATTCTAACTACAAACAATGATAAGTTGCTTTTGCGATGATGGAGGTTTAACTTGTCGGACTTATCATAATTAACCGTCAATAATATGCTTGAAATAATCGTTATAATTTAGATTAAAATTAATTTAATGAATTTTCGTAATATTAAATGAATTTAATTGAAAGATAATTTTGATAATAATTATGAATTTCGAATTAATATTCAAGTAAAATAATTCTACGTTCGACTTGAATGTCGGAATCAGATCATTCAGAAGGCGGTTCTGTAAAAGCTCACAATAGATGAATATCCGCGGTATTAAAAAAACGCAACACAATTAGTGGTATTTGTAACAATTGGAGCGTGAGAGGAATCCGGCGTACGGTAATGTTTGCATCGTAATGCCCCGTGACCGAGTCGACGGTGCTGACTGACGAATGCCCTCCATTCATACAAGTAGCCCAAAGTACTGGCACATTGAAGTACCTCGCTATTGTTACATTATAAAACATTAAATCAGATGGGTTTTACTGTACCCAACAGTTGCCACCACCTGATGCTTGCATAGAAAGAAACAACACTTAAAACCGAAGTCAAAAGATTCATTAAACATGTGGCTTGATATAATTAGTGTGTGGTAGCAGTGCTCATCAAATTAGGTGCGCAAACAGCGTCCGCGACTTAAGACCGCGGTGATGTCATCGGACGCGCCGCTCGCACATATGGGCAAGGTTTCCTCACAGTTGTCATCGTGTTCAAAGTTCTTTTATATTTATTATTACGGTCGAAATAGATATTTTGCGACGAACGAGTTCAATGACGGTGTAAGAACGATTCATGGACATGTATTAATTACATTGCTTAAAATACAACAAAGAATTTTAAAAAAGAAAAATATATACTTTGGTCTTTACTTATACTTTAAACATTGATGGATACGTTTAAGTGCCGATTAAAAAGCGATGACGGTGTTGTTTGATAAATTGCTTCGGATAAAAGATTGCGATAATAATGTTTTGGGAGGCAACGGATATCCGGCCACGATATATTTGGAAGACAACTAGCGCAAAAACTGATGAACTATAAATCACTTAACAAAAGATGTTCGACGTAAGATCATCAAAATATACATAACTAAATAAATGTATCAGATGTCAAAATCTTTTCAAAAGTCTCAAACATCAGATATTTTTGTAGGTTTTATTAATTACCTAGACTATAATAATTAATTAAAGAATATGTATACAATCAATATTTAGCTTCAGTGTTACAAGTTTTTAGAGGGTATTTTTAAAATCAATGTGACAATGTCTTTATAGCGACTTGTTCAAAAATATATACAAAATTTTTGAAGGGTCCAAGTAAAAAACAAAAATATGTATATTCAAATTCATGATATATAAAAAGAAAATTTACATCAACACGAAACTAATGTGATGTATAACTGCTTATAAGGTAGCATTCTTTATATACTTCACATTCACTAAATCTGTATAAAAACAAGAATAAATCAAATATGTATTTGAATATAAATCTATTGTGTAATGAGAAATATTATTCTCAAACAATTTCTGATACTGTTATTCCAACTAACAGTCTGCTTAGCCCTTATATAATTGTATCTTTAAAAAAATCTTGTATCAGTTAATTATATTCACAGACAAAATAATATGGTCATTTAGAAAGTTAAACAAAAAATTTACAGAGAAGTAACCTCATGAGTTATAAATCTTATGATCATAAGTTTATTTAGAGAAATATATCAAGCAGTGCTAGAAATTAATGAAAATATAAACAAACTACATAGTCTTAGTAATGAGATGTAAGATTTTGGAGAGTATTCATTTAAATAAGACTAATGTTTTTAGATTTACTTTTCGAGATGAAAATCAATCATCTCTTCTGCCCGAAAGTAACCAAAATATCGGGAGTATGTAGTTCAAAACATTAATAAAAAAGGAAATTCTATCCAATAGTATTATATCTATTTAAATCTAGTCTAGATCTTAAAATTATTAATAATTTAACCCACTATACTCTTACAAGGCAGATTAAAGGTAAGTTAAATTCTTACTCAGCTCATATGAAGTTATTTATCACATAAATTTAAAATAATTATGTTAAAAGTTATTTGGAAAAGAAAAGGCCTTGAGATAGAAAAGATATGCAAAAAAATAAGATACTACTTCTACAGTTCTTTTTGTAAAGTTAAATTACAAGTCACATTTTTATACTTTGGCTGTTGCAAAAATTGTGAAATTGCTATACTTTCAGCCATTTTAAAGTAGATCTGAGTATAGTTTTTCATATAGTTTATACCATTAAGTCATAATAACAAGGTATATACAATCTAAGGAACAAAAATACTTGTTAAACATTGACAAGAAATTCAATGAATTGAGTAATTAAATTGGACAGTACGAAAATTATTTGTGAATTGATAATATTATTTGTGTATGCTCAGGAAATGTTATGGTGTTTACAAACTGTATGCATAATTTTATTTACATACTTTTTAAATAAAATGTATGTAACTGTATAAGGTACATTAAAATTTAAAAATAAAACATATGCTCTGGGTAATAAAAACGCTAGTATAGATGGAATAAATGTTAATTGCTGCAGTTACGAAAACCCTCTATTTCAGAGTTTCAAAATTTTTGATGTATTAAAAAATATGAGGATGTTACTCAATAGGATAAAAACATATCTTTTTTATATAATTAGTTTGGTAAGGCACAAGATTATATATTACATAAACTGTTAAATAGTTCCAGTCTACTCTCAAGTCTAAATCTGCACTTGCATAGTAACGAAGTCGTCCGCCTACAATTTACAATATTGGCTTAGAAGCCCCATACCATGTCCAATGGATGCGTATGTAAAAATGTAAATAAAACAAAAGCTAAAACTTACCAAGAAATGCAAGGAATTAAGAAAAGATATAATGAACGTCAATAAGCTCCTAATGCATTGTAAAATCACAACACTAAAGATAAATTTTCTAATATTATAAACACAACACAGACGTCACTCGCGGTTGTCCGCCATTTTATAAATTTATTTTTGTGTGCGGTTGTCATTGGAAATAAATGTATCTTAACAATGAAATAATTAAAAATTAATTTAACTTAGAAATTAAAAAATATATGTCTGAATAAAAAGCAAAAATCATAGAAATTATTGGAAAAAAAAATTATATTCCAAATATTTTTTTTGTAAGCAACACTAATACCATATTAAAATATTACTAATTTCATATAATTCTTAGTTGATCTATTAAAATGTTTCATAATTTTATATGATTGTTTCCTTTAAAACACTGAAACGTTCTGAAAGTGTTTTATCATAAAAATGAGTTTTATCATTGAACGTATACGACAAGCTATTTGTCTTAAAAGTTATTAAATATGCATATTAGAGAATAGATGTAAAATTTAAAGAGAAGAGTGAATTATGAAATTATATAATTTACTTTATTTTTAAATATATCCAATACTCCTATTCTATTCTATTCCTTCTTTACATCTCGCTCGATTTATTTGTTATACTATCTGTCAATGTCACTAATCATTCTGATATCTGACATATGTATTGATATTAAAATATAATTATAGTCCTAATTCCTAACCTAGCCATCCCTGATAAAATAACTAATAAATTTATGAAATTATTTACGATATAATAGTTATTTCAATATCACATCTAAAATGATCTTAGAAAAACTAAAACAGAACTCACGAATAAATTATTTATGTAATGTTTGGAATGTATATAGTAAAAGAAAATCTATAAAATATGGGTTACCCTTTATCGTTTTCATGATAGGTGGTTCTTTCGGTTTAAGGGAATGGACACAAATAAGGTAAAAGTAATAGTTCTTGTAGTAGTGGTAATGGCTCTATAGAGAATGTAAACAAATATAATTGAATTATTTTTTGTACTTTGTCGAGATTACGTGACCAATATTTAGTTATAAATAAACAAAAACTGTCAAACATAGTACAAAAGTATATTGGATGTTTTTTCATGTTAAATACAGTTTCAATAATTAATGTCAATTATGCTTTTTTAGGTACCAATTTTCTGCAGTCAAAGGTGTTTCCAAAGAGGAGGCTGAAAAGATGGGGCTTCATAGAGAGAAAGAAGTCACTTTAGAATCCGCTTATGAGGAGATAAAGAATTTAGACATTGATAATTGGGAAAACAAACGAGGGCCACGTCCTTGGGAAAATAATATAGAACAAAATAAACAGAAGTAACCAAAAAGTTTTAAATAACACCTATTTGATTTGAAAAAAATAAGTTAGATTCATCCTCACTTTAATGTGTATAATTAAAAATAGATACACATTATGAATGTTGTTTATTGTAAATATTGTAAATTAGTATTGATACAAATAAAATAATATAAAGACTGGCATATTTCATTTGAGATTTAGAACTTGATAAAACTCTTATCATCTAATGAACTCAAACAATTATATATTGTAAGTTTGTCTACATTATGAATTGTATTTAAAATGGTCCCATACAAATTAAGACATTATGATTTTCTAAAACCAATTAAACATACACATGATAAACAAAAAATCTCTCATCCTGTTTGTAAGACCTTCTACAAATTAATGAATGGAAGTTATAAATCTATACTAATATTATAAAGCTGAAGAGTTTGTTTGTTTGTTTGTTTGAAAGCGCTAATCTCAAAAACTACTAGGTCGAATTGAATAATTCTTTTTGTGTTGGATAGTCCAGTTATCGAGGAAGGCTGTAGGCTATATAACATCACACTACGACCAATAGGAGCAAAGATATAGAGGTAAATGTGTAAAAAACGGGAGAAATTATTTCATCTTTGAAGTCTTCCGTTGCGTGCGCCGTCAAAACGGTTCAAGATACACAAAAAATATGGATTAAAGAATAATAGCTCTTTTAATGATCTAAAAAATAGTCCGAGACAGTATATGTCTATCTTTTAAGATTAACTCACAAAAATCGTTTTTATGGTACCTAATTTGGTCGAAATAATTTGTTTAAGTTGTATCAATATAATAATATTAACATTTATTCAAATAAACAAATAAATATGTTGTTGGTTAAGAGTACTTCATTGTGAATAAAAAAAAAACGTAGGTTTTATCCTGAAAATTCTACGGGAACTCGACCATTCCGAAAACCCCGCAAGAACGGGAACTATGTGGGAAGAACCAAAAATCTGCCATAAGTCACTATTCCACGCGGACGGAGTCGCGGCAAAAGCTAGTTACATATATATATCTTTTAACACCTACCACACTTGCATATTAAAAGCAAATTTTAAGAGAGGCCTCTTCTTTTTTTCCTAGCATTTATATATATTTGTCCTTAATGTGAAACCTGTATAATACCAATGAAATCATATATGTGCAACTCAGACTAGTTATGATGCAATAGCTAAAGAAATGTAATTCATACATGAGTTTATACTATAATTGAAACTGTATTCTACATAATGACAATCAGATATCCTGTTTGTAACAAAGGAATTAAATAAAGAAAGTATTAACAAAAACTGTTTGATGTATTTATAAACACGTTTTAGTTTACAAAAACAAAGGAGGAATAATCTGAACTACATACATGTTTATTAATAGATAATGCTTATCACTTGTTTGTATGTTGATATTTTTTATTGTGAAATTTATGATTTACATAGTTTAGTTGCTGTTAAGCTAATTAACCTTGTTAAGCTAATTAATATTAATGAATTTGATAATTTTGGGTTGTTTTATAAATTATTGATAATTTTTTTAATGTTAGGTATAATATAAATGAAATTTCGTAGTAAAAGAAATGAGTCATCATTACCGTTGTTGTTGTTTTTGTAATACTTTTCTTTAGCGCGCAGAAAATTGATTAGTGCGTCACAAAGAAAATTCGCCCACGTTCTAGAAAACGCTTATACCGTCTCTTTCTAAAATAAGAAATTAGAAAGAGAAACATAATCACGTCGTTAAACTTCGGTTATTAGCGATACGTTATTGATCGTGGGTTTCGCCGTCTATAAAAGGCAGCGCCCTCATTGTTCTGAGATATTTCAAAGGAAGAGCTCCTGTGAAACAGTGACAAGAAGTTAATCTTGTGTGTAATTTTTAATAAACAAGTTATTAAAAAAGAAAAGAGATTCAATAAGCAGTTATTTAAAAAAAGGTCAGTATTTACGAAAAGCTTCTTTCTAAGTATAGTAAAAATCGGATTTCAAAATGGTATCTGTGACGTTCCGTTATTTTAATATTCTAAATTCATAGACGCCATTTTGAAACATGTCTTACACTACAAAAGCTGTTTACCTTAAATTTCTTTATATTTAAAAAACTGTTTTACTTGTATAACTTTAACCATTTAAAATGAAGACTTTGATTTAATAACATTATTGTTTCACAAGTATTGCGTTGCACAATATTAGGAATGACGAAACAATAACGCGGATGTTTACTTATTTTAGATCTTTCAAATTAGCATTGTTACCGATTAACTTGTAAATATTGCCTCTTTATTCATGTAACTATAAAAAAAATCATTTTTTATTAAGGTAATTTTTGTTCACGTTTGTCATGTATTTTATTACAGATCAAGATGCAAATCTTTGTGAAAACTTTGACTGGCAAAACTATCACATTGGAAGTAGAACCCTCCGATACCATTGAGAATGTTAAAGCCAAGATCCAGGACAAGGAAGGAATTCCCCCAGACCAGCAGAGACTTATCTTTGCAGGCAAACAGTTAGAAGATGGACGCACCCTGTCTGACTACAACATTCAAAAGGAATCAACCCTGCACTTGGTACTTCGCCTCAGAGGAGGGATGCAAATCTTTGTTAAAACTCTGACCGGCAAAACTATCACATTGGAAGTAGAACCCTCCGATACCATTGAGAATGTTAAAGCCAAGATCCAGGACAAGGAAGGAATTCCCCCAGACCAGCAGAGACTTATCTTTGCAGGCAAACAGCTTGAAGATGGACGCACCCTGTCTGACTACAACATTCAAAAGGAATCAACCCTGCACTTGGTACTTCGCCTCAGAGGAGGGATGCAAATCTTTGTTAAAACTCTGACCGGCAAAACTATCACATTGGAAGTAGAACCCTCCGATACCATTGAGAATGTTAAAGCCAAGATCCAGGACAAGGAAGGAATTCCCCCAGACCAGCAGAGACTTATCTTTGCAGGCAAACAGTTAGAAGATGGACGCACCCTGTCTGACTACAACATTCAAAAGGAATCAACCCTGCACTTGGTACTTCGCCTCAGAGGAGGGATGCAAATCTTTGTTAAAACTTTGACTGGCAAAACTATCACATTGGAAGTAGAACCCTCCGATACCATTGAGAATGTTAAAGCCAAGATCCAGGACAAGGAAGGAATTCCCCCAGACCAGCAGAGACTTATCTTTGCAGGCAAACAGTTAGAAGATGGACGCACCCTGTCTGACTACAACATTCAAAAGGAATCAACCCTGCACTTGGTACTTCGCCTCAGAGGAGGGATGCAAATCTTTGTTAAAACTCTGACCGGCAAAACTATCACATTGGAAGTAGAACCCTCCGATACCATTGAGAATGTTAAAGCCAAGATCCAGGACAAGGAAGGAATTCCCCCAGACCAGCAGAGACTTATCTTTGCAGGCAAACAGTTAGAAGATGGACGCACCCTGTCTGACTACAACATTCAAAAGGAATCAACCCTGCACTTGGTACTTCGCCTCAGAGGAGGGATGCAAATCTTTGTTAAAACTCTGACCGGCAAAACTATCACATTGGAAGTAGAACCCTCCGATACCATTGAGAATGTTAAAGCCAAGATCCAGGACAAGGAAGGAATTCCCCCAGACCAGCAGAGACTTATCTTTGCAGGCAAACAGTTAGAAGATGGACGCACCCTGTCTGACTACAACATTCAAAAGGAATCAACCCTGCACTTGGTACTTCGCCTCAGAGGAGGGATGCAAATCTTTGTTAAAAACTCTGACCGGCAAAACTATCACATTGGAAGTAGAACCCTCCGATACCATTGAGAATGTTAAAGCCAAGATCCAGGACAAGGAAGGAATTCCCCCAGACCAGCAGAGACTTATCTTTGCAGGCAAACAGTTAGAAGATGGACGCACCCTGTCTGACTACAACATTCAAAAGGAATCAACCCTGCACTTGGTACTTCGCCTCAGAGGAGGGATGCAAATCTTTGTTAAAACTCTGACAGGCAAAACTATCACATTGGAAGTAGAACCCTCCGATACCATTGAGAATGTTAAAGCCAAGATCCAGGACAAGGAAGGAATTCCCCCAGACCAGCAGAGACTTATCTTTGCAGGCAAACAGTTAGAAGATGGACGCACCCTGTCTGACTACAACATTCAAAAGGAATCAACCCTGCACTTGGTACTTCGCCTCAGAGGAGGGATGCAAATCTTTGTTAAAACTTTGACAGGCAAAACTATCACATTGGAAGTAGAACCCTCCGATACCATTGAGAATGTTAAAGCCAAGATCCAGGACAAGGAAGGAATTCCCCCAGACCAGCAGAGACTTATCTTTGCAGGCAAACAGTTAGAAGATGGACGCACCCTGTCTGACTACAACATTCAAAAGGAATCAACCCTGCACTTGGTACTTCGCCTCAGAGGAGGGATGCAAATCTTTGTTAAAACTTTGACAGGCAAAACTATCACATTGGAAGTAGAACCCTCCGATACCATTGAGAATGTTAAAGCCAAGATCCAGGACAAGGAAGGAATTCCCCCAGACCAGCAGAGACTTATCTTTGCAGGCAAACAGTTAGAAGATGGACGCACCCTGTCTGACTACAACATTCAAAAGGAATCAACCCTGCACTTGGTACTTCGCCTCAGAGGAGGGATGCAAATCTTTGTTAAAACTCTGACCGGCAAAACTATCACATTGGAAGTAGAACCCTCCGATACCATTGAGAATGTTAAAGCCAAGATCCAGGACAAGGAAGGAATTCCCCCAGACCAGCAGAGACTTATCTTTGCAGGCAAACAGTTAGAAGATGGACGCACCCTGTCTGACTACAACATTCAAAAGGAATCAACCCTGCACTTGGTACTTCGCCTCAGAGGAGGGATGCAAATCTTTGTTAAAACTCTGACCGGCAAAACTATCACATTGGAAGTAGAACCCTCCGATACCATTGAGAATGTTAAAGCCAAGATACAGGACAAGGAAGGAATTCCCCCAGACCAGCAGAGACTTATCTTTGCGGGCAAACAGCTTGAAGATGGACGCACCCTGTCTGACTACAACATTCAAAAGGAATCAACCCTGCACTTGGTACTTCGCCTCAGAGGAGGGATGCAAATCTTTGTTAAAACTCTGACAGGCAAAACTATCACATTGGAAGTAGAACCCTCCGATACCATTGAGAATGTTAAAGCCAAGATCCAGGACAAGGAAGGAATTCCCCCAGACCAGCAGAGACTTATCTTTGCAGGCAAACAGTTAGAAGATGGACGCACCCTGTCTGACTACAACATTCAAAAGGAATCAACCCTGCACTTGGTACTTCGCCTCAGAGGAGGGATGCAAATCTTTGTTAAAACTCTGACCGGCAAAACTATCACATTGGAAGTAGAACCCTCCGATACCATTGAGAATGTTAAAGCCAAGATCCAGGACAAGGAAGGAATTCCCCCAGACCAGCAGAGACTTATCTTTGCAGGCAAACAGTTAGAAGATGGACGCACCCTGTCTGACTACAACATTCAAAAGGAATCAACCCTGCACTTGGTACTTCGCCTCAGAGGAGGGATGCAAATCTTTGTTAAAACTCTGACAGGCAAAACTATCACATTGGAAGTAGAACCCTCCGACACCATTGAGAATGTTAAAGCCAAGATCCAGGACAAGGAAGGAATTCCCCCAGACCAGCAGAGACTTATCTTTGCGGGCAAACAGCTTGAAGATGGACGCACCCTGTCTGACTACAACATTCAAAAGGAATCAACCCTGCACTTGGTACTTCGCCTCAGAGGAGGGATGCAAATCTTTGTTAAAACTTTGACAGGCAAAACTATCACATTGGAAGTAGAACCCTCCGATACCATTGAGAATGTTAAAGCCAAGATCCAGGACAAGGAAGGAATTCCCCCAGACCAGCAGAGACTTATCTTTGCAGGCAAACAATTAGAAGATGGACGCACCCTGTCTGACTACAACATTCAAAAGGAATCAACCCTGCACTTGGTACTTCGCCTCAGAGGAGGGATGCAAATCTTTGTTAAAACTCTGACAGGCAAAACTATCACATTGGAAGTAGAACCCTCCGACACCATTGAGAATGTTAAAGCCAAGATCCAGGACAAGGAAGGAATTCCCCCAGACCAGCAGAGACTTATCTTTGCGGGCAAACAGCTTGAAGATGGACGCACCCTGTCTGACTACAACATTCAAAAGGAATCAACCCTGCACTTGGTACTTCGCCTCAGAGGAGGGATGCAAATCTTTGTTAAAACTTTGACAGGCAAAACTATCACATTGGAAGTAGAACCCTCCGATACCATTGAGAATGTTAAAGCCAAGATCCAGGACAAGGAAGGAATTCCCCCAGACCAGCAGAGACTTATCTTTGCAGGCAAACAATTAGAAGATGGACGCACCCTGTCTGACTACAACATTCAAAAGGAATCAACCCTGCACTTGGTACTTCGCCTCAGAGGAGGGATGCAAATCTTTGTTAAAACTCTGACAGGCAAAACTATCACATTGGAAGTAGAACCCTCCGACACCATTGAGAATGTTAAAGCCAAGATCCAGGACAAGGAAGGAATTCCCCCAGACCAGCAGAGACTTATCTTTGCGGGCAAACAGCTTGAAGATGGACGCACCCTGTCTGACTACAACATTCAAAAGGAATCAACCCTGCACTTGGTACTTCGCCTCAGAGGAGGGATGCAAATCTTTGTTAAAACTTTGACAGGCAAAACTATCACATTGGAAGTAGAACCCTCCGATACCATTGAGAATGTTAAAGCCAAGATCCAGGACAAGGAAGGAATTCCCCCAGACCAGCAGAGACTTATCTTTGCAGGCAAACAATTAGAAGATGGACGCACCCTGTCTGACTACAACATTCAAAAGGAATCAACCCTTCATTTAGTATTAAGATTGAGAGGAGGTGTCTAATGTCAATAATATTCTTAACAAATCCTTTGAAATAAAACTACATTTTCTTACTGGATATGGGAAGTTTTATTTACATAATCTATCAAAAATTTTCAAAATACTCCTAGAACAAGTCTTTACATTATTTGAACATGTTTTATTTTACATAATCAGAAAAAAAAAATTAAATGCAAAACTTCTACTGCCACTACTGACGTACATATATTAAGTTGTAGTTTGATCGTATTTCATAAATAAGCAATTATTTTGAGTACCTCTATAAGTTTTCGAAATTTACATAAGGCAATAATTCGGTATGATTCATCTTTAATATGACGAAAAGCACAGTCAGGTGACCAATTTTTTCATAGAATGTATTTTAAAATCTGTCCAAAGTAAACTCGAAGTAAATAAATTAACTAAATAAATTCGAAGAAAATAAATAACTAAACAAATTCGAAGAAAAGGCAACTCAGGAAATTCATTATATGTTTAGTATTTAGTTTTAGATGATCCTGACCTACATCTTGTAGACGTTCATTTTTTGTCACACAAAGTAATTCCCAGACAAGTCTCCTATAGACCAGCCCGAGTCCTCCTGTTCGCTCCAGGATGGACTACAATGAGAATTAAAGATCCATGGCATGTATAATGTCAACATTTTTTAATATAATTTATTCTTTAAGGGTCTTTGAATATTACCTAAAGGTAAGTTAGAAATTCAATAGAATTTATTTATAATGATGGTGCTATGGAAGTGTTATAATTTAAATTCTAATAAATATACGCCTTGCTAATATTTAAAGTATATGAGATAAATAGCAGCATACAGAAATGTATACATAGAGCATGTAGTGTCTAAAACTATATTACATATAAATTCAATGTAGATAGATTCTTGTAGATCATATACAAGTATTAAGTATTTGTAGATCATATTTTTTGAGATTCGTTAATTGTGACTTTTTTTAGTTGCCCTGATAAATTCATCTGCTAAATATCAAGTTTTAATGGTGTAAAAAATATATATTGTGAATTTCTGGAAACTTTTTATATTGGGCGCTAATATCATTATATTGGTGAACGCTTGTTATATGAAACTGTACAAAACAAAATACTTGAAAAGTCATTAACAAAATATCCTGGAATATCGTATACTATATATCTGATAGATTGTTATAAAATCTTAATTACAGAACATTAAAATCAGTATGTCAAAAGATAAATATATATTAAACCTCACACTTCTAACAAATGAGGCAATAAAATCCTATTATACTTTTCGGATTACATTAGAACTAAAAATTAAATTCTTTACTGTGTTAAAACGCTACACTTTTATAAGCTACATTACTTGCCATTAAAAAATAGCTGTCATAATCAAAACAAATTTATTTATGTCCAGGTCAATAAGTTGGTGTCTCTTAATGTATATAATATATAATCAAGTATTCTATAAAGTGAAAGAAAAGAGGATTTCTAGGGTATAGAAAGTACATACGGATTGGAATTTTACACTGGTTATGGCGGTGTATTTTATAATTATTAGGAAAAAGTAGATAATTATGAAGGGAGTATTAAATTAGAAATACATATCTCTATCTAGAAATATTGCACGGATACCAATATGAAACGATACAACTGTGCCATACTGTGTATAGCTACTGGATTCTTTATTTTGGCCCATTGTAAGTAATAATAATACTTTTTTCACACACCACCGGAGTACTAAACAACAATAAAATATTTATGTTTCATTATAGGTTCCATTTACCAGAACTTAAAATACTTCGAGACGTTACATGTATCTCAGTTGACCCATCATATTGTGAAACGAGGAGCAAAGTTGTCAAGCCATCCCTTTAATACTATTAAAGAACTACATTTTCAAACTCTTGGGAAAAGTTTTAGATTGATCCTTCATCCCCACAACTCAGTTTTGCATTCAAACTTCAAAGCTTATTCTGTTGATGCTGATGGGAATAAAACGGCTGTCCATATTGGTGAGTATTAGTAATCTACTAATTGTTTTTTGTTATTTGTTTGATTGTATAAATAACCAACCCGTTTTAGCATTCATTTACTCAGTTTTTCAGAGTTAGAAGCAACATTTTTATTTTTATGGAAGCTTATAGTAAAGACAATATAGAATATTTAAAAATGAACAATTTGTCATTAAATAGCAGCAAATCTTTGTTTTTTAAAATTAATATTTTTATTTCATTCTATTATTATAGATCATGACAGTTATTACACCGGTAGAGTTTTTGGTGAGAAGATTTCCGATGTGAGATTACATATTGAAGACGGTCTTGTAACGGGTATAATAAATACACCACAAGAAACTTATCACATAGAGGTAAATAAAAAAACCGTTAATCATATATGACTCAAAATTTAAACCATTTGTGCCTTTAAAATCTATACTGTGTATTTTAAAAACCATTTATAGCAACCACCCATATTGTAAATTCACATTAAATATATTTTGAATGAAAGTATAGCAAACATTCATCCACACATTCTTATTGTGTTATAGAGATCCTTGTAAAAATAATTATATGTTCTTACAAAATTGTGACAAAATATAGAATTAAAATATGAGTAATTGTGAATTATTATAAAATGTTTTGTTTGTTATCATACAAAATAAAAGCAATAATAATGTTTTTAGCCATCTTGGCGTCACTTGCCCAACTCAGATGATAAAAGTATGATAACCTATCGTTCATCCGATGTGAAATTTAGCTGGTCTGACTCCAAAGGCGATAAGCCAAGAGTTTGTGGATATGTTAAGGAAGGGAAAGGTAGGTTTAATATATATTTGTGTGAGTATTACAATATCTGATCTATGTATATTATAAAATACCTAATTGTTACATTACAGAGCTAGAAGAAAATCAAAACGAGGAAGATAATAATCTAGAATCAAAGCAGGAACAGTCTGAAAAAGATAAATACTTTGACCAAAATCAAAATAGCCATGTTAAGGACTCAAGTGGTGCAAAGAAGAGAAATAAGAGGCAGAGCGACTATGAGTATACACCAACCAAGACTAGATGTCCATTACTTTTGGTTGCAGACTACAGATTCTTTCAGGAAATGGGAGCCAGCAATACAAAGACTACTATCAGTTATTTAGTAAGTTGCTCCGCTTATGTCATGTATTCAATATACAAATATATATTACAATATATGTATTTTTTTTCAGATAAGCCTTATTGATAGGGTGCATAAAATATATAATGATACAGTGTGGCAAGATAGGCAGGTGGGTTGAAATAAAATTTGACTACTAAAATTTATTATTTCAGTTTCTAGTATGTATAGAGCATTTGACTTAAGCTGAGCTTTGCATATGTGTGAGTGCACATGGATAGTGTAGGTGTGATGTCAAATTTTTAAATGCCACATTCTTTTCTCGATTTGAACCGGTTTTTACTGCTTTTACTCCGCCCCGCACCTTCTTCACTTCACCCTTTGTACTCGTAGCAACGACAAATGTTGAAAACACAATATAAAGTGAAGCAAAATTTTGTATAGTTTTTTCAAAATTTTTACTACTTAATATTTTTTTTTTCCATAATATGTATTTCTATTTGGCCTTTTAGAAGTTTTGCTTATTTTATTTTTAATCTAGAATAGCTCTAGCACCATATGTTGTGTATCTATTTAAAATATAATAAACTTTACTTCTAAAAGTTTTTTGTCTAACTCTACTTTTACTTTCGCTCACACAAATGTAAAGCTCGGCTTAAGTCTAACGGACTATACATCATATTTAGTCTAAATTAAGTCAACTAAAAATTTTGGTTCGAAATTATATGTCAACAATTATGAGTTTATAAATTATGTTTTGTAGGATGCAGATGGTTTCAAGGGCATGGGTTTTGTTATCAAGAAGATATTAGTGCATTCAGAGCCGACGAGGGTTCGTGGTGGGGAGGCTCACTATAATATGGTACGAGAGAAATGGGATGTACGGAACCTGCTGGAGGTACATATATTTTTTTGTATTTGTATATTTTTTGTTTGCAAATGTATGGAATATGTGTATGTTGTATATTCAATACATTTTATATAATATGTTGTATATTCAATACATTTTAGCTCATTGGAATATGTAAGAGTATAACAGTGATAGTTTTAAAATGATGCTACTGATATTTTCGGGAGTATTCCTTGAAATAAAATTAATATATTTCGGGTTTCACATGAGTTTATAAATTGTATTTTTATCAACACACACATTACATCTCGGCTGCCTGTGATTATGGTTACTGTAAAGTATTCGGAAGTCGGGAATATGTTGTTAAAAATAATTAGAAACGAGTCGTAATTTCGAAAAGTATTAGTTTTATTTCAACAATGCTATTTTAACTTAAAATATAATTAAAAAAAGTATATATTATGGCAAATTTGGTGCAATAATACTATGTAGATATCTTAATATGAAGAATATATGATTTATATTCTTCTATTGTTGTTTGTATGCGATTTCGACGTTTCTTCGTAGGTGTTCAGTCGCGAGTACTCTCATAAGGACTTCTGTCTCGCTCATCTGTTCACGGACCTCAAGTTCGAGGGTGGTATCCTTGGACTAGCGTATGTTGGATCACCACGGAGGAACTCTGTTGGTGGCATTTGTACTCCAGGTAATGAGATCAATATAAGAGGTTCTACATTTGAAATAAAGAAGTAAAGTTAGAAATTACTTTAAGTTTTGTTTTTTTTTTGTATAAATGTTAGTTTTTTTTATAATATGCCAGTCTATAAATTACACAATCAAATTTTTGGCTAATCAAATACAGTACAGTACATGAAGTTTTTTAAGGCTATAAAAAAGGTTATTTTGGCTGTAAAGATGATTTCTTTTCTTTGAAATTAAGCACTATACAATTTTCACAAAATTGGTTTTTGTTAAATAGAAGTTGTTAATTATTTTATATAGGTATATATATTTTTTATGCTGACAAGTATCTTATTAAAAAATTAAGAGAAAAACATATTAAAAAGATATATTGGTTTAAAGAATCGTCATGGAGAGCTCTTTCTAGATCAATTTTTGTTATATAAATCCCCTTGAAGACCAGGGTAGAAGCCTTTAAAATTATTGAAAAAAAAATATAGTAGAATGAAACCCATTAGCAAATTAGGGGAATATTATAAAAATTGTAGGAAAAATAATTTACGGGCGATCGGAGGTCGGAGGGTATGGGGCTGGGTATTTAAGGGTAAAAAATGCGTTTGTTCGATTTCCGGCTAAACTAAAAGTCCTAAGGAAAAATGTTATATGGCAAAGTTGTAAGTAATAAAAAGATCTACTCCAAAGTCGTGTATTCTGGAAGATCTACTGAATATCCCTTTGTTATTTTGTTAAAAGAAAATTGACATTATTTTTCATTTAATTTTTATAATATTCTCCCCCTCCTCTTCTGAGGGATTTCATCCTACTATAATTTTTTTCTGTTTTAAAAGGTATCGACACTGGTCTATTAGTATTCCTACATTGAATGATTTTAGTTTATTTTAATTCCATATTTTTATTGTCATGTTTCAGTTTATTTTTTGTTTTCAGCTATTTCGCTGCAAAATGTGAGTGTTGTTTTTTGTTTGCTTTGGTTTGGGCTTAAGAAATATAAGTATGTGTATGTATAATATATTATTATTTAATATAAGTATGTACATTTTCCATAACCTTATATAAAACATGACACGCTATGTTATATATTCCTACTTATACTAATGGGATTTACAATAGTTTCTCCACGATTTGACTGTCTGTAATAACCTTTTGTTTATTTTCAATAATTTATAAACATAGACTTTAACGTTCTTAGTAAATAGTATCTTAAAGCATATTTACATAGATACATTTAAAGTATAGTTAAATTTTCTAACACTTGATTATTACAAAAAAATGCGAATAATCGAAAAAGTTGTATCTTTTAAATAAGATTCTTTGTGATTATTCATAATAAAAAATAACTAACGTAGTTTTTCATTGTTTATTAACATAAATATGTATTCATTTTCACACAGTTCATCGTCGTTTGGTTTAATAAATTCTAATGATCTAAAAACTATACAGAATACTTCAAGAACGGCTACACCCTGTATCTAAACTCGGGTTTGTCTTCGTCTCGTAATCATTACGGTCAGCGTGTTATAACTCGTGAGGCGGACCTTGTGACCGCTCATGAGTTTGGTCACAACTGGGGCTCCGAGCATGACCCTGATGTAGCAGAGTGCTCCCCCGCCGCCAGCCACGGAGGATCCTACCTCATGTATACTTACAGCGTCAGCGGATATGACGTCAACAATAAGGTTTGTTCACATGGCCTTTTTTTAGCAGTTGGATATTTGGTTGGAGTATACAACCTTTTTCGTTTAATGAAATGGTGATTATGATCGAAATTATACACTTTATGTTCCATACCCAGTTAAAAGTTCCCTCGGATAAGTCCATTTCCGAAAAAGGAGCTATGAAAGTAGGCTCTTGTTTTTTTACTGTATTTTTTTTTTGCAAGTTTTAAGACAGTGGAAGTCTACACCTCTTAAGTGATCGATAGATTTTGTTTAATATTTTTCTTTAAGATAATAATCTATTCTTAGGTAAAAATGAGGTATCCTCATTAAATATCAAATTGTTAAAGTTTAATTAATCAATTTTTTTTATCACTTCGTATTAAGTGATGAGTATTTTCTTTGTACATATAAAATCTATGATAATAAATCAAGATCAAATAGGGGCTAACGAGTGCATATAATCTTATAAATCTTAATTCTTTCAGCGGTTCTCTCCCTGCAGTCTTCGTTCCATCCGCAAGGTTCTTCAAGCCAAGTCCGGTCGTTGTTTCTCCGAGCCCGAGGAGAGTTTCTGCGGCAACCTGAGGGTGGAGGGCGGCGAGGAGTGTGACGCGGGGCTCCTGGGGACCGAGGACAACGATATGTGCTGCGACAAGAACTGTAAGCTGAGGAAGAACCAGGGCGCAGTGTGCAGGTACATACGGAAATATTATAAGAACAACTCCTATAGATATGCTTATAGTATTAAAGTATATGGATATACTTGGATTAAATATCTTGGAAGAAACGATGTTTCCGTGCCGCCGCCGCCGCCGCTCCGCTGCCCGCAAAATTCGAGGCCGAGGCCTGAGTTCGAAAATTTCGCGGGTTGGAATCCTGTTTGTGTCCATGAATGTTTCATTTTATAAGTTTTATTTGAATTTGTTTTTAAGAGTCCTATAGTAATCTTTGTTTTTATGTACCTATGTATATATATTGTCAGTGATAAGAACTCCCCGTGTTGCGCGGGCTGTGTGTTCGCGGCGCCGGGCGTGGTGTGTCGCGAGGCCGCTCACTCCGCCTGCGAGGGAGAGGCCACTTGTAACGGAGCCTCCGCTGACTGTCCTAAAGTAATTTCGTAAACCCTGTATATACTCCCCGATTGAAAAATTGCTTTTATTTTTAACAGCATATTTTCTTATGAGAGCCCCACCGATACCACAAAATTTTTCTCTTTAAAGAAACAAAGGTTTAAGTACCTTAGTCTCGGTAGGTAGAAAAATCTTAAATTTAAATATACAATTTCTCCAGCAAAGTAAGACTGATGCCGTCATCAATTTTGATTCCGCTTTGATATATAGCATATTTCTACCAATTCCTCAAAATAAATTAATGATATTTCCTCTTAAACCACATTAGTCGTTAATCGTTATATTACAAGTCGTGTCTAGGTTAAATCCAAGAAGAGTTACGTGCAATTTCCTATCATAATATTTAAAATTTAACTTAATATTTCCAGGCGCCTGCTATAGCTGACGAGCATGAATGCGCTGAACGCGGTCGTTGTCGCAACGGTTCGTGTGTCCCGTACTGTGAGACTCAGGGACTACACAGCTGTATGTGTGATATTGGTCAGTGTTTCATTATATTTATTATTTATATTCTTAGACAGAACAACTCGTATTGTGTTTGTAGTTTCAACTCTTAAAACCATTTAGTATTAGCGGGATAAACTTAGAAAATCATTGTTTTTCACATGGGCAGCTATATTTTGCGTGGTAATGAGTTGGGAAACCATCCGCTTTATTTGTGTTAAATTGTAACGTTAGACCAAAAAACAAAAAATGTGGTTTACAAAGGAGCACTTCAATGAAACGGATAATTTGCGAACACGTATAACGCTTCGATTCGGTATCTACTTTGGATTCACTTTCATTTACTTAGAGAAGTTCAACTAAATAACACTTCATTTTTGTAATCGAAATGAATTCATTACTGTTGTGAAATGAAATAAAAATTTTCCTTTTCAAATATAAAACAAAAAAATTCTTCATCTTTTAATCACCAAACGAAATGTTATATAAAAGCCTTCTGGTGGCGAAACGGAGTTCGCCGGGTTTACTAGTATAAAATATTGGTGCCCTTAACTTAGGGACGGATTAGCTATTTGTATCTTTAAATTTCTTTTCCTGAAACCCCAAAAACAATTTTTTTCTCTCCTGTTCCAAATGGATTGTTTATTTTTATAAGTCAGACACTTAACACCGGATAAATTAGTTCACAGAACAACATGAAAGAGGTCCATAATTCTCTTTCTGGTCTTAATGTAAATAATAATAATAATAATTTTAATATTTCAGTTGCGGACGCCTGTAAGCGCTGTTGCCGTAAGAGTCTAAACAAAACCTGTTTCCCGGTGGCCCACAACGATATACTGCCAGACGGAACTCCTTGTATACAAGGCTTTTGTAACAAGGTTATTATAAAACAGAAAAAATTATGACATTTTAAATTGATTTATCATAAATATGAAAGTAATATTTTCTCATTACTAAACGTATTTCTTTTAACTATATACTCCCGACGTGTGGTTGATGGCGATTTGAAATTTACATTTCCTATGGAGTTTTTTATAATAATAAAATACGCGTAGAAATCAGAAAATATTAGTTTCATTTGAATGAATCTTAATAATGATTTCTGAATCGTAGGGAATTTGCGAGAAGACTATTCAGGACGTGGTGGAGCGGTTCTGGGATATAATAGAAGATATCAATATAAACAACGTGTTGGGTTTCTTGAGAGACAACATCGTTGGGGTCGTTGTACTCGTCACTGCATTCGTATGGATCCCGGCCAGCTGTGTTGTTAGTGTCGCTACAAATCAGTACACTTATATTCTTACCTTACATAATATTCATAACAGTATATTTATATTATTTATTCTAGATAAGCTATGTGGATCGACGTCGCCAGCGACAACATCAAAAGTATCTGGAGTGGGAAAGACAACATGATCTTATACACCCTTCCGAGCCACGGAAGATAATTCATGTTCGGTAAGATTATTATATGCCTTTAAATTTATCTTCAAATTACTATGTAAATAATTTTGCATTAATGACTATTATTTTATATTCAGGTTGCCAAAGCAGAAGCCGCCAGGAATGAAAAATGTCATTCAAGGAACTAGTCAGATATAGTTACAGATTTACCAATAGAATATATTAGTAGCACGATAAAAATATTGTCATTCAATTAAAACCCAGTATTTATTAAATATTTTTTATTAAGTGCAATAAATATGTTTGAATACAGACAGGCGAACCTGTTCTAGTAACATAGTGCAATTAAGAATGAATACAAGAAAGCAAATATTATGTAAATATTCTAATTGAGTGCAGTAGATGTGAGTAATGCGACGCCTCGCTCGTAGAAGGCGTGCGGCTCTTGACCCGCGGCGATCGGCAGACGGACCGTGAACAACAACTCTGAACGAGCGCTGTTCAAATACACCGGCAGGGTCAATGACTGGCCCGCGCCCGCCGGCTCCACGCCCCTGACGATAAACATTACGTTAGATATACATAATACAAATGCATCAATAAATATTTATAATAAATCAATTAGTCATTGTTTGATTTATTAATTCCCCTGGAGTAAAGCAAACAAATATGAAATACAAGGAGAAAAATAGAGATAAACTGCTTTGTGAGGTACTTGAAGATGATTACAAATTTTAATTTGACAGTTTAAATGAATAGTTTATCAGATATTTCTAAGGAACTGACCTTATCCAAGTGAGCACTACGAGCGGCAGATCGACCATGATGGTGTTTGTCAACAACAAACGGTTCCCTTTCACAGTAGCTCCTTGCAGCTTGAGACCTGTTACAGAGAACGACCACTCCATCTGCGCGTTCTCCGTCGGAGTACCCGGGTCGGGAATCGTAACCTATAGTACAAAATCATTAAATGAGGTTTTTACTTTAGTAATAATGCACAATTTCATATAAAGTAAGTTCTGCTTTTACCTGTAGATTCAATTCTTCGAGGGACCATGAGTTAGCCTGCGCCACACATTGTCGTGTAGCTGTGATGTACGCTTCCGGATTGAGCAGTCCGCCGAGCCACACTGGGATACTCTGAAAGAAATATAATAAATATTAACACAAAAAACAAGATCTTTAGAATGATTTTCTTTACCATGTTTTACAAATTACTTGATTACGTATATATAAAAATGTCTAAAATATGCTCTTATAACAATTAATTTGGTAATTTTTAAAGATTTTAAGGAAAATAACTTACAAATATACACAGAAAATGTTGTAGTCTTAATAGATTTCTTTCATACCTGGAGTCTCTTAGCGCCTTGGTCTGCCAGTGTACTGGACACGGTAGCGAGCTGAGTGACTCGTCGCGCGAAGTCGTCGATCCATTGTTGTACGGTGCAGCCTCTAGCGACGGCGTACCTGCGCCAGCCGCTCGGCAACATGCCACGTACTAGTGAACCCACCATCGCACGAGTCTCATTCGTCTGCTTCATCTCGCCCTATATCAAGAAAAACATATTATATTAATATAATATTACACAACCATTATATTGAAAAGAAAAATATAAAAATCTAAAATGACAAAAGCTTGCAAGAAATGAATCGATGTGAATATATTTTATCGCAACTTCTGGTTTATTTAGAAATGTATTTGCCTTTTAAATTGTCATTTCAAATGAAATATGAAGCTGTGTTCATATAACTCTAGAATTTTTATTTAGAAGATATAATAAAAGAAGTTAATTAATATTTAGAGACTTTCTTATCACAAATTACCTGGCATATAGCTATAACATTTCGTAAGTCGTGCAACACTTGTTGCAGCAGCGACGCTCCGGCCGCCACCTCGCGCTCGAAGAAACGGTACAGTGGGTCCTTGATATTCTCGACCGTACGACGAAGAGTCTGACATAGAAATAGTTTCCATTAATAAGATTAGCTTCAAAGGAAAATAACGAAATATAAAATACAAATTACATGTATATCCTTTATACAAAATATACCTGGTTGAAAACCTATTAAATAACGACATTACCTGAACTATATTTTTCGAGGAAATCATGTACAAAAAAGATATACATATCTGAACTGAAGTCGAATGCACTAATCTTCACATTGAAATAGTTTACAAAGGATTACGTCATAGGTTTCATGTTATAACACAAATAATAAACACTCATACTAACTGGCAATTCCTTAGGTAGTAGTTGCAACCAACTTGTGGCTGTTTCGTGCAGTATCTTCATCCAAGCTGGCCTTCCATCACCCTCGACGACGATAGAATCTGAAAATTTTTGTATTAATTTGTTTAATGAACTGTAATAAAATTGTTATTAAACTTAAATATAATTCTTATTAAACTCACTAGGGTCGTGATCCTGGCTGGCCGCGTTGTACGCGAGCTCTTCTTCGTCTTCTAATTGTTGCATCTTCAATAGTTTCGACACCAGGTCGCTGCCTTGAGTTGTTAACAGCACCTGAAATGAAATATTTTAATTACTAAATATTCTTCATAAATGTTATTAAGAAAAAAAAAATTTTTTTCTTATTCAGGGTTACACATTTTTCTCCTAAGACTTATTATTTATTATTACAGTTAATTTAGAATTTAGTTTATTTAATGAAGTGTTTTATAATGTGTAAGAGGCAGAAAGTTTTGTTGTTGACAGTATAAATACCTTCTCAGCATTATTGGGCAGGCCAAGCCAAGACGGCGTCTGTCTGTCCGACAGTTCCTCGATCCATTTAAGGAAGTGATCTCGTCTGTTGCCGTCCGGCATTGTAATGTGGCGTTGGTTACCGGAAGCCTGTTGCATAGAGTAGAAAAAGGAAATATAATTTATTTGGTTTATATAAGTATAGCAAGGCATATTTCGAACTAAAATTTATTTACTGAAAAAATATTTATAAGTAAGAAGTAAATAACTTACGCCATCAACATTAGCCACAAGAGCAAAGTCCGCTTCGAAGGACCTCGGAGTGAACAACTTGCAAAGGAACGAGTGTAGAAGACGTTGATCGAACAAGTTGTCTATTTTACCTCCATAGATACACTGAGAGAGGAGGGTCACTAGTGCCTCCCATGGAACTTTTTCAGGTGGTAAGTTGGTACGGCCCTGTGAATTTGGTATATATTAGTAATTATCGAACAATTCGTGTAAATAAAAGTAAATTAAATGTGTTTTATCATACCATAGCAGTAGCGTCTATCCACGTGTCGAGAGTATCGCAGGCCACACGTAGATCTGACTCGTTGAACTCGTAGTATTTCGCCCATCCTAGAGGCACGTAGCGCAGACGCTCTTGGACGATGCCTGTTAATATAAAATGATTAATTCAAATCCACAATTCTCTGGTGAGAATCTCTCACATCGTTTGTAATGATTTACCGTGGAACCAGGCCAGTAAGAAGTATAGACGTGCTCGTTCCGAAGGTTGCTTCATCATGCGAGATGCTGGAACCTGGAATATTTAATGCAATGAATTAATTATTCTGATAGGCTTTAAACATTTTAACGAAAATCAGGTAGACTTTCTTGGGGAATTCTATCGTCACGGGTGGGACACTTGTACCTCGATTTTCAGCGTGTGTGGCTTATTTACGCTAATTGTATCAATGATATCTAATTGGTTTATATAGAATATAATAAATTTATCCATGTACTTTTATATGTGCAATAAAGACAGGAATAACACCATGTAAAATTTAATAAAGAAGACATTAAATATTTGTCACGGGTGGGACAAAGTTGTGACATTCGTGTTACCATATACCATATCTAATAAAACTCTACTAGATGATAAAACTTTTTAATGCAGACTACGATATTTCTTGAGACAATAAACTAAACTTCACATTTGAAAAGAAAATAATATTCTATTATTTACACATATTTTTACAAAAAATAAATAAACCGTGTCACGGGTGGGACTTTCATTGTCACGGGTGGGACACGTACGATTTACTTGGTACAAGGAGTCACTTATAAGTTTTTATTTCTTGATATGGATGCTAGTTTCATCATGGGAGTCAGTTCAGTAGCTTGGGTATGCATCAAGGTATACATTTTAAACACTCAGCTTGACAGCTTTGCATTTTTTCAGATCCAAATCAGCATTAAATTCATTAATCATGTTTGGAACTTAATAAAAAATAAAAAAATATTCAGATACTACTATTTTTAAAGTATCGTGCAATTTTAAATATTTTGTATCGATATATACAATATAAAAAAAAGAAAAACTTTAAAAAATTATATCAAGGTTTACTTTTCCGTAGAAACCCCTTCTTTCAAAAACAGATTTCTATAAACCTTAACATCCAAAAACCTCATATTATGTCCTAATACTATGTGTATTTAGTAAAAAATAATTGATTTTGCCTGGATGTAAAAGCAAAGATATCTGAAAATATACGTAATAAAATATACTAACAGTAGCAAAAGTCCTCAATAGATTAGCTCTAATGCCAGGAGGCGGCTCAAACACGAGCACCCGTCCAGCTCGCAGTAAGTTCACGGGCAGCTTGGGACTGATCTCAGTCGTTAAGAACAGACGGAAGTTAGGATGAGGTTGGAGCGAGTGAAGCTTCTTCTCTAACTGAACCAACCATACAGGAGCAAGGTGGACGTTCTTCAGCATTACCCATCTGAATAGAAAATAATTTGTATGAGTAACATACAAAAAATATAAATTTTTCTAAAACTGTGAAGGATTAAAAAATAATCTTATTATGATGATCTTTCTTTGGCTAGTTTAAAAAAGTGTTCAATTATTATTCAATAACCGATGGTAACTGTATTTGAGGTTTTAAATATATAACATAATTATTTTAGATGCAACAGTTGTCTTAGAAGACATAGGTAAAAAGAATATGAAAATAAAAAAATCTTTTACAGTTATATATTTACCGTCCAGTTTTGCAGGCAGTATTGATGGCGCGCTCTGCCTGGTTGAAACCTTCCGCTGAACCGATTGCGATACTTGACAGCGGCTTATTTAAATCAGTAGCCATATCATCCACACGACCTAATGACAGAAAAATTATAAATTTGATTTAATAACTTAAAACTGAGGCGATGTCTGCTAACAATTTATGTTAAATAACCAAAATTGATCTTTAAAACATAAAAATCAAGTCAAGTTATAAGAAATAGCTATATATAAAGATATAATTTGATGAACGAAGTCTTTCGTAGTGTTTAAAAATATACATACCACTAGCATCATAGCCGGGCACTGAGCATAATAGTGCGGGCGTGGTCGCGTTGAGCTGGCTTTCAGTGATGTTACAGAGATCCAGCTCGGTCTCAGCACGGGACATGAACTGTGGACCCAGCACCGACGACACTAGCTGAGTGGCCGCCGCTATCACACGGTCCGGACGGAACGCCTGGTGGATATACATACATTAATAACAAACATTTATATGTATAAATTTAGTTCTCATATTATCTATTCCCTTTTGATGAACGATAATTCGTATTATTTGTAAAATTAAGTCTTACTACTTGTAGTTTATATGTTTTTTACAGAACATGCATGGTTGGTTGTAATTTATAAAGTAGCTGTCTTTAAATAATGTTTAAAAATATATTTTAGAAATGTTTGATTGTATGTTCTGAACAATAAATTTATATGTAATAATTTTGCTTTTTATGATTATTCAAATTGATAGAAAATCTTCACAGGTATATATATGTCTACCCAGCCGTTTTCGGCTATGGTGACTTTGCTTTGTTTTATATTGTTAAAAAAAATAGCTAATATTTAAGACCTACGATGCCACCTCACATGACTAAAATACCCAATTTTAGCATTAAACGTGCGACCACAAGTGTCACAAGTCAGTGTACCATTTACATAATTGTATGTTGTATTAGCAGGTGGACGTGCTTTTATTCGGTCGCGTTTGAGATCCAGTTCCAGTTTTCTTTTATCTTCAAATGCATGTACTTTTTCATGTACATGCCGTCTCCATCCAGATCTGTTTTCAGCGAGAGATTCCCAGCGAGATGGCTCAATGCCGCATCTCTTCATGTGTCTTTTCTGAACATCTTTGAAGCGTAAGTATTGGCCCCCGCGTTTCCGCTTACCAAACTCTAGTTCAGAAAAGAAGATGCGCTTCGCTTTTCGCTCAAAAGTATTCAGGTATGTTACGTACCTGTATCAATAGTAAGCGGTACATAGCCAGTGCGTGTGGTGGTGGGGGCGAGGCAGCGTCGCAGTCCCACAGGGTGGGCACGCACTGCTCGGGCGCCGCCTGAGACAACCACGCGGACAACTCCGGCAGCGAGCCAGCCTTCTCCATCAGGCGACGGAAAGCTACCATCCTGGATAAACACGTTTGTTAATATTTTACTAATATGATAAATGTGGAAGGTTGTTAGCAAGTTCGGCCATTTCTTGCTCTAACTTTGATGAAACTTTACAGTACTGTAGTATCACATCACAATAACACAAATGTTAAGTCTCTACGGGAATTCAGTTTAGTTTCCGTCCGCTCACACTGTAGTAGGCAAGAAAAGAAGTTAGACTGATCATATATGTCCCTACCGGTAAGTCATCATCTTTATTATTTAAATACACTCTATACATTTGTTTTTGAGCCGAATTCCGAAGATAACTCTGCCGTAGTTGCGAGCAAAAACTAGTACATTATAATTATAAAAAAAAATTGGAATACAAAAAAGGTATTGTGACAAGTTTTGTTAATGGAAAACAATTCATATCATATAATATCTCATTTAAATGCCCGGTTCAAAATAATATTTAACAGTTAGAGGATAATAAAAATACATTTTAGGAGTAACTATTGCACCCCAATAGGTATACTCAATCGTACCTTGAGCTCAGCCTAGCGGCGGCATCATTCTGTTGTTGCGAGAGCGCTTCCAACGGTGGAGTATTCGCAACGAAACCTTCTCTTCCTCTCAGGAACACCGCAAACTGTTGATCCAGAGTATCTTCAGCGCCAATACCCTTGAGTTGTATGCGACACAATAACAGAGCGAATGTAAGACGGTCGGTGTGAAGCATACCGCGTGCCACGCGCTCATATACTGCCTGTAATGGGAGAATATAATGTAGTTCACTAATAATAGCGGCAAAAATCAATAATTAAGAAATGTACTCACTATGAATAATTCTTCCGTGATAGTTTTCAGCCTGGCCGTGTAATCGGTGACTCCTTTAAGGGCGGGGCTCGTGAGCACCGAGCTGAATATATCGAGGAACATCTTGAGCGAGTACTGGTAGAGGAAATGGACTTGGTGTAGCGCCTCCATTGTGAAGTAGATACTGCTGCAGGCCTGAAATAGTTAGGATTGTTATAGGCATTTGAAAAATATTAATGAGACATTTCGCTTTTATGGATTTTGCCTTAATTGGAAACTGTGCTTCCTGTATATTAAAATTTAAGCCAACTTAACGTCACGCTAGAATGCCATAGCGTTTTTAAGTTTATCTTGTAAGTTTAATAATTTCTACCAGTTGTTTCTAAGATAGGTGAATTAAAAATTTATAATATTAACAAAGTTTTTATACAAACTTACTTGAGACAGCGGCAGATATTGTTGGCTGACTGTTTCAATTTCAGCAATAACTTTATCGGTCTCTTCAACCTGTGGTGGAAGTAAAATTAATATTTTGTTTTTATGCAAGAGTCTTACTAGCATTACACGTAGGATAAATAACTTACCTTTTGTCCGATATCGCCAGCTTCTTTTTTAAGTGTCTCTAGTGTTGCAATAACGGAATCATCGTCGAGAATCTTACCCTTAGCATCATTAAGAGCTTGAAGCAGAGACTTTTCTAGTTGTCGGAGTCGCAAGTGGAATTCACCTGTGAAATTTATAATGTAAATGTAATGTAATGACTTTGATGATATTTCCTATTGCACGTATTATAAATACATGGAAGCATTTAGTAATTTAATCCCAATGATTATCAAAGAACACAATTGCTTATATGTAGTAACAAGTAAATAAATATTTTATTATTTCAATATATCACATAACATTTCTATTAAATAATGGGCCTAGTTTTGTTTACGACTAGCGGAACTTTGAAGTCATTTTCCAATTTATATAATATCATAGATTGTATAGATGCATATATAATATCAAATATTCTGTATTTACCTTGTAGTTTAAGGAGGTCTGACCGCTTGGTATCAATGTCTGGTCTTTCTGCTTTAAGTACTCGGTGGAGGCATTGGGATTGTAGTGATGAACGAGTGACGGTGAAGTTAACGAAGGTCACACGGGAACACATGTCTGGAGGGAATTCTACCGTTGGGTCCCTGGAAGTGGATTTTAGAATTTGTACTTAAAGTTAATAACTATTAGAGGTCACTTTATAATGTTTTATTTTAATATTTGTCAATCAGAACATATCCTTTATTACATAGTTCAGTTCATAATTTATAACTATAGACTGGTCTTAAAATTAAAATTTAGAAATCATTTGTTCTTAAATTATCTCTTTAAATAGGTCAGACTGAACCCCTATTTTAAAATCTTTTACAGAGAATCAAATCATATTTGAATTTATTATTTTAACAAAGAGTTATACCTAGTTAATATCTGTGTCAATTATGTATACCTGGTACTTAAGAAAATTACGAATGATGGACTGAGATCAATGTCTTGGTCTCCAAGAGTGATCAGCACTCTTCCTCCTGTGCGACGGAGCTCTCTATTCAATACTGGATTCAGAATTGGATCATAGTTTTCGACATCCTGAAAATATTTTCGTTATTAATGGCTGCATAAGAAATCACTACTAATATTATAAATGCGAAAGTAACTCTGTCTGTCTGTTACGTTTTTACGCCTAAACCACTGAACTGATTTTAATGAAATTTGGTACATAGATAGAGTTGACCTTGAGAAAGAACATAGGATAGTTTTTATCCCAGACTTTTGAAAGGTTCTCTTGGAAACGCGATATAACTGAACTCCACGCAGGCGAAGCAGCGGGCGGAGAGCGAATAGTAGTTATAAAAATAAAATATTCATACTAACCTGGACTAGAAGTGGGTTTCCGAAACGCAATGCAGACTCCAAGTTCTTCCTGAAGGAGTCGTCGAGGAAGGAGGTCTTTGTTATCTTACGTTCTTTAAACTCACGCATTATGAACTCAGTGGCTTGTCCCGATGGATCGATGATGAGAGGATAACGGTTGAAGCGCTGGAACGTTCAGACAGAACATATATTAATTTACATACCATTGTAAATTATTGATTAGTTTAAAAGAAGATTAAGTAAAATTGTTCTCTGTATTTGTGGTTTAAAGTATAATTAAAAAGTTAACACTCTAGTAATAAATTTATTAATTTTATATCAGCACTATTTTCTTTCAACTTCTTTGTACCAACCATTACTTTAAATATTTCTAATAATTTATTCGTGATATAAAATATTCTGTAATTAATCGGCTATAGCTTAAATACATCTTTTAATATATTACGTAATTCACTAGCCCTATAATATTTGTATTTGTACTTTCCTAGTATATAATAATGAGAAACCGTACCCTGAGCATGATAGCGTTTTCAACACACAATTCGTCAGTTGGTAGTGCGTTGGCCTGCCAGCGGAGTCGTTCGTCAGGGTTGCTGAGGTATTCAGTACGAGCTATGTCCGCCCGGAATTTAATGTTGGCTGCAGCCAAATGACTGCTCCACATTGAGAATAGGTTCTGACGATACTGGAATTACATCAATTGTTAGATTACAGATCTATATACAAAGATTAGTGCGAGGAACTCGACTCTTATTGCAAATTATTGCTAATGTCGAGCATGCTAAATCAAATTGCTAAAGCAATACAAATAAAATGTATGGATTTTGAGAGCCTTTTAAGTATAGATTATTCATTTTCTGTTCTAGGTTTAACACTTCGCGATATTATGATACTAAATGTTTAGAATAACAGACGATGACTATTTTTTCGTTCTGTAATACTAACGTGTTGGTCGAAGTATCCACCGTAGGCTATGAAAGCGGCGGAGAGCAATACGTCTCCTACAATAGTACTCATTTGCGACCTAAATGTTTCCGAGCTTGCTTCCCATCTTTCACGTTCGATTCCCAAACTCTTCAGCAGAGCAATAGACCTGTCCACCTATAACAAGAATAATGGATTAAAATCTGTTTTATTAATGAAAGTTACATGAAATGCCTTTACTTTTATATAAAGGTTTGTACCTTGGCCTGAACGTTTTCTAGATCAGTCTTAATTGCCTGCGCTTGGCTGATCAGTTGGGCATATTCTTCCTTATAGGATGCAATAGATTTCTCTAATTGGGCAATCAAGTCTCGGACTTCGTTTCCGGACTTAACGTTGGTCTGTGCCTGATCTTCGAGTGCTTTCAGTTCATTGCGAAGAGGTTCAACGCGTTTTAACATGTCTGCGTATTCGATCTGTTAGAAAATACTTAGAGTTTATGACCTTTCCAAACAAAAGAAAACATTTTCATATGACGTCAGTTTTATTATCACTTTACCTGTGCAATAGCCCATTTCACCATAGGACCACAGGCCAAACTGGCTCTGTTTACTTTTTCGAAGTTGTAATCTGGATTACTTAGATATCTCGTCCTCATTTTCTCGCGGACATCGTCACTGACACATAAACAGTGATTAATAACTTGCATAAGAAATTTAAGGAAACCTCGTACCGGACCAAGTAAATTTTGAAAAAATCATATGTTGCATGCAATTTTTATTCCATCAACCATAAATTTTAATGAAATTAACGTCAATTAACGAGCAAACAAAAATTTAAGAAAAAAAAATTGCTTTGGAACAAAATTTTAAAGTATTATAGATAGCAAACAAACAAAAATGACGACACTCGAAAAATTAGCCAGTCGATTCACTGCCATTGGTGGTTACCGACTGGTTTCTTGGACACCACTTACGGTTCGACGGCCATTATTTATTGGCAAATACATTCATGCAATGTTGATGTTCCTGTACAATTCAAAAAATCTTTATACCAAATTACAAGACATTGCAAGTTCTATTGCTTTGATTTTTTTTTAAATTTTAATCCATCACCAATACACATGCTGACCAAAATGCATAACGAATAACAAGGAGCCTTTATGTATGCATATTTTATAAAAAAATAATATTTAACATGAAAAGCATGTTTATATTATTTTTCCAAGATTATTAAAAATGATGTGGGTAAACATGAACTTTTTCTACATTCGTCATAGTTTATGATTTTCGTTAAATTCGTTGTGCATATCACACATAAAAAAATGCAGACATTAAACATGCATAAGCGAGCATGAAGCGTGTTTACCTTCTGTATTTACAACTCAACACTTGGTGATGAAAGACAACACAGGACATCACTAAAACCATCACCATCCAAAAAAGAATAGGGATGTGATAAGGGGCGGGGACGGAAAGATATAACCATTGGAGGGGAGGGAATAGGGGGGGGGGGTCGGTTGAAAGCGTAGTGGCGTTGCTCACGTGATGTCCTCCGTGGAGAAGTTGGAGACGATGCTGTTGATGAAGTTCTCCCTCATGATGACGGCCCGGATCGCCTTCCAGTCAGTGGCGTTCTCTCCCAGCAGTAGACAGATCGACTCCAAGGCCACCTTGACGTTCGCAGGCGGGTTGGCCATAGAGCGCACCTCCACCAGATGTTGCTTCTTTATAGATTTCACAGCTGTGGTTCCATCGGGGCCGATAACCGCCAAGCGAGAGCGAGATAGTACAAGGGAAGAAACAAAAAAGGCCTTTAGCTAACTCTGAAACGACCGGCATCGAACTACCGAGACGCTGCATTGAAACGTTTGTTATACCGTATACGAGGCTCAGCTGGGTTAGTCACGTTACATTCTTTATTAGTGCCGTACATGGATGCCGTTTTGTTTATTTAATAGTGTCCGTGTTATTAATATTATTACGTCTTGTATTAATAACGACAGTCACATATGCAAGCAAGCTTAGCATATTTACAATATTAAACATCTAAACGAATCAATAACTTGTTAAAGTGATATTACAAACATAACATTTTAAGATTTAACCAATCAAAATGTTTGAAGTCACAAAAGCAAGTTATTGATTCTGCTGTAATTACAAAGATATTCATTCAATAATAATAAATAATACAGAACTTATATTAAGATACAATGCTGGATAAAGATGTGGTTACAAATATAAATCATGTCACAATTTTCGATGCACTAAATACACTAAAATGTTTTTGCCAATAAATATAAGACTGAGAACATAAAATACGCTTGCTATCTACGTCAACATTCAAGTGGTGTGGTTCATCCATGTTCATACATCGCTAGTATTCTAACTCGTCTCATTATATTATCGGACGAGTGTTTCATTATACATAAAGCTAACTAACGTGATATTCTCAGTCTCGAAGTTGACTATAGTGGATATGAAGTTGTCCTTCATGACGACTGATCGGATGCCCTTCCACGTGTCCCCTTTCTCCCCCAGCAGGGTACAGATCGACTCCAGCGCCATCTTCACCACGGACGGCGGGTTCGCCATCGAACGAACCTCGACTAACTGCTGCTTCTTGATCGAACGCACAGCTGTTTCGTGGAATCTTAAGCTTTAAACTAATAACGCGCTACCCAGACGTAATGTTAAACGGCACGTTTCAAATAAATTATGATATACTATACACAGGGTGGGAATACTGTTAGAGTAGGGTTGACTCGGTCATTCAAACTAAATCAACTATATAAATTGTACTTAGTTTGACAAAGGAGTATTGACTTAGTTTGTATGACCAAATACTACTATTTAAGCACTCAATTACTGTCTTAAAATAAAAATATGAATAATTTGGAGTCAAACCGTTTTGCGCTTCAATAACAGCAGGCTCGACTTGCGCAAGGTCAGCCATAACATCTTTTCGTTTTTCTTCAATCTTCTTAGTTTGCTCTTCTAGAGCGACCTAAATCGTTACATATTTTATTATTAGTATCTTGTATATTTGATAGTTGATAAATCATGGATCTTTGCAATCCAAGCAACCAATCCTCAAACCTGAATTTCTTGACTCTCCATTTTCTTTTTCTCTGCTTCCTGTTGATCTTTTACCATCTGTCGGAGTTTAGCGTTAGCAGCTTCGTTCTTGGCTTGCAGTTCCTAGAAATTTAAAAACAGTCATAAACCACTTGTCAGTACCTTTCCATAAGCATGTTTTTTTTATATTGCTTAATACATTATGTCATATTATTTTCGATATATATTTATCTTTATTATACATACTTGAGATTTAACAGCGAGACTCTTCTGCATCTCCTCAACTTGTTCTACAGTCTCCGCAATTTTTCCAAGACCAACATTCAAATGTAATTGTTGCTCTTCCAAGTCGGCTCGCTTTTCTGAATACAGTTTCACCATTTGTTGGATGAAATCTAGGTAGTGCCTGAAATATTAACGATGTGCGCTTATTAATATGGATGAAACATTATTCCATATTGGATGAGACGAAAGTAAGACATAACCAATATCATGAAAGGGTGAAATTTGAAATGAACTCTAGCTAAAATTTCAAAGTGTAAGTGAATGAAATCAAGAGTCAATCAATAGTTACTAATGAAAATTTAATGTGTCTATGGTACATACTCATAAGTGCACCACAATATAAATACTTTGTCATGTAGGAAGATGTATTGTTTATTACCTAGGAGTGATGGCCATTGTTCTATTGGCGCGTTTGGCCAGTCTCTGATTGGCGCGATGCAGCGTCTGATGTACGTACACACAGGCGTTAACCACAGCCGCCCTGTGAGCGGGTCGGGCTCCAACCTCACCGCAGGCCGCTGGGAACTGTTCTGGAGGCACGTACTCCGACCAGTCCAGGTCCATACGACTCGTGAACTCTTTACCGACCTACATTTATATACACATATACATAATAATAATAATTTATTTATCACTATAGAACTATAATTGCAAACCGTAATATTATTAAAGCTTATGTTCATAATTCATAAATTCAAATCTATATTTGGTTAAGTATGAATATTGTTTTAAACTAGGTGGTAATCTGTTTTTTTGATTATCAGAGTTAAGGAACACCTGAATACTATAATGTATATAAAAATATATCGAACCTTATACTAAATGTATTTTAAAAATTGGATTTGTCGATTGAAACGAAATTGATAATTTTGATAATCTCAAGCACAAATGTAACAGTTTCAAATATTTTATACATAACACAAGTTTTATCGTTCTATATAAGAGAGTTTAGACGAAAAAATATTAGACTTTACAAATTTTGTTTCAAGAGTATAAAAGGAGTATAACTAAGTAGTAATTGTATGAAAAACTTTACCTGGAACAGAGCTCCATCGCTCCAATCTCCGAACCAGTTGAGGACACAACGATTGAACAAAGCTGGTGAAGTGGCGGCGCGGTCCTTGAGACCTTCAGACGATGGGTTCATTGTGAACACCACGTGGAGATTACGCATCACTTGACCCGTGAACCTACATACATACAACACACGATAGTTTAATTGGTAAGACAACCGAATATTCCTTTGACGGCAAATTTATAATAATTCCAAATTTTATATTTAAATATTTATTCATGCATGAAGAAGAAAAAAACATGTATATAGTTTAACAACTTAATGGCTATATATGGTCAAATTACATACCACTTGTATAACTCATCGTTGGAATCTAACATAAGTCCTTCCCTTTGTGCGCCTTCTTTACACTGTGTCATTAAAGCTGCAAATTCGTCGCCTTCGAACAAGCCAGGCACCTGAAAAAAAGTTAAATTTAGATATGTTTAAGTGCATATACAAATGTATGTACGTGTATAAGATGTGTATAGTAGTAATAGTTACCTCTCCATTGGCCAGTAATGTGTTCATTCTTTCTAGGAAGCCGCTGTCCAGAACATTGGATTCGTCCAAAATGAAGGCCACCTTCTCATCACGACATCCAGCGCGGCGTAACACCGAACGGAGGTCCTCGTCGAAATCGGCTCCCGTGTATTTATTGTGAACCTGGATATTAACACAATGTATGTTTAAATAAAATAATCTTTTCTTATGATTTCGTGTAAAAAGTAAAGTCAACATAGAGATTACTCAGCAGTTTTACTTAGATCATAAAGGGAGAAAACAAAATTGGGTAGAGTGGAATTATATAAATACAGACATAATAACTGTAATTTGTATACACATATGTATTTGATTTTCTCTGCTATTAATGTTTAATTTTGATTACTTTTTACCCTTTTATGGTGAAATATAAAAACCAAGTAGAGAAGTATTTCTACTAAAAGAGGGTGTATTTTTACCAAATTTTCATTATCTGTAGGTAGTAAGAATTATAGTTCTATATTATAACTAGAAAACTTCGTATCGCCCTATAATCAAGAAGATATTTCTTGTTACGTTTTTTTATTTATATTTTTGGAGTTTACCTATTAAAGGCATAAATTTCCGTGTTTTGAAGTGCGACAGAATGATTGACATAATAGTTAGTTGTCAAATCTAATGTCAAAAAAAAAAATGTTTTGTATCAACAACTACTAATAAATTAAAAATTAATTAAAAAACATTGTCCAGCGGACAAAATTGTGAATCTAAACCATTCCCAGATCAACTTGAACACACACAAAAAATTTCATCAAAATCGGTCAAGTCGTTTGAGAGAAGTTCAGTGACATACACACTCACAGAAGAATGATACAGGGTGACTGGTGAATTACTATCGATACTAGAGGACGTGATATGTGATGATCATATATGACAAAATAAAAATTAATATAACATAAATATTAATAAACTTCTAAGTAAAGTTAACCAAAAGTTATGTAATTAATTACGCATCGTGTGCACACCCTACAGATTAGGTATACACACACACACACATACGCGTGCGGCGGCGTAGTGTTGTATCAGCACGCCGCCGCACGCGTCCACACTTGGAACACTTGGAACGTGTCAACACTTTATTTATTTATACGGAAATTTTGTCAAAAATTAAGTGCCTATTTTTTTACATAATTCGAATGAGAATCATGTACCGAGTATTCTCCTTAAATATTGATAGTAATTCACCAGTCGCCCTGTATATTTAAAGATATAAGTTAACAAACCTTGATTTGGAAGATACTAAGTCCATTCATCCAAGCTACGAAGCGACTGAGGGTAGTCTTCCCGGCGCCGGAGACTCCGATCAAGAGCAAATGTCCTTGAGGTTGACGGAAGATACGATCTATACGAAGCACGTGTTCCAGAACTTCGTCAAATAACACCAAAGGTACATCCAGCTCCTCTTCATAGAACACCTATATAGGAACATCATTATAATATAAGATAGATCAATTTTTATATTCAACTATCTTTGTTGAGAGCATCGCTACAAACAAATGGTTACCTTTAGTCTAGCCTTCACATATTCGCGAAGCTGATCTCTCTGTACTGGTACGTAGTCTTTGCTCAACCAGTTGCTGTATAGAATAGGACGAGCTAGCGCTTGTTCACGATTGATGCCTGAAAAGAAAAAAATAATCATTTTATTGGTATAATGATTATTTTAGTATGCAGATTTTAAGTATTAAAGATTCAATTACCCGGGAAGAACCTCATAGCGACGTTATCAATGTTTTCATCCGTCCACTGTCTCTCGGAATCTTCAACAAGACGGTCTTGGAACAGACGCAGAGCTTCATGCGCCCATAACCTGACTAAACCTTCCACAGAGAGATTGTCCAAGGGTCTGAAAAATATATACAACTCTAGTTAATTAACAGAAATTTCGTAAAAATTTTCTTGTACTACTAATTGCTTTTTTTTTATTGTAATCCACAATGTATGTAACATTGTAAATTGTGATCTATCTAGCTATTTTTTAACACGTTTTTATTAGCTTGGGTTGAGCCATATTTTTTGTTTTTTTAAACTTATATCTTTGATATGTAACCCAATAAGACCAAAATCGGATTTTGGCTTCCGTAGGAACTTATGAACGCTGACATCATTAATCATTTTAAGTGTCAACTTTAGATGGTTATTTCTTCTCCACTATCTATGTATATGACGTGTATCGGTGAAATACTGTATATATACCTGATGGCCTCGCAGATGCCTCGAACCCATCGGGTCATTTCTCGAGGCGAGTACACGTAGTGAGGCTGCATGTCTTGTGTGAATCGCTCCTGGGACGCGAGATATAGCTTCACCATGGCTTGGGTCAGCGGCTCCGCGTAGCCACGCAAGGCCGGCTGCATTCTTAGCATGGCGCGAGTGAACGTACCGTAGATCTATATAGATGAATTAATATTATTATCGATAATTTATAAAAATCAATAAATATAAAAAGTTATTAACATTTCTATAGGGAAGGTAGCAATGAAAATCACAAAGGTCTGTCGTTTAACAAATTTTAAAGCTTTATTTGAGTTATGAAAGAGATTGATGTATTGTCTTTCATTTTTAACTAAGAACTATTCAGATTTATAAATCAAAGAGTATAAATAAACTACAGTAATATAGCTTTGTATCAGAATTACCCTGAAATAATTTTGTTAGCTCAAGTTTGTTCTAGTCACAACATACATAGTTTTAAATGAGCCGTATTATACACAACAAAGACCCAGTTAATAGAAAATCAACAGAGTTTTTTTATCACAAAGTTCACTAACGGAAAAATTTAACTTATAAAATTAGTTTATTTTCAGTCTATTAATTGTGAGTCATGATCTAGAGTTAAGACATATATTGTAGCTAACTTTAGACTTATAAAAGATTTATTCTGTTTATCTTAATGCTTGTTATAATATAGAAGTAGGTGTACCGTAAAAGTTGTGACGTTACCTGTTCCAGGGAGGTTTCTCCGGGATAGTCGACGTATATAACAGGTACGTGTCGCAGCAGACGGTGTGACAACGGTTTACGGCCCGGGTCCGTGGGCGGGTTGCAGGCGCCCACGAATTGAATACGCTCCAGGTGCACCCATGAATGATCTGAATAATATTACAGGTTGCATTATTTGATTTAAATTCTTCTAAGACTATGATTTATACTTAAATGGTTTTATTCAGTTAATACTAACGGATAAGACAGACTATTTTGATTTTAAATATTTTTTTTAGGTAGTTTCAAAATGTTTACTCACCGCTCGCTCTGTAAAAGCCTTTATGCTCCAAAAGCTGCCTCAAAAAGGATATAACGCGTTGAGTGCCGTACTGGTCCATATCTGGCAAGTTGATTTCGTCGCAGAACAAAACCAGCCATTTACCAAGCTACAAAAAAATATATATTTATGATCGTTCATTGCTGATAATATTACGACGAATTATATTTTTCTAGAGAATAAATTTTCAAACTGGAATTGTTTATGATAACTAGTTAGATATTTATATATACTCATACATCTAAATGGGAATCTTAATGGAAAATTAACAACTGTAACTGTTAAGTTTGATGAGGTAATTTCGATTTACTTGGACTAATTCGCTAAATAGCGATTAATATATTGTTGTATTCCTTTAAACAACAATTTTTTCCCATCGCTTACCTGAACCGGAGCTAAAACGACACCGTTTGGTGTTTTTCTATATTCACAATAATGATCGAAGGTCTTCAGTAGTAGTTCGGGAGTTGTCGCCGATGAGAAGTTGAGACCGACGACTTCCATATCAGGCAATGCACGCAGAGCAGAGAATAGCGTCATTGTTTTACCAGAACCGGGCGGACCGCAGAGTACTGAAATATACATTTAATATATGAGAGGTTTTCTATAAAATGTATCAATTACATTAATTGCTAAACTCAAATTTTCATTAAATTTTTTACTATTCACAAATAAAACAAAAACAGTTGGAAAACAGAACATCTTGATTTAATTCTAATAGATACAAACAAGGTATTTTCAATAGTGTGATATTTAAATTTAGAACGACTTATATATAATATAGTAAAATCCCCACTAATATTATAAATGCGAAAGTAACTCTGTCAGTCTGTCTGTTACGCTTTCACGCCTAAACTACTGAACTGATTTTAATGAAATTTGGTACAAAGATAGACCTTGAGAAAAAACATAGGATAGATTTTATGCCAGACTTTTAAAAGGTTCTCTTGGAAACGCGATATAACCGAACTCGCCGCGGGCGGAAAATTAGTAGAAAATAATGTTAATAATATATATTACCGAGAGGCTTGTGTTCAGCCAGCCATGTATAAAGGAGCGCCTCGTGTCGGACTGTATCAAGTGTTGGTACGACCACGTCCGGTGCTGCCACCTTGTGGGTCTCTACTTCAATTTGCGGCACTTTAGCCGACCACGCTACCCACTCTCCCGTCACAGATACCTGATACATTATATTAATGTAATATTAATAAAAAAGAAACAAATTGAGAAATGTATATATGTATTAACAATGTTAAATTAGTATGTTAGATTATGGGTTGTATTTTTTTTAATCACTTATATTTATATTTGTATTATATTTATCACCTCAAAGTCTATAATGTGTTGGTTCGGTCCACAGTTGGGTAATTGCATCGTGCTGGCTGATCTTATGAAGTCACCTAGCTCATTACGGTCCTGTAAAATCAAGGTTTTGAAATAAATTATTGTGCAAAAAGAATAGACAAAAAGGACTTCCTAGCAGTTGTAGAAATAAAATATGCAAAACTAAAAATATTGGAACTTTTGCTTAATATCAATTATGTATTTAAATTAAAATTCATCTCAAATTTAATAAAAACAGTGTAAAATAATATCATTAAACTTAATAATAACGTTTGTACTTTATACATTACAATAGTTGTGGGTTATTGGAGTATATTTAATATATTATATATGTATATCTGCGTATATATGTTGCAGTACTTTATGTTAATATACGAACCTTAAGTTTAGCGTCACCGGCGAAGGACCACAGTAAGGAGTACACGAGCCATTTAGGTACATAGGCCTCCAATTGATCGTTGGTTATAGGGAAGTCGGGATGTTGACGATTATAAGCTAGAATGTTCCTGAAAAGAATTTAACGATATTATATTAATTCATACTTCTTTGAAGTTAATTTATATATTACAGTTTATTAACTAGTAGTCATTGTTTGAACTTTTTTTTAAAGTTATAGGTTATAGGTCGCACTTTTTTTTAAATTATTTTTGATTTTATTGGTATTACATAATTTCGATCTTTTTATATTTTGAGATTAATCATCTCATGAACAGATTCTTTCTATGAGCAATGAATTGGTAGATTGTCTTTTGTGATATAAATTGTTTAGGTCCTGAGAGTACGACGAATATACAATGATCTTTTTATACAATTCCCATGATTCGGCTTGTGTATGCATTTTTTAATCTATGGTTTCTCTTAAGTAATTAATTAAATTCTATTACTCTATTACCTGACGCCTCTGTTAAGCATAGAGTGTAGTGAAGACAGCGCCCTATGTCTCGTGAAGTCCATAATATGGTCGAGGGTAGCAGCGCGCTCTAGACATTTGACCACTAGACCCTCGCCATAGAACAATGGCTGAAGGATTGACGCTACGTCACGCTGGGTCTGAAATGTTTATAGATGTGGAAAAACTGATAATTAACTGTTACTGTGCAAAGTAACAACGTAAAACGATTAACCTTAAATGTATATACGTATAGCGTGCTAGCTAACGAGCGCATAAAAGTGGCACGGGCTTCGCATACAACGTCTGTTTGTGACTAATTAGAATGAGACGAAGTGCGAGGCTCCGGACACGACCGCAGGTACGCGGGCGCAGGGAGCGGTCCGTATTACGTATATACAAAACTTGTCGTATGTTTTGTGTGTGTCGATTTAATATAAATATATAAAATTTATAATATAAATATGTGTTCTAACTATGAATTAAAATATATAATTACATATGTATATTTGAGATGTTATCATAATACTGTATTTGCTTATATTTATGTAAATATTTTGTTATTTATTTCTAAGCATAATTTATAATATATTAAACATGTATGTATATATAAACAATTATGTATATGTGTGTGATAAATATGTATATGTAATTGTAACTGTGTATGTTCGCCACATCACTCCCCTCCAGAGACCGTGTTACGGGCGAAAGTAGTCCGGCAACCGAACATGACGTCCCGATCGAGTAGCTTTTACGGCTGGAGTTTGAGCGTTTTTTAGTATGGGAATGATGATGGGGGTTGTAGGTGTGGAAGTTTCGTTGGAGGCGTTAGTGTCAGACAATATGTAGGCAGGTTTTAATCGGTCTACTGATACTGTGACATCTTTGCCTTTTATTTTAATTTTGAATACTTTAGCGTCTCTAGTCACCACTTCATACGGGCCAGTATATGCTGGTTGAAGAGAAGCTCTCAAAGCGTCCTCACGTAAGAATACGTGGGAACAAGTGGAAAGGTCTTTGTAAACAAAGACTTTTTTTTTATTGTGATGAGAAGTGGGGACAGGCTGTACGTTTTCGGCGAATGACCGTATGCGAGCTGAAAGGTCCGTGATATCCGTTGTATGAGGATCAACCCTATGTCCAAAGAACTCGCCCGGAAGTCTCAAAACTTCTCCATACAACAACTCTGCTGAGGATGACTGCAGATCCTCCTTGAATGCACTCCTGATGCCAAGTAAGACCAAAGGCAACGACTCGGTCCAGTTACTGTCTGCGTGGCAAACGATAGCCGTCTTAAGCTGACGGTGAAATCGTTCGACCAGCCCGTTGCACTGTGGATGGTAAGCAGTGGTCTTTCTATGCTTGAATCCAATGATTTTGGACAAGTGATGAAATAGGGCTGATTCAAACTGCTTACCACGGTCAGTTACAATGTCTGTAGGACAACCGAATCGTGAGATCCAGCCGGATATGAGTGCTTTGACCACTGTCTCTGCGGTAATATCGGTTATCGGGACAACCTCCGGCCACCGCGTGAAGCGGTCGATGGCGGTCAGACAATACCGATAACCGTGAGAAGGTGGTAATGGTCCGATGAGATCTATATGGACATATTTGAAACGTGCAGTAGGTAAGTCATGAGTACCTAGTGGTGCAGAAGCGTGTCTGTTCACCTTGGCACGTTGACAGTTTAAACATGCCCGAGACCACTCACGACAGTCCTTACGCACTTGTGGCCAAACAAAACGCTGAGCGACTAGCTTAGCACTTGCATTAGCACCGGGGTGGCTTAAGGAGTGTAAGGAGTCGAAAACTTGCTTGCGCAATGGACCTGGGATGAATGGCCTGGGAGTCGATGTACTTACGTCGCAGTACAGCTCGATCCGACTTCCAGGTAATTTCATCTTCTTCAATCGAAGAGACGATTGCGACTGAAGATACTGAGCTAGTTCAGTGTCGTTAGCATGTGACTTACCTAATATCTCTAGATCAACTGGCGCTTGCAGTTCTTCTATTCGGGACAGTGTGTCAGCGACGACATTTTCTGACCCAGTGATGTGCTGAATATCTGTCGTAAATTGTGCTATATAGTCAAGATGTCTATATTGCCTTGGTGTGCAGTTACGCTTGCGATCGTGAAAGGCGTAACACAATGGTTTGTGGTCCGTAAATATGGTGAAGTGTGTAGCTTCTACGAAGTAGCGAAAGTATTTTATGCTTTCGTATATCGCGAGGAGCTCTCGATCATACGGCGAGTACTTCTTCTGTGATGGACTTAACTTGCGAGAAAAGAAAGCTAGTGGTTGCCACTTACCATTGACGAGCTGTTGCAACGCTCCGCCGATCGCGACGTCAGAAGCATCTGTGACGAGTGCTATCTTAGCATCCTGGTTGGGGTGAGCCAACAAGGCAGCATTACAAAGGCTTTCGATGCAAGTTTTGAACGCTCTTAGGGACTCACCTTCGATGTTGATGGGGTGCGCAGCTTTGACGGAACCAGCTAATAGGGCATTCAAAGGAGCTTGTATTTCGGCCGATTTGGGTAAAAATCGCCGGTAATAATTCACCATGCCTAGAAATTGTCGAAGTTGACGTACCGTTTTAGGTATTGGGAAATCCTTAATTACCTGTACCTTGCTGTCCAGCGGCTTTGTACCATCCTGCGATATATGGTAACCTAAAAATTTCACGTCTGAGGCTCCAAAAACGCATTTGGTGGTATTTATGAGGATACCATAGTCACGTAGCCTAGAGAAAAGTTGTCGAAGGTGGTCTTCGTGTTCAGCCTCTGTCCTAGAGAAGACTAAAAAGTCGTCGACATAGGGGAAAACGAAATCTAAACCACGAGTGAGTTCATCGACAAAACGTTGAAATGTTTGGCCAGCATTACGAAGGCCAAATGTCATAAACGGAAATTCAAATAATCCGAATGGAGTTGTTATTGCCGTCTTAGGTATATCCGCTTCAAAAATCGGGATCTGGCTATAAGCTTTAACGAGGTCAATCGTCGAAAATATTTTACAGCCTGACAAATTGTAAGCAAAGTCATGAATATGCCTAATTGGGTATTTGTCGGGAATCGTTCGCGCATTTAACATACGGTAGTCGCCACAAGGACGCCAACCGTTGTCTTTCTTAGGAGCGAGGTGAAGCGGTGACGACCACGGGCTTTCGGATGGTCGTGCTGTTCCATTTGCTAGCATGGCTTCGAACTCAAGCTTGGCAATCTTTAATCTGTCAGGGGCTAATCTGCGAGTAGAGGATGTGACGGGTGGACCTGGTGTTGTGCGTATGTGGTGTAAAGTGTTGTGTTTGGCAGTGCGTGGTGTACCAGCGGGGCGAACGATTTCTGGAAATTCACAAAGAATGTTATTATATTTACCACTACTCGTCAAGATCTTAACACTAGATACGTTTACAAGTGGCGATGCGAGAATAGCAAAAGTAGATACATTAGTTGTATTATCAATTAGGCGCTGATTGCGTACATCTACTATTAAATTGAAATAGGACAAAAAATCGACTCCAATTATTGCTTTAGTTACATCAGCTACTATAAATTTCCATGTAAAATCACGGCGTAAGCCTATATTTAAATTTAAATTTACATAACCATATGTACTAATTGAGGAACCATTTGCTGCACACAACTGATAGTTCGTTTCCGCACGACGTTCACGAAGCGCAGACCGGGGGAAGACGCAGAGGTCGCTTCCAGTGTCGACCAAGAATTGGACCTTCGATCTGCGGTCAGTGACGAACAGGCGACCCTTCGCGGTGAGGCAATCGTCGGCCGCCATTAGCGACTGCCTGTGGCATTTCCCGATTTGAAGTCGCATGGCCGGTTGCACTTTGTAGCGTTGTCTCCGAACTTGTGGTGGTACCAGCAGACGGGGTACTTCCTGTGGCTTGAGCGCGATCTATGTGCAGGAGACGGGCTTCGATGACGCGACGAACGTCTGCTCCGATGTCTGGGCCTTTGATTTACTCTTGCAGACAGTTCGCTTACTTGCTTGGTGAGTTCCGCTATCTGTCTGGTCATGACATCGAACGCGGACTCCGACCTGGATGTTGTTGCCACCTGAGGATTGGATGGTGCGATGTCGTTAATCCGGTCAGCTAGATCCGCTAGCGCTTCTATCGGCAGAGTAGGCTGCGATGCGATGATGGTCTGCATCGAGCTGGGCAGACGGCTGGTCCAGATAGTTTTCAGGAAGTCCTCAGGCACCGCAGGACCTGCTAAATGCTGCAGGTGTCTGAGGAACTGCGATGGTTTCCGGTCTCCCAACTCTTCGTGCATAAGTAGTTGTTTTACTTTGTTTTCTCTCGACACCGACAGACGCTTAATTAACTCGCTCTTCAATTTGTCATATTTATTCGCCTCTGGAGGTGAAGTAATTATGTCCTCGACCTCCGAAGCGTAAAGGTTGTCGAGCTGAGCGATTACGTAGTAGAACTTGGTGGTGTCTTCAGTTATTCTAGATATAGCGAACTGACCTTCAATTTGTGCGAACCATATAGCCGGCTTCTCCGGCCAAAATGGCGGGATGCGGACACCAACGCGGCAAATGTCGGACGCCTCCGGAACCGTTGAGCCACGCCCTGGTTTTCTGCACATTTTTCGTTGCGCACTTGGTTGCGAGCACACTGAGTCTCCGCTATCACTGCTCATTATTTTTGCGGGGTCACCAGTATAGATGTGGAAAAACTGATAATTAACTGTTACTGTGCAAAGTAACAACGTAAAACGATTAACCTTAAATGTATATACGTATAGCGTGCTAGCTAACGAGCGCATAAAAGTGGCACGGGCTTCGCATACAACGTCTGTTTGTGACTAATTAGAATGAGACGAAGTGCGAGGCTCCGGACACGACCGCAGGTACGCGGGCGCAGGGAGCGGTCCGTATTACGTATATACAAAACTTGTCGTATGTTTTGTGTGTGTCGATTTAATATAAATATATAAAATTTATAATATAAATATGTGTTCTAACTATGAATTAAAATATATAATTACATATGTATATTTGAGATGTTATCATAATACTGTATTTGCTTATATTTATGTAAATATTTTGTTATTTATTTCTAAGCATAATTTATAATATATTAAACATGTATGTATATATAAACAATTATGTATATGTGTGTGATAAATATGTATATGTAATTGTAACTGTGTATGTTCGCCACATGTTCATAAAATAATTATATATAAGTATTGATAAGAAACAGTAATAAAGGATCACAATTCTTGGTAATACTTTCAAGTTTAATTCTTTTGCAATCTATATGTAATTTGTAAAATATATTAAATTAATATTTTCGAAAAACAATCGAATTGATATCAGTAATGAAATGTATTATTTAAAAGTGATATAGTTTATGTGTTACTTACAAATTGTTAGTGTATTTAAAACATTTTTTATAAAGAATAAAGACAATATCACCTGTAGCGCTGGTGATAAGATGCTCTCTGTGGCGTTCTGATCGCCGCCAGATGGAGCTGCCATCACAATACTGAAGGAATCCTCTTCACCGTCCTCGAGCGGAATGTTTCTTAGTCTAATACAAAATCAAAATTTAATAAATATATCAATATGTACAAAATGAAATATAATTATTATTGAGGCAAAACTTCTACTGAGACTTCCAAGAAGGTTGCGTTAAACGTTCAACACTCTTGAGGAGGGGCAATAGAAAGAGACAGAGTAAGAGTTAATGGGTGGGTTAATTGTGAATTGTAAGCAATGTTTAGAAACCTTGTCCTAAAGAAACAATATTAGTTAACTAAAAATCAATTTCCACTCATTTCTATTTTCATCTTCACATTGCGAAGTTTCACTTCTTCCAGGCCTAATTAATCATTTTTTTTATTTTTACTTTACCTCAATAAATAGTTCTCAAAGATCATTTCCGTTGTGAGCACGTCTTGAGAGAACCACACCATACCACAACGAGACACTGTAGCTAGAGTGGCGTATTTCAGATCTTGGACCTGGGTAAATATTTTATTATTACAAATTTATTCAGTTTTCCTCCTATCAAGTTTTTGTATTATATCAATCAAATCGAAGTATTTGTTATCAATATATTTTTTAATTATTAAGTGCCTTAAAATAATTAATACCAATCACCACTTCGGGCTTAACACGACTTTAAATCATTGATATCTTTTAAGGATTTTTTTCAATTTTTTTTTTCTAAATATATTTTTGCTAAAGATTCTTCAATTATATTGACTATGCTTAATCTAATGTACTGCATTATAATTTGTTAAGAATATATACCTAATTGTATATGTATATACATATGTAATTACCTCAAACATGACCCGCACGTTGGGCGGGAGTGACAGTCTCTCTCCGTTAGGTAGAGTGAGTAGTTTGTTATCATCCAGTACTGAGTTGAGATTCTCGACCCACTCCGGGTCCACGTCACCGTCGAAGATGATCCATTGACGCTTGTTGATCTCACCGCGAACATTGTCGATTATCTTCCTATTTAATTAATTTGAAGTATTATAATGATTTCTTTATAGAAAAATATATTATTTGATTACTTCCTGAATCGAGTAACATAAGTTAAAAACAATTTTATCTGGTCGTGTAAACTACCCGAAAGTAATACCTAATATTTTTGTAGGTGACTTTGTAGTATTAGTACATAGTTAAGAAATTTCAAGGAACTTTAACTTTACCACAAATAACCTTAGGCTAAGTTGTACATATTATTTTAGTATATGTGTGCATATTCGCTAGATTTACCTCAGTATGTGTGTGAATAACCCATCAGTCCATTCGCGAGTGTTAGGATCGAGTACACCATACAGTGTCTCCTTTGACATAGCCTTTGGATCGATGACATGAGCCACGCCTTCCACACCTTCGTAACTGGAATAGAGTTTAAATGACTTAATTATATTACAAATAATAACATCAAATATGTTAAGTCTCGACGGTATTATCTTCAGTAGGTACTCTAACTAATTTAATTTCAAAATGATTTTGTACAGAATGCGTTAATAAAGAAATTACAGAATTCACTGCTCATTTCGATATTATTTGTCTTTTTAATTTCCATTGTTTTTTAAATACAAAACCTTGAAGGTTTGACTTTAATAATAGAATCAATAGAATTGAAAATGAATCTTACCGCTCGAGAGCTTTAAGTAGGACACGCCACGCCGTAGATTTACCACTGCCGGAGGGTCCAACCATCATTAGACCGTGGTTCAAGTTGCAGATTTGATACAGTTGTAGAACCTGTGTAGTTGATATTAATATTTTATAAAGAATTCTCATAAAATGTAAAATAAGAAGAGAATTTAACAAACGACAGTATCTAAGCTGTTAGCACATGTCGATCGATTTAAGAGTTCGATATACTGAAGACTGTTTATGTAAAATAAATACTCTCTACCCTACAGAAGCGATAGATTGGGTGAAAACTTTGTATGAAGGAAAAGACACATGAAGTGAAAAGTGCGAAACAGATGGTGTGCACATACAATCGGAAATAAAAACAAAAAAAGTAATTTTCTTTTTAACAACAAACAATATGAATGAAGCCATGATCGTCACTGTGAAGAATAAAAAAATATTCCTGTGTAACAAATGCAGCCATCAATACGACGTAATAACCAAATGATAATAAATACATATAAGTAATATTTAGTACAAAGACACAAAAGTATTAATAAAACACAGTTATCAATATACCATGCAATTAATAGTAAAGTTAAACTCATGCTACATCGGTTCATAATCAATGGCCTGAAGATTTTGAATATAAGGCCGATTACACACAAGCCCCGTCACCGGCCAACTGACCTTCTCGATCCACGTGCTGTGTTGAGCGCGGGAGGCAGCCGTCCGCCTCTACTTGCGTTAGCGGGTTAGCATGGAAACCATATGCATATGCATTCATGACGCATGCCACGACTATGCTTTATATAACACCCGGTTATAAAACACAGTCGCGTAAAAATTATATATTATTTTTAAAAAATTATGTTATGGTTAATGTAATTTGACCGTCACCATACCCCACGGTTAAATGGTTTAATGGGCATAAATAAAATATATTCGATGTTTATGTAGTAAATTATAAATAATTGTGCCTGTAAAAATATGTATTAAGTAACAATGATATGATATGATGTATATATTTTTTTTAATTTAAGCCATTCGTAGTTCCTTAACCGAATTAGTACATATCAATTAATGAGCACCTCAAACATTCTGACAGGTTATAATATCTGAACGTACCTTTTCCATCCAAGTATTGCCTTGTTCGTCACCTTCACCACAAACCAAAAATTCTTCTGCACACACAGCTCGTATTTCATTCTTTAGACCTGAAATTTAATTGTTATATTATATTTACAGGGCAGTCAATAAAACTTATTATATAATATAAAAAATAAGCTATAAAAACATATATTATTAAATAATATGTCAAAGCACCTGTTTATGGAGAGTTACAATTATAATAATCATAAAGCCTTACAGGTCGAGCTAGGAATGGTATCTTAGTGAGTAAAGCTATTTGAACCTTTTATTCCAGAGGTATCAGGTTCAATCCAGCTCAAGTAGACGAATTCTTATTCTATAATATATATTCTACGTCAATTTAATATCAAGTATTAGCTAATATAATATTCCTTACCAGTCATCTCGGCTCTAGTGTATCCAACGTTGGGGAACACGTCATTTAGTAGTGAGAATAGCAGTGGTATGTCTTCAGCTACCAGTTTGGGCACCATAGTCTCGCACACAGACTGTATGAGGATGTCTTGTTCGGGGAGAGATTCAGCGATCGACGCTTCGTCTGGTACTTCGTTACCGCGCTCGATTAGATTTTCCTAGGAAAAAAATTACATTATCTAAGGTGAACAGTACATTTTTTTAACAGTACTGGCTTATCGATTCGAATCTACCTTTAGAGAAAACTGGTGGTTTAATATAATTTCTTTAAATGTTTCCAGATATAGTAAATGTGTATCTTAAAAGATTTATATTAATTTGTATTTATCAATGATGTAAGAATTGAAATTATTGTTTTTAAGAAGGTTTTGAAACAATAAATCGTAAATATTGATAAGCAAAAGTGATGATCAATTTAAGTCTTTATCAGGCTTTACTATGGTGCTTATCTTTAAGAAGACACTGTAGTAATTAAAAAAATATCGATGTTTAAGAGCGTAGTTTTATTTTTAAAGGAGATACTTACTTTAATTTTCTGTATGCGATCTCTTTTCACATTACCAGCCGATACCAACACCGACTTGAGAGCTCGCAGTCCGAAGTCGTAATGAGACTGGTTTGACAGCTGTTCATCACAAAGTCTGTGGAATGTAACAGAAAAGATTTACAACATGTGTTTATTCTGATAATGTAGCATTAGAAAATGATAACAGTTGGCAAGAAAACAAAGATGATTATCTATGTTTCAGGTCAACTTTCAAGGACTATCCTTTCAATGAACCTATTGCAATCAAAACAAGAAACGAAATAAGGTACTTTGGTAGATACATATATAAATTTTAATCTATAAGTATGTTTGGACATTTGAAGTTTAGTAACATATTACAGGACTTTGGAATGCTTGGCATAAGTACGCAAATGCATAAATAAAATTATTAATATAAATCGAATTTAACATACTTAAAGAACGGTACAATCTTGCAGGCCAATTTCTCCGCCGTCCTGAAGCCTTGACTGAACAACATCACTTCAGCGATCAGTTGTCTGTCAGGAGTTGTCATAGCGAGGGATCTGAACAGCTTCTTGAGGTTATCTGGGAGGTTGGAGCGCCCGGCGTAACCAGGGTTCATTGTTATGAATATCGCCATGTCCTGACTCACACGAACCTGCTTGCCGACCAACTCCACTGTTATAGATTTGGCTGAAATTCATACACTAATTAGTAAAGTATTAGTATTTAAATTAAACTAATGTTATCGGATTACTATTCATTATTTTATTATTCTTAAACTACATTCTCTAATACATAATAAATAACGAGTAATAGTCCGAAACTTTCAGTTTTCTTTGGTAAAGATATAATTGTCATATAGAAATATAAAATAATAATAATAACCAGTATTATCTCCTTCCTGGTGACTCTTGAGCGCCTCCTGTATGGTCTGAACTTGTTGGGATACAGCAGAGAGCATTCTCTCTTCCAAGCGATTGAACTCATCGAAACAACCCCACGCGCCGACCTTGGTAGGAAAAATATGTTAATGTTTTTTTGTTTCAAAAATAATTGTATTAAAGATATTAAAGTACCTACCTGACAAAGACCGACGAAAATACGTCCCATAGCTTGAAAATCGAAGGTTTCGTCGCAGTTGAATACCAAGACGAAGCGACCGAGTTGGTTACCGAGCGCTTTCACCGATTCCGTCTTACCCGTTCCAGCCGGACCTATTGTATTGACAAGAATAATTAAATTTAACAATAATAACATATAGATGCTCTTGAATATATTGCTTTAAAATATATCCTCAAAATTGCAACGCTTTAAAGACTCTGAATTATGTTTTCTTAAGTCAGTATGTATTAGTTTATTTAGTATCATATTAACCAAAGGGTGATCCTCCAAGCCTGGCTTCCAAAGCTTGCGTCATAGTGAGGTAGCAGCGATCTGTCAGCGGCGTCTGTACGAGCCGATCTTGAACACCGAGATACTCGAAGCCATATAAGAACTTAGCATTGGCCATGTGAATCGTCAGCTGTTGTAAGACCTGGAAAGAATTCATTTTGTTTATATTATATGTAAATAATTTCAATACTAAGTGTACTATTAAGAACTTACATCATTATTCCTGGGATCGAAGTAGAATCTCATCTCGCACAGCCATTCGAAGGAGCGAGGAGAGTTAACATCAGATGCGATCAGACGACGGGTCACAGTACGTTTGTGGACAAACTCGTTGATCTGAAATTAATTTATAATATTACAACAAAAACCCAAAATTTTGTGTTATTTAATAAAATTTAAATTCAAGATTATTTTTAAAAATTCCATAAATCATATACAAAAAATATTATAATCTATAATGCTTATAACCAACTGCATAAATTAATTATTTCAATATCAATTGTCATCAATATTTTTGGAACCAAACGATTATAAACAGAAAAATTATGCAGTTCCTAATTACTATTTCTTTTTCATCATCTAGGAGTATTAGGTGCTAAAGTTTTGAGAACAAGAAAATTTTAATTTATAGACACTCAAATAATTTAAGTCCAAAATTAATTCAAACATATTGTAACCATTGACTTTCTGACTCACAGGATATTAAATGTCTAACATAACTATTAAATTTTATCAAGGATGCATACTATTTAAAAAGTAGTATTTAATTTATGTTGTCACATCTATAGTATTAAAGTTCACATACAAGGTGTTCCAGTTTCCTTCGTCTCAGCGGCGGTTGTTCTTGCAGTACGGAGTCAGCCAGTACGTTCAGCATGAGGTCCACGTGTTTGAGGACTCTCTTCAGAGCCTCCCCGCCGCCTCCAGCCAGCGCCGCCTCCACGTCTTCAGACCATAGGATCTGAACAGCTAGCACTACTATCTGCGCCTATAGATCAATATGGAGTTCATTAGTATACTATTAGTGTATATACATTGTGTATTCATATAAAGAAATAAATTAATAATTATAAGTGAAGCAAATATATTAAAAGAAATGCTCTTCTATCGTTAATAATAAAGACATTTATAAGTTACTAGCTTTCCGCCCGCAGCTTCGCCCGCGTGGAGTTCGGTTATATCGCGTTTCCAAGAGAACGTTTCAAAAGTCTGGGATAAAAACTATCCTATGTTCTTTCTCAAGGTCAACTCTATCTCAGTACCAAATTTCATTAAAATCAGTTCAGTGGTTTAGGCGTGAAAGAGTAACAGACAGACAGACAGACAGACAGACAGACAGACAGACAGAGTTACTTTCGCATTTATAATATTAGTAGGGATTTTTTTATTTCTATATTCTTGGTACATAATAATTATAATTTATAATTAAACTATAGTTGATGTTAATAATATAAATATAAAATATTCTATGTGTACTTCTGATTAACAATACCGATTGTTATACGAAAATATTATCGAACTAGCTTTTGCCACGACTCCGTCCGCGTGGAGTAGTGACTTCCGGCAGATTTTTGGTTCTTCCCACATAGTTCCCGTTCTTGCGGGGTTTTCGGAATGGTCGAGTTCCCGTAGAGTTTTCAGGATAAATGTTTTTTTTTTAATTCACAATGAAGTACTCTTAACCAACAACATATTTATTTGTTTATTTGAATAAAGATTTTATAAAATTATTTCGACCAAATTAGGTACCATAAAAACGGTTTTTGTGAGTTAATCTTAAAAGATAGACATATACTGTCGCGGACTGTTTTTTTGATCATTAAAAGAGCTATTATTCTTTAATACATATTTTTTGTGTATCTTGAACCGTTTTCACGGCGCACGCAACGGAAGGCTTCAAAGATGAAATAATATCTTCCGTTTTTTACACATTTACCACAATATCTTTGCTCCTATTGGTTGTAGCGTGATGTTATATAGCCCACAGCCTTCCTCGATAACTGGACTATCCAACACAAAAAGAATTCTTCAATTCGAACCAGTAGTTTCGGAGATTAGCGCTTTCAAACAAACAAACAAACTCTTCAGCTTTATATTATTAGTATAGATAATATTCAACCCAGGACAGTTGTATATGTAAACAAAATCATAAAGTAAGTTTTAAGCTACTGTATTTCATTTACAAGCCTTTTTGTTGTAAACACTATTGAAGATGTTTTCATTGAATAATTCATCAAGAGATAGGCTGTTAAATGCTTGAACTTACTTGATATTTATCACACCACTCAATGAACTTCTGCGGGTCAACATTGCCATCTTTAAATTGTTTGACATCAGCAACGGCATCTTTGAGACGACAAGCAAGTGTGACGCGCATCTCCCTCTCCACCATAGACAGCCACGAGTTGATTTTAGGATTTTCTATAGTCGATACTGGTGAAGTGAAGTAAACCTGGAAATGTAACATAGTTTGTTATATAGACTGAAATGTGTCAAATACTTTCTCAACATAATAGTTGAAGAATTTATTTTTACAGTACTGTACTTTATTGTACTTGTTAGAGGCGATATTTTTACCACCATGATTTATTTTTTTTAAACCGAAATTTCGTCCAACGGCCGTATTTTTTATTCAGGATAATTTTATGATTGTCAATATACAGTTTGACAATGAAAGGTTTGACAAATATATATTTATATATACATATGTTTTTACTTCTATTATATACCCTTAACCATCATCAATTTTGTTTTTCCACTGTGCAGTCCTTATGACCGTTAAAGGGTTAAGGCTTCGCTGTAGTATTAAAAATATACATATCAATTATCAGTAGAAGTTTCACAATAAGAATTTATTTTTATTTAATACAACCCAACAAACTCACTTTAGGAAGTGGGGTAAGTTGAGAACAGTTTAAACTATATTTAGTATGAATTTCTCAGCCTAAGATTGACGCGTTACATTAGGTGTCATAATTTTACTATTGTTATGTAAAGTCGTATCTTTCGAAAACTTACTTCTTCACCCTCTCGCGACGCTATGCCGTTAATGATAGTGTTGTCTTCATTCAGTATAATAGCGGCAACGCCTGCGAACATCTTCTTGAAGTGTTTCTGAAGACGCGCTATATTTTTGCTGTTGCCGATAATTTCAAGCAGATCTTCATCACCCACGAAGTAGAATCTATGATGATTAAAAAAATTTCGTCATTAAAAAGTTTACAATATTATTCCAAGTCTTTATTGATTAATCTTTTTCATATGCAAAACAGTTTATTAACTACAAATTAAGGACAATCAATTCTGTCATATTATTAAAACTATATATTTTTTAAGGTGACTATTTTGTACTCCATTTTTTACCTCGGGAAGCTGCTTCTTTCTCGTTCCAAATATTCTCCAAGTGCTTTTTGTATCTTCCCTAGCAGGTCTGCGAGTCTCTCCAGCGACCGCTGTACTCCTGGTATGTTCAGTACGTCCATCACCATAGGAGACTTGCTAACCTTTTTCATTAGGCCCAGGAATTCAGAACTGTCAAAAAAAATTATCTATGATACTATGGTTATTTTATATGCTATGAATGTAAATTAAATAAGAAACCATGAAATTCAGGAGCAAATAAAAACAATACACTAAAGGATCGCGACTAACGCAGAAATATAACAAAAGTTATTTTATTGAATTTCATTTTCAACACAGATTTAATTACGTAGAGTTTGTTCTAATTTTAATTACCTAATACTTTGGAAGCGGCTGGTCTCAACGGGTAGCAAGGTCTTAATATCTGCGGAACCACTGAATATTCCCTCGAGGTACACCCAACGACGCTGTACGTCTATCCACACGTCGAACAACGCATTGATACGATTTAATTTCTCTTCCCATGTTAGAGCTTCTTCTTCAAACACCTGTATTAAAATAATCATTAGTTTCAACTCAAATAATAATTGAATACATAAATATGTTTGAATACTTTACCTTATAGTAAGGTGATAGTTTCATAGCAGCGACACTGTTGATGTGCTCTTTAACTTTATTAAAGAGATCGTCCCAGCCGCGGATGATCTTGCATTTGTTTTGATAATTGATGAGGTCCAGCTCGTAACTTTGCCAGGATTCCCGAACCTAGTAATAATATTAATGAAAAGGTTAATTCAAATACATGATTAAAAAAATGTAGTCATAACAATTTTGGGTACTCTACAGAAATGTAATGTGAATATTTATTAGTACTTTTGTTGTTGTCAATTATTTTGTAACAATAATTACACTAACCTAAACAACAATTTGCAAATATTCGAACTACTAGCAACTAAGCTAGTTAGACCTTTTAATTCGCCTAAATAAAAAACATCATAGTTCCAATTTTGAAATCGTTTTACATTATATCAACCCATTCAAGCTAAACTTTATAAATTTCCTTTAAAATACAGTCCACTTTTTGCAAATGGTTTCTGTTTTACGAAATGTTAAGTAGATTCATATAAAACATACCTGTTTCAAGAACTCTTCAAGCGCCATTTCACCTTGCGCAACAGAGACCACATCTTTAACAGTGTGTTCGTTACGCAGCAGGTCAGCGTCCCACACTTGACCGAGGGTCAACTCTGATAGTGACCACTCCACTTTGAGAGCACGACACAACTGACGCCAGTGACGCTCCTTGAGCGCGTCTGACTTCAGTTCAACAATTAACATGTTCACCTGGAAACATTTAAATATTAAGAGATATAGTTCTATTATTTAAGGCTTTATACATATTTGTAAGTGAGAGTCACGGTTTTTCTTATTCCAGTTTTCGTATTTACGTGGTTAATTTCTTGCATTAGTTATTTCTGATAATTAAGTACTTTTATTTAAATGAAACTAATATTGTCGGATTTACTACGAGATTTTACTTTTATTTTTGCTTATGAGATGACATTTCGTCTGTCTGTGATCATTGTTGCTGTAAAGTAACAGAAACATTGGGAGTGTGTAGTTTATAATAAAAAATCGCGTAGTATTTATCCGAAAATATTAGTTAAACTTAAATGAACACTCGTGAAAATCTTAGATTTTCACGAGGTATTTTTATTTAGAAATAGGTAGGTTTCTACAAAATTTAAGCATGTCTATAAACGACTTGATTCATGTAACAACACTATCAGCAGGCTGAAAGAGTTTTTGTGTGTTTATAACGTCATAAGAGATTCTTAATAAAAGTGATATTGGATGGGTGAACTAAAAGTAAAGAAATTGTCCATATATCTTTGCGTACATACCTTTGTATATGATTGCAGTAGTTTACGAACGTATTCGTAACTGTCGTACATGCGTAGACGTGCAGGAAGTTCCTTCAATTCGGTGAGCATAGCTTCTAGTTGTTGCCTGTATAAAAATAAGCAGATACGAATAAATAGCTACTTCTTTAACTGTTTCAACGCTATTTTAGGGAATTACATCTTTAATATCTTAAGTTTATTTATAATTCTATGATCCTATTAAAAATACACCAACCTCAGTTTACGCGGTTGCACGGACAGCCAGGGTTTCTCTCTAATGTCATCGATTTGGGTCCATATCTTGCTAAGAGATGACCAAACTCCACGCAAATCCTGAAGTTCTTCTAAAGCCACCGTCATGCGTTCGTTGTTCACAGAGCTACCTGAATATTAATAGAGGATCTTTATTTAAATATAGTTCAAAAATAATATGCTAATAGTCTAAGATCCCGATATAAGGCGACCTTCACCGAGATGTTTATTTGATGAAACATATTTTATATTCAATTTAATATGTCAATAACTATATTACATATGGGTTGCCTCATAAATTTTAGTCCAGGATATGATTAATTAACAATTAAAAATAGATTTTTTTTCAAATATTTCACCGGTTTGTTTATTAGATAAATTCCACACCAATCGAAAGTACGGAGCCCAATATAATATGAAAACGTTAGGTTGCCTATTCTTTTCCAGTCACAACTCTCGGGTTGCCAGGGATAAACAGGTACATCGATAGTAGCATTTTGCACCGGTCTGATAATTTAATCAAATTTAAATGTGTATGATTTAAAGGTGTATGATCCCCAATGAATCCTCGTGGTTTTAAATATTCATCTAAGTACCAACCGCAGCTCTCAGGTTCAAGTTTGATGCATATTGGATCTGTTGCATTCAGCCACATTGAATTTACGAAAATAATTCGTAATTTTTTTTGCGTTAATGATATCCAGCACGGAGGTATGGAGTTAAAGTCAAAGCCTTTGATTTTTTTTTGAAACTGCTCATTGTCTTCTTTAGCAGAGTAATTTTTCATAAAAATGCTTGGGACCTCTCAGTCGTACATATTCACTCGCGGCAATATTTTACTTTTTAAAATTCGACAACCCTAACTTAGGACCGATTTTTCGCAGGCAACCCTATTTCTTCACTGTGTTCATAATTAAATAATCTTTATTTCCATTTAAATTTGATTAAATTATCAGACCGGTGCAAAATGCTACTATCGATGTACCTGTTTATCCCTGGCAACCCGAGAGTTGTGACTGGAAAAGAATAGGCAACCTAACGTTTTCATATTCTATGGGCTCCGTACTTTCGATTGGTGTGGAATTTATCTAATAAACAAACCGGTGAAATATTTGAAAAAAAAATCTATTTTTAATTGTTAATTAATCATATCCTGGACTAAAATTTATGAGGCAACCCATATGTAACATAGTTATTGACATATTAAATTGAATCTAAAATATGTTTCATCAAATAAACATCTCGGTGAAGGTCGCTTATATCGGGATCCTGTACTATAACCTGAGTCAAGCAAACAAACACAACACATAGGTTCAATATCCAGATATATTTTATATGTGTTAAATGGAAACATGTCTGCAACTTGCAACTGTCTATAAAATTTGTAGTTGCAATTTGTCTATAAAATTTGTAGTTGCAACTGTTTATACTTTACTCGTCTATGGTGGTTTAAAAATGAAATATGAGGATAATTGCGATTTAAAAACATAAAAAATCTTTTATACTAGGGGTAAATAAATAATCACCAAAAAAATTTATCTAGTACATACAGACTAATACTAACCAGTATCATGCAACTCCAACGCTTCCTTAGCTTTAGCAACATTATCCCTCTCGTCCTTGAGGCGGGTGTATCTCGTTTCCATGGCCTGTAGACGAGACAGTGCATCTTCGGGTCTTGTTGATCCGTCTGTAGGCTTGCTGCGTTCCCACTCAGCCAGGAACTCAAGAGTACGAGCTTCAACCGCCTTGTCTTCAGCTACGATCTTCTGTTGCAGTGAGGCTACCTGGAATAGTAAATTTGTTTGAGTTAGAGATAGTTTTAGAGTCGTGCATGTTGATTAGTTTACAAGGAATATGATAATGCGATAACGTGGTGACTATTGAATAAGATTGATTCCAGTTTCTTTATCACACAAATATTCTGTAGAAAGAAGGTAGAAAAGTGTAATGAGATGTTTTGAAGTGCTAACAATTATTTTTATATACTTCGATACATTCACCATTATGTATACATTTGTATCTATATTGGCATAAAGTTTCTATGTTGTGGAGACTAGCTATAGTCACCCCTATAACATAGGATCGATGTAGGCTAAGTATAATGGAAACATTACTTGAGTTTGGATAGAAGAATCTTTTCTGCGCATGATCTCGTTAAATGCGCTCCATTCTCCTTCGATATTATCGACGTGCAGCCATTGTGCTGGGAATTGGAATCTAGAAAAAATAATAACATATAGTATAAATAAATTGTAAAGGATTTACAAGGATAATATACATTTTAAAAACATACCGTTGTCGTTCAAGAATCCTTTGCGCCTCTCTGTAGATATCTACTTGTTTCTCCCAAGCCAGGACTTCTCTCTTTAGTTGTTGCACATAAGTGATCAGAGATACTGCATCACTAGTGGAGGCTGCTTCTGTTAGTGCAGAAGTATAATAAAAATAAATATATATTATCATCTCGTAGTCACCTGTACTTGTAATTTGAAGTATTCTATAGCCGTAACTTGGGTTTTATCAAGGTTCCTTGGGGTTATCATAAAAGAAGAAAGATGGCATTCTTAGTCATGGAACGAAATGTAATAAAGGTTAGCCTTGCGATAATAAGCTATAATATTAATGATTATTTTAGGTCAAAATAATTATTTTTGAATACATTACCGATAGTCTGTTGTTCGAGCTGTCCTCTTGATTTGGCCAGTTTTCCATGGAACTGCACCATCTCTCCGCCTAACAAGGCACCGAATTTTCCGAGAACTTCCTTGTGCCAAGCATCATATTTAAGAGCCACTTTACTCTGTACACGAGCGAAGTCGATCACTACCGGACCGTACTCACGGCGAGTGTCTGATGTATCAAACGTAGTACGAGACTTCCTGGTAGCAGAGAGTTTAAGATTCATTAATATGTGATTTTGTAAGTATATGAATAAGTACTGGAATATAATTTTTACTTGATATCGTTGAGGCACTTTATCCACAGAGTAATATCTTCTCCGAGACGTCCGTACAAACTTTCCGGCTGCAGATCCCATAAGGCTTGATAACTGTTGAAAGAGGAGTTTGCATATTATATCACAATATAATAATAAGATATACTATTAGTACAAAAGTGCGATCAAACTCACCGTAGCCATTCGTCGACGTATTTGCGGACCTGAGATATTTTCTGTTCAATAGCATCGTATGCGTTTTCCAAAGGACTGGATCCACCTGGCAACTTGGTCAAGAGATTTCTATATGTAGCTGTTTGTGCTCGGGCCACGCCCACTTGGTATCTATAAAATTAAAAGTATTATTTCAACAACACCGATAAATATTAAAAACGTTTTGTTTTTAATTACATACAATAATATCACTATTTTTCATGATATATATTTCAATGTTTATGTATTTTTTGGTAAGATTTTCGTATCTTACGACTAACAACTAGTAGAAAATTATATTATATACAACATAAAAAAAAGTCGGTAAGAGATTGAGGTAAGAAAAAAGAATTACATGGAATCAACTTGAGAATATTTTTGTTTGGTTATTCATAACAAATAGATTATTCTACCTAGTACTCTGTAAGCGATGCTGCGATGTGACTACAGCCTGCCATGCGAACATCTGCCTCATGAGTTGGAATCGAGCTTCCTCCAGCGACGGGAACAAGTACATCTGCTGATTGGTGATACGCACTTCGTGCACCACACAAGCTATCTGTTGGATATAATACAAGAGTCATTAGAAATCACAATATAAATATTATTCCATGTATGACTAATGAGTAAAACAGAGCATTTTATAGTGAAAAGTTTGTGTATATTATTACAATTATAATAAAAGTTTCAAATTATACCTGCGGATCTCCGCCTGGCTTGTGGGTGGGTTCCGCGGGAGAGTATGTATCCATAGACAAATCGAGTTCGTTGGTTTTGCCTAAAAGTGCAGCGGTCCATGCTTCCACACCTGCCTGAAGGCGAGCTGCCAGACTCTTCTCAACCTACAAAATTTATGTATGTTTATTGATGTCAATACACTTTAATATTTCCCTGCCTAATAGGAAACAAATAGAAAGTGTAAAAAACAAATCATATATATATATTGTTTAATGTCTGAAAAGGGTTCAAAATAGATAAAAAAATAAATTCAAACGTTTTTTTACAACACAAAATTGTTACTGTGGTCAATTCAATATATAAAATATTTGCAAGGAATCTTCATGAAATCTCACTGCAGTTAGTAAAGATATTTATAAATATAACGAGCAATATACTAATACAAATATTATAGTATATATAAAATGAAACATGCAAAATCGTTGTCTACTTACTTCTTCATCAAGTTTCTGGACCCACAAATGCAAATTGCTGTATTGACGTAAGGAAAGATCATCAATAGCTCGTTGCAGCCTGGACAGGATGTCAGCCAAGCTTTGAGCTGAATATGGACACGTCTCCAAAGAACGAGCGTCAACCGAAATCTGTTCTTCAACTGCCAGAAGGTCTTCAACCTATCATAATATATATTTTATTACAATGATATTCTTATAGATATATGTAACTACAAGAATGATATATAAAACATAGCAAATTCAATTTAAATTTACTTTGATTTCACTGTGATTCGACGATTACAATTTTAAAGAACTATAAATTAAAATCGTCGGAAATATAAATTGATTATTATTAGATATCCGTCATTTTTAAATTCTTCATAGGATCTCAACAAAATATGGACTTAAATGATCTAAATTCGACACTAAATTAACCTCATATAATCAAAATTAATATTCTAAATATTCTCGAAATAGAGACTAAAGAGTTTTAGGAACGTATCTTCTCTTTAATTGATTATATTATTCGTTTCTTAATATTTTTCTTTCGTAACTTTCAAGCAATATAACGTTTCTATTACCTTTTCCTGGAATAGCAACACAACTTCGCTGAGCTTCTGTACGTAGGGATCCAGTTTATATGATTCCCATACAAGCGCCATGCCTTCAGACACTTGGAACAAAACATCGCGACGTAGACCAGCCACTAGAGGAATGATAGACGCTTTGTCGCGAATCTGTAAACATTACATATATTATAAATTTTTAGTTAAATGAAAAAATGCTTTTAAAGTAAAGGGTGACTTATTTGTAATATATATCATAGATTATAAATAGTTATATATACAAACAGCTAAGCGACTATTGTGTTTTGTTAAGCAAAATGAGCTCTAGATACAGATCAAGCGATAGCTATTAATTATTTACAAAAGTATTTCATTTGTAACATTGTACTTGTTAGTATGTATAAAAAACTTTTAAGCCATATTATGTCTTAAAAAATTAAAGCTTTACAGTAGATATTAACATGCAGCCTATAAATAATCTACCTTCGTATGATTCCTATTATTTAGCTGCATAAATCAAAACGCACATGTGTTAGTGACATCATAATAAATCCCAGTTTAATTCTCCCAATAGCTATATTAATCTTACGTGCTCGTTGATAATCCTATACTCAGTGCTATCGATGTGAATATTTAGCATGACTTTTAGATATATTAAACGTAAATACATACCTTTTCCAGCGTACGTTCGTATGTGCGTACGCTTTCGATGAGCGAGATCGCGAAAGGGTAAAGTTGGTTTGCTTGATGTGCTTTGTTGACAATAGCCAACGGGACTCTGCGGCAAGAAACAACAATTATTTTGGATGTATTGCATTTTATGCCTTAAAACTATTGCTTCAAGAGTCAATTTCTAAAGCATATGATGGGTTTAAATAATACCTGAATCCCAAGTTCTTGAGGTTGCGCACTTCCTTGTACAACGTTATTATCTCTGGGAGGAAATTAACCTTCAGTTTAAGTACATTGCCGCTTTTGCTTGAACGAGCACGGACAGACTCGATAGCAAAGATGCGACCGGACACGCCCAAGTTGCGTTGTTGAACCTAAAATAATTACCAAATAGAGTTTATTAAAAAAAATGTGACATACATATATTATTATTATTTTATAATATATTTTACTTTGCGAGCCCAATCATCGAAAACTTCCTGTGTATCCAATTTAAGCCTGAAACTATCTCCATCGGCCTTCAGTTTTTGACCTTCGATGTGGTTCTCCCATCCCTTGCCTGAAAAATAATTGTGTGAAAAATCAAAGATATATACTACATGTACTTATAAAATGTAAATAAAAAATGTACCAAGGACATCTTCAACTCGCTTCAAGTACGCTGTAAGCTGGTGGTCGATCTGCTTAGCCCAAATGATTGAGCCGGCTACAGGAGGAAGATCACGCACGAGGGAGAGGCGACTGCACTTCGATTGAGGATACTGGACCTATTATGAAAACATGCTTAGTCGCAAATTATATTAAATTATACATATACATGAAAATTTATTGTGTCAGTTTATGTTGTGTCATAATTACAATAACATTTCTGTAGAAAATATATCGATACCTCCCACGTAAGTTGTTGTATCTCCAAAACTGTAATTTTACAGTAGAGCGTTTGAAAGATTCAAATTAAACCAAAATCATTGATGCATCTTTTTAAAATTTCGTATTTAAATTTAACATAATAGTCTTCTTAACTACGTTAAAAGATATTTTAATTAATATGCCCATTTGCGGAGATATTGTTGTTACATTGTTCATACGACATTTTACTCCGGAGTAGAAGCTAAAAAAGGCGTTGTATCTGATACTTACAACATTATAGCGCGGCGCCCAGGTAGCATCACTTGTGATATATGATAGTTACAACTGTATACTTTGAAAAACATAAGTCTTATTCTGTTGTAAGTAACTCATACGCGGCGCGGGCGCTTGATTTTACCCACCTCGCGAAAATTACAACACTATGCGAGTGACAAATCCTTTAAAAATAGGGTTTTTGAAGTTTTTTCTAATTTGAATGGATGTAATGATCCATAATAGGATATTTTTTTAGAAAAAAAGCAAAATAGCATTTTGTGGCATACAACAACTTATCGATATATAAAATAACATTATCAAAAACATTCAAGGCTTTGGGAAGTTATTTTTAAGGTATTCATTACAAGTTCCAAACCGAAATTAAATATAAACTTATAGTTATTAAAAATAAGTCTTGGTAGAGGAAAAAATAATTTCTTTTGGTAATGTAATTTAGTTAACTTAAATTTTGTTTACCCTTGTCCCTTCACAACCCATGTTATTATACTATTGAAATTTTTAATGTTTTTCTGAGTATTTATTATGTGTAGTATTAAGTATCTTCTTCCTGGCAATTTCCCAGCTTTAGCCAGGGTCTGCTAGTATTAAGTATCATTACTTGAATCTTGAAGTTTTTGTACCTTGAACTTCTCATGTAGAGCTTCTATATCATCCTTGACACGTTGTATGAGCTGTGTCTGATACTCTCGTATGGCGCCGCGGATGTGAGGACGCACGAACAGAGCATTAAACCGGGAGAATATACGGAACATTTCGTTTGCGTTCTTAGCTGTCCCCAGTTGGTCGCGAAGATGGGCTGTGATACGAGTCTCAACACGATCTGGTAAATAGAAGGAATTATATAATTTGAATATATATTTTTTATTAATATTAATTGTATATTTGCATAATTAACTTATATGGAGTGGGAAGGGAACACTACCCCTTACTGTCTTGAAATGTTACACTTGATGACTTAGAACGGTAGTAGCTTAAAACCATTGCTACATAAGAAAAAGATATGGTTTTTATAAGATATTTTAGTCATCTATTAATTAATGCGAGATCTTTTGTGATTAATATTATATTGAATTAAAAAATTAAGAAGTAAATTTAAGGAATAATAGGCTTAGCCTTTTAAAAACTGTCTAACATTTTTCTCTGTTAATTTGAGATTATTAAAAACTCCTTCAATTTGAGAAATGAATTATAATAATAATATTGGGTAGTGTAACAATGTACCGATTCTATCTTCATAGCGACGAACAGCAGCCTCCCAAGCATCGCAGCCTTCACGTGAGATGTCCAAGCAATCGACTTCTTTAACATTCTCATAGGCCAAGTTAACCTGTAAATACGAAATAAAATATATTTATTACAGTAATATATACAATACCTTGGAATTTCATGCAATTACTCCCTACTAATATTATAAATGCGAAAGTAACTCTGTCTGTCTGTCTATTACGCTTTCACGCCTAAACCACTGAACTGATTTTAATGAAATTTGGTACAGAGATAGAGTTGACCTTGAGTAAGAACATAGGATAGTTTTTATCCCACACTTTTGAAAAGTTCTCTTGGAAACTCCACACGGGCGAAGCTGCGGGCGGAAAGCTAGTAATATAATAATTTATTTAAAACGAATATATTTTTATTACCACATAATATATAAACAACATGATATTTATTTTAAACCATTCTTTAACCTATGCAAATAAAAAAATAAAATAAAAACTAAACCTAATGTTAACAAGCTCTTAACACATAAAAAAAATCGGTACTACCAAATTTGCATTTAGATTAACTGTCACTTATAGAAAACTCGAGCAAGTAACTAATCAAATGTTAAATGTATCAGAATAAACGGGGGGAAAGGTACTAGGTAAATAATATTTAAGCTATTCTAGATTTTTAATAACAACGTGCAAAACTGTACCTCAGCTATAGCGTTGGCATCAGCTGCGTCCATGGCCAGTGAGTGTGGCTGTGCTGGCTCACCGGCTGCTCCATTCTCTGTGGCTGCTGGAGCGCGAGGACGTAGAACCTGGAAACAGAATATGTATATTCAAATAAATGAATTATTCTTATATTTGTTCTATTCTGAATTATTATTATATTTGTTTTTACATTAAAGCAATGTTGAGCTAATATTTGAACAAAACTTCTATAATACTTATAGAATTTCAATGCAATCACAGGAATGCTGAATGAGAAATAAGTTATGAAATTACAGTCGCTTTTAAGCTTCGAGTCGCATGTTTGAATCCTAATCGTGTTGAAGATTTTTTATTACATAGTACATTTTCTATTTCAATTCTAATTTATTGTTACTGGTTACGCAAATTTGATGAAATGACCTTTCAAAGCTGTATAAACTATAATACACTATATAAGACCCCAATATAACTTGTACATAATAATATTAATAATTATAATTGTAGCCACACACACACTCTTGTACAGAAAATTCAAAAGAGTTTTGGTGATTTGAATTAAGATGTTGATTTCAAGGTTGTATTTTAATTTATTTGATGTAATAATCACAAATGGTAAAACTTTGTAGTAGTAAGTTACTTGTATTTTATAGAGTTATGCAGTAAATGATATCTAGAAATAATTTCCCTGAATTAAGTTTCTGAATCTAAATACTAAGTTGGAAGATCAACATTCACTTTGCAACCTTGTTGCAGAAATGTAAGGAAAACGGTAGCCACTTGATATTAGTACTCTTAAGTCTTAACACAAGTATACATCTTCAACCTGCATATCAACAACTCACAGTCTTTAATTCATAAATCTGTGTCAATACCATTGTTAACATTAATGAATCAAAAACTACACTTACGGTACATATTTACATCGTAAGAAAACTGGTAGTTGTGAGGATGATGTATCATGTATGATATATCTTTAGTAGGTAGTTTGGAGTATTATTCGATACTAACTCTCAGCATGACTGTCCTAAGTTGTTCATGATGTCTTCTGAACCGCCGCATGTGTTCCATACGAGCCTGCAGTCTCTTGTGTGAAGGTGACACGCGCCACACCATCTTTAGATGTTCGTCTCGCTTCTTCTTCACTATATCCCTGTATAAAAAAATATTTGTTTTTGATTATTTCAAGTGTTTTTATCGTCTAGTCTCAATTTTTAATAGAAAGGGAAAATATATATATATATAAAATATAATATTAATAATGAAATACATGAGGTATATTGTAAGATTTTTATAGATTGTAAACAAAAAAATAGAAAGTGAAATAATAGTTAAAATATGAGAAATGAATTAGCAAAGTAAAAAAAGAAAGATTACAAATGTTAAGAAAGATACCGTAATTCAAGATAAATCAGTTATTCTTAGGCATAACTTAATTAATGTGATTTAAAATATTTTAAAAATTATTAGTTGATAATTACCTTAGAAGACCTTGAAGTTTTTCATACTCATCATCCCAGCAGGAGAACACTTCAAAGCACTGAGTCATAACACGCTCAAAGTCCTCAAATGGTATATGCATAAGGCGTCGTGTTCCAAGCACCTGTAAAAATTAATAAAATCAAAATAATATTAGTAAAGTTACTATAAACATACAAAACCAGCCAGCAAATATCAGGTATTTTCAGAAACTTTAATTAAATAATATATTTTACATACTATTGTTTTAATTTAACTAGACAATGTTTTTACTCCCATACCCTTGACCATGGTTACGGTATAGTAATTGGAACTTCACAACAAAATGTATACTTATAAAATATGCTAAGAAAATAATAACTATATTTTAATTTAAATCTTTACTTGCGAAAGTGTATGATGTCATTATAATTTACCTTTAACAATTGCTGTCCAAGATCTCGAGAAATGGCCTCCACAAGTCTCAGACCACGCTGGATGGGATATTTCGTAGAGCGAATCTTACGCAGATGTGAAAAGATTTGTTGGACCGCCAATCTGTTGATAAAAAAAATCGTTAGGTATATATAACCTCGTAATATTGACAGGGTATAAATAAATCTATTATAAGTATTTTCTATACCTGATTCTTTCTAACTCGGTAGCACTGAGTAGATCATTGATGGGGAAGTCTTTCATGAGTGGGTTATAATCAGATACTGTAGCCAATGCTTGTTTCAGACCAGTATCCGTATCAAAGGACACAGTGGCGTGAAATCTTTTGCCATGCTTTAAAATATCCAAAGTCAGGGCAACCTGTTCAAAAAGTTTATATTAATTTTTAAAGCAGATTAAGGATTAAAAATAATGATACCATTTAACTATTGAGTGTTTGTTTAAGATAAAATGTATTCTAATAAAATTCTTATTTCTACCGAAAATAAGTATAATGTAGTTAAGTAGTGTGCTGTTTTATGTCTTAATTTATGTATTGGTGAGAAATGTCGTAGAAATTAATTATAGAAGAAAAAAATGTTATTTTATAAATGCAGACCTCAATGCTTTCTCTCTTCTCCTGAATGCGATGAAGTGCCCTCTCAAGGTTCAGCCAAAAAGATATTTCTTGAAGAGCTGTTCCATTTGATGGATCTCGATCTAGTTTGGTGACCTGAAAACAAACAATAATGTAATACAAAGTATAAATTATACAGGGTGACTGGTGAATTACTATCGATACTTGAGGACGTGATATTTGACGATCATATATGACAAAATAAAAATTAATATAACATAAATATTAATAAACTTCTAAGTAAAGTTAACCAAAAGTTATGTAATTAATTACGCATCGTGTGAACACCCTACAGATTAGGTATACACACACACACACATACGCGTGCGGCGGCGTGGTGTTGTATTAGCACGCCGCCGCACGCGTCCACACTTGGAACACTTGGAACGTGTCAACACTTTATTTATTTATATGGAAATTTTGTCAAAAATTAAGTGCCTATTTTTTTTACATAATTCGAATGAGAATCATGTACCGAGTATTCTCCTTAAATATTGATAGTAATTCACCAGTCACCCTGTATACTTATAATAATGTATATACAAGTGATTGTACCTTTTGTATTTCTTTAATCCAGCGGTTAACACCATTCTGAAGTTGATTAAGGAATGTCGAGTCTTCCACCTTGTCACCGAAATCTGCTACTCGAGGTTTGCGACCTTCATCAGCCGCTCTAAAATATATTGCAAAAACAAAAAATAAGTAATGTTTATTTTTAATGATGTTTATATGATTAACTGCATTTATTGTATTCAACTAACTCATGACTATTAAAAAGTTAACAGTTTTAATCCAGGTTATAAATTATGAATGTTGATTATTTCATAATCACTATTCTGCCATTTTAATGATTATGTAATTACTGAGTTTTATACTATTAAAAGTCATTGTAGGATTTCTACCTCTTAATAACAGCGGCAACAGATTGATGGACAGGCAGAGTAATTTCCGGGATATCAATATTTTGCTGTAGATGCAGCAAGCCCATTTCCAGTTCAGCTATTTTCTTTTCCACCGATGGTGCCATCTTATCTCCATCCCTATAATATTGATATAAAATTATGATCATATCTTTTTAAATGTGTAACTATAATTGAAACTTTATATTGGTTCTTTGTAACTACCTGTCAGCTCTTCCACTTTCTTTGACATAGCTCTTAAAGAACGGTGCCATGGTTTTGCTGATGAAGGCATGAAGGGTCTCATAAGGCGAGCCATCAGATAAATTGATAAGACGAAGCTGACTATGAATTGATTTGTCAGATTCAATAACAGATCCTCTCTTGATACAAACAAATGCAGCAACCCTTGGAGATGTAAAATGTACCTATAATGACAACATATAAGAATGTGAGACTCATTTTTAGTATAGAAATTCTTTTAGGTATATAAAAACAGGGTAAATGGCATTTACAGCCAGTACTAGTAAGTAGTACCTCATTGCTTATCTGGTAGGAGACAGCTTCTTTCTCTTCTTCTCCTTCAGTTGGCTGCTCACTATCATCTTCTGTTAAAAAAAAATATAAAACTTTATTTAAAAAAAAAACTCAAACTAGCATGACCTACTTCAATAGTGAAAGAATGGTATTAAATATCTTATAATTAATAAGATATTAAATAGAAAGAGTATTGTTAGTAGGAATATTCTTATTGGTCAGAAAAGCCATTTGCATAATGCGTCAAATGCAGTCATCCGAAATCGATTATTTCAAGCATACCTTTTAAAGAGAATCGTTGGACATACAAAGATGAGGCTTGAGAGTCCGAAATGAACTTTCTAATGCAATCTTGGTTAACTTTATCATCAAGAGCAGCATTTAATGCCAGCGGTACGGGTTCATCCTCCGGCAAAAGTATCGTTGCAGCCCGCCGCAGGTAATTTGCAAACTCTTGAAATTCAACCACGACTACATTCTGAGCTTCCGGAGCGTTCTCACTCCCGTCAAGGGAGTCCCCCATGATGTTTGGAGTATTTAAGAATTGTAATAGATTTAATAATAATAAATAGATTAAAGTTACTGCAGTTGCTTTACAGCCGCAATAAAATGATCTTGACAGCTACAAACGCCCCACCTCAGCAGCTAGCAAGTATGAGTGATGACGCATAATATTTGTGTTGCCTTTACTGAAAATGTAAATATACCGTTACATTTTTTGTCTAGTTTTATTTCTTAATTTGTCACAGATATAATGTTAATATAATGTTAATGCCAAATAACAGACTTTTCTTTTTATAGTAAAAAGGGCTTGTAATTTTCTTTTCAAATATTTGTTTATGCTTAATTAGATTTAGGAGATAATTTTTTTTAGACAAAAATAACTTTTAATTTTCTTTTTTTCTGTAATTACTAGGTAGTATGATTACCTTGTGAATGCATTAAAGGGCTTTTCTGTATAGATTTCATTTTCATTTTTCCACCTGTGTGACGAGTGTAACAGCAGTGTCGATGATTTGCATCACCAATTTATAATATGAATATAAGTAATAATTATTATAAAAGTTGATAAACTTCATACAACAACTTGCTGTTATGTTTTTTACCTTTGGGAAAGCGATTTACCACTCTGTTTCAAATAAGAGGTAGGTGAAAGGGATATAATATAAAACTCCCGAGAAATACACACTTAAACCTAATTGTTACCACCATTCCTTTAGCGAAATGCCAATGACTCGAACATTTATTAGATTTTTTTTCTAATGACAGTAAGTGATTGTTGACATATAATAACAAAGGATATCTCTCATATATTAAAAAATAGGGGTAATAAGAGAAGTTTTAAGGTTACACCACCGCCTAAAGGGAAAGCCACAATGTACTTATAAATACTTTAAGTTAATTAGGTTTGGGGCCGCCTTTATTTAAAAACAACAGGAAGTTTTGCTAACATCATAATGAACTAACCTTGGATCACAACCAAAAATTATACATACAAATATAAATATTTGTATTACGGTTTAGGGGACACTCTTACTATAGGTATATAATAAAAAGCCGAACATAAAATTTAAAAAAATGGATTAATTTCTGATTTAAGGATGTCACTCAAATTTTAAGAAAGTCGTTAGAGAAAAAAGGAACCTACCGTCAGTTGACTTTTCATGATTTTGAATTATTTTCTACACAGACAGTTTTATCTTTTTCATTCCTGAAACAAACTTTTTAGTATCAACATATGTACACAGGTATGTAAATGAATGAAAAGTTTACAATCTGTGTTTAGTTTGAGGATGAAGACTATTTTTAGATAGTTCTGAAAATCAAAAATCCCTGCATTAAGGCTAATTTATTTTTTAATTAATAACATAGAATATTTTATTTGAATACAATGTTGTTAGTGAATGATAGGTACGTGAATATGTATACCTATACTACATCGAACTTGATTCTGTAACTACTGTACATGCTTGTCTGGTAACGATTTGGAATGATCAAAAACGTCTGGGTATTGAGAAAGCATCATCTACTCATTACCTAAGGATCTTGTGTAAAAATAAGCGTTAATTTGAATTATGTAAGTAGATTTATAGGGAACTAAATGAATATGAGGTGTGTCTGGCAAGGGGTTGCCATTATGTTAAGTGTCTGGCAATGAATGTGGTTTTAAATAATATTCTGGGATTAATACTAAAAAATCGTTATTTATTTTTTGTCGAAATTAAATCTGTATTTTACACACTTTTAGTACCGAGTATGGCTAAAGCCACTGCAAACTAAACTTCATAATCGACTTAGGAGCATGCGCTGACATAGAAAACTTTTGCAAAATAACGAAGGTCTGGGATCATAGTTTCTTGTTGTGATATATCTTATTGTCAAAATATGTAATTAAAATTTCCCGCTTTCTCAAAATATTATTGGCAATATAAGATCTTCAGAGAGCATCTGGCTCACTTGGACTCTCCCTCTCTCTCTTGTCAAATAAAGGCTTTAATTAATTATATTAGTGAGTTTTATTTCAACACTGTAAATATAAAAATCATATAAAATATGAATTAAATAATATCACGGATGTTCCAAATAATATGAAATTAATACACTTTTTTTTAAATTGTGATCATATTGTATAGATACTTTATTTAATTAATAATAAAGCGATTAAGTAAAATTTGAAGTTGCCTATTTGTTGGTCTATCTAGTCTAATCTTTTTATCCCTTGGAATATTATTATATTCAGTCACACTTAGAACCATGAAGTATTTGTTTACCCTTTATAAATATAATTTATGAATACCTAATATTTTATGTACAAAAAAAAAAAATATGTTTTTCGTCCTTTTTGCGTCTAATTTATTACTAAAATATATAGACAACTTCACCACTTTTGCCCGTCGTCGTCACGATTGCGTAACGAATCGTGAAATAAAATGTAAAATAATAAACCTCTTGAGTTCAATCAGAAAAATATAATTTAATTTAAATGTAAATGTAGATATTCACGAAAATCTAATATTCCATTGTTTTATATGTGTGTGAGATTTATAAACATTTTTGGTTTATAAGAATAAGCAATATGTTAATATTTATGAAATGTACTTCAGCAGTAAGAATACAATTTTCTTTAAAGACTTACACGAAGAATCTTTAATCTATTATATATATTTTTAGCAGCTCTATCTTTCAATAGGATAATAAAACACAGCACAATAAACATTGCTAAAATAAGCAATGCGAGCTGCACTCACTTCCTCCAATTGTCTTTCTAACTGTAAAAGCGGCAGAGCGTACTTTCACCGTTACAGTTAGAAAAGGAATACTACGAGTATGAGAGATTTATTTGTATCTTAGAGAACTATAAAGTCATTTATTCTTGTGATTTTATTATATTTTCTTTTTATTCTAATAAGGAATCTTAACATATTTAAAATTAATTTTAAAACATTCGATTTTATGTAAGTTTAATACTAAAATATTAATTTCTAATTTCAGTAGTATGTATTTGTGTTAGACTACTGTTAAAACCGTTTTTGATTGGCGTTTATAATATTAGCTATAAGCTAATGTTGTTAAGTGAATTTCAAATACAACTTTTAATTATGTTCACCTAATTTTTCAAGGTAAACTACGGATTTAACTAAAGTCAGTGGTGGCCTAGTGGTTAAGGGGCCCTCTAGGCCACCACTGACTCTGACTGACTGATAGGGGGCCTCTCGTTGCCGAGGTAGCGGTTTCAAACCTTGGCAAGTACCAATGTGATTTTTCGGAGTCATATGTACTTTCTGAGAGTATTTAGACATCACTAACAAACGTTGAAGGAAAACATCGTGAGGAAACCTGGACTTATAGTTTCAAATTATAATTTTGAAATCACCAACCCGTCTTGAGAAAGAGTGGTGATTAATGCTCAAACCTTCTCCATGTGAGAAAGAGGCCTTGCTCAGCAGTGGGCTTCTGATAAGCTGATACAGGCAAACTACGGATTTTATAAACAACATGTTGTTTATTATACAAATATATTTAATGAGTTTTGTCTTATGATAACCCATTATATTTAAGTATATTTAACGACGATAAAATGCTAAAATAACCTAAAAATATAGTTTTTATATTTTATCATATACTAAATATAAATAAAACATTCAGATTAAAATTGTTATAATTCCTAAGTGAATAATGATTTATAACTTATTAAAATAAATATTAAAGACACAATAGCATATGTTTATACGATCTGGGTGTGTGTGTGAATATATTTAAAATTTTGAGTTATGCTACATGGATGTTGGAACAACTTGTTAGCTACAGTAAAGTTTCGCTTTCACACTGAATGTCTAAATCACCATGACTGCATATTGAAGTTGAATCTCGGTTTCTTGTTTTGCTTAAAATATGTTATTGCGAGAACTTTAATAGGATTCAAAACTTTATCTGTTCTTTGTTGCTGTTTCAAAATAAACTTCTTTCATATGGCAAATGAAAACAAACGTATTGTCTATGGTGTTCATGTATACTCTCTTAAGTATTTTTGTTTATAGACCTTAGGTCAAACGTAGGCATGTATTGATTTTAATTTCACTTGCGATCTTTTACAACGAAAATACTTTTCAAACCACAGCTATGATAGAGTAATAGGTATGCAATTCATATATAAAATTCTTCAAAGCGGTTTATTGGAAAGATCGAAACAACCCAACTTATAACATATCATTTCTGAGCAGAGCCTCATCTTCATAAATGTGAATAAATATTGTGCAGCTTCCAGTATCAGCTCCTAGATCACGTCAGTAAGGGGCCAAGGGTAAAACTACGAATTTTCGTAATGGCCGTCATCAAACCCGCAAGAGTGTTATTTAGTTTCAGAACGTTCTATTAACATATTCATGTTCTCTATTCTTTACAAGGGTTGAACAAAATGTTTTATTCATTGTTATACATTGGTATAATCTAAACAAGAGGGATTTATGTAATTTTAAGTTGTTCATAAAGGTTAGACGTCTTTAAAGGATATACATACATCGGTGTCATTTTAAATAGTAAGAGGGATACATACTGATTTGTTTTAATATTATTATTATTACTATTTTGGAGTGCTTACTTTTTTGTATTTAATTATTTTTATTAAACATGAACACTTAGTAAAAGAATCCATAATGAAAATTTTACCTCAATTATTTTACCATATTCTTAAAAACACTTAGGCACACATTACATTGGCTATACAGGGTGGCTGGTGAATTACTATCGATATTTGAGGACGTGATATTTGACGATCATATATGACAAAATAAAAATTAATATAACATAAATATTAATAAACTTCTAAGTAAAGTTAACCAAAAGTTATGTAATTAATTACGCATCGTGTGAACACCCTACAGATTAGGTATACACTGACACTCACACATACGCATGTCGTGACGTGGTGTTGTATCAACACGTCGCCGCACGCGTCCACACTTGAACACTTGGAACGTGTCAACACTTTACTTATTTATACGGAAATTTTGTCAAAAATTAAGT